CTGTGGACTTGATGATGAAGCTAACGCTCCTGCGACGAGCATCCGGTGTGACGTGCTCAACGGCGCTATGCTCGCCGACAATGCTGACCTGCCTTTCCTGAGACGCGGCCGCTGAAGCTCCGCTATCCTCGTCCTGCTCATCGATCCGCGATACCGGTCGAGGTACGAACGCTACTTTGGCGTACGATGCTTGTCGGCCATAGCTCCGAGATCCCTTGCGATAATTGGAGGGTATGCCGTTGGGTTTGTTGGCACTACCCGCTGGTTCCCTCACCGGAGAGTCGTCCTGTTCAGCCACAACTTCGATGTGGGATTCGTCCTCCGACAGGTCGTTCAAATCTTCGGGGAGGACATCCCGGATGATCGAAGCCACTGGCGATGAAAATGAAATGGTGAGGTTTCGGCGCTTGGATGGCGTGCGGCTCTTGTCACGACCCTCGTTGATGGTGATTTCATGTTCCACCTCTTCCTCCTCATCACGAGCCGGCGAAGTTGCCGCCTTACTTTCCAACTTTGTCAGCTCGTCTCGAGCACGCGAGAGGGCATCGTTTTCGTCAAGTGCCGCGTCGGGTGACAGTGTAATGAATCCCTTCTTTCCAGATGGTGTTTTCAAGGGGCTGGAGGGCGATGCAATATTTTCTAGACCAATGGCTGGATGCTCCTTCCTAGCTGTCGCAAGCTTCAAGTTCCTCATCTCCATCGTCATATCAACGGAAAGATCGGGGATGCTGGCAAACGGGTCCTCCTCGCTGTCTTCCGAAGGCAAAATATTGGCCGTCATTTGCGCAATGTTACCGTGCTTCTTCCTGACCCAGACCTGATTTTCTTTATCGAGATACATGCTCCCGACCTGATCCGGAATCAGATGGCTGACGCTCTGGGGAGCAATCGTCTTCTTAGTGTCCGAAGTTCGGGAAGAACTAGTACGGTTCGTAGAGGAGCCACCCGACGAGGTGGATGGGAACGTGACACCAGTCTGATTTCCGGAGTCAACATTGTCGTTTTGGGTGATACGAATATTAGGCGGATCGCTAAACTCTGCATCCTCGGGCATGTCTGCGAGATTAGTCCGGCTACGGGTGCTCAGGCGCAGCTGTCGCTCAACCTCCTGAGCCGTGCGAATCGCCTCCCTCGCAAGGCCTATGGATCGAACCGAGGACGTGATGACTTCACCCATATCACTCATTTCCTGGTACTTCTTCAATCGTCTGAGGATCTCAGGATCTTCCTGTCGAGCGGGCACGGCTCGGGCCACCGGTGGGCCGTCACGACTGGGGGGCCGAGAGAATGGTTCTTTTGTCGATTCCTGCCAACTGTCATCTCCATACGGCTCTGGATCGCCTGAGAATGCATTTTCTGCCTCAGATTCCTCGACGCTTGCAAGTGCAGTCGGGCGGACTTGGTTTCGGATCATGGCCATGATCTGGGCGGCCTCATCAAGGAAGTCCTGCGTCTTCATGGATGGCTTGCGCTCGGATTCGGTGGCGATCATGGAAGCTCCCGTAGTGGTAGGCTGTGTATTTCGGAGAGGGGAGCGCTTGAGCTTGCTTCCATGCGATGGGATGCTGTCTGCCAGGGGATTCTTTTCGCGTTGCAGCGAGCTTCTCTGGCTAGGTGTCGGCGTGCGCGGGCGGAGAATTTGGCGGTGCGCAAGCACCTCAGGATCAGCCAGCTGTTGCACTTCGCCGGGGCGAGCGTCCTTCCTCTTCTTTCCGATCGCCACCTGCATTTGCTTGTGGGTGCCTTGTACGGTATCTACGTTCGCAAATTCTTCTTCCCTGCCGTAGGCAATATCGGATTTGTGTAGGGTTCGGCGGCGTTTCGGGGTTGGATCCTTCGAGGGCGACGTCCTCGGTCTCTTTCCTTCGGAGCCGCTATCTCGTTTGGGCGTATTGATAAATCTATGGCTGTTGCCGGATGCATTGCGCGACCTGGATCCACCGCGCAACTCCGACTGTGATCCGGATGCTGTTGATTTTCTGCGACGTCTCCTGATAAAAAGCTGGCTTACATCCGACGGCGAGGAATCAAGTTCCGCTCCAAATGCTGGCGGTATATTTTCTCGCTGGGATGCGTCGCCGTCAAATTCCCCACCGATAGACTCGCCGTCTGCCGAGAATCCGGACACATCGCTCGTGAACTGATAACCCTCGAGGTCTCCGCCACCGAAGCGACTAACTGACCGGTGCCTTTGCTCTCTTAGAGGCACTTGAGATTGCTTATCGCGCGGGCCTTCGACCGAAGCCTCAAAAGGGTTTGTCTGAAACGATTGTCGCGAAGAATCTGTCATCTGTTCCTCGAACTGGCTGATGCGTCGCATCAAAGTCTGGTTTGTGAATGTATCGTAAGGTCCAAAGAGCTTCAAGGGGCTTCCGCCGCTGGCTTGGAGATTGCGATCTCTCTTGTCTGGGCTCGGGTGAGGTGCTCGCGGAAGTTGTGGGCTCATGTCAAATGCCACATGTTGGTTTCCTGGTCCTGCCCTAATGCTCGGGAATTGTTTGGGCGTGCTCGCTTGTAGAGACTCCTCGGGGAGCATCTCGGACGATTCGTTACCGACCGGACTGAGGAGACGGTGTCGGAAGGAGCCTTCGGCGGACCTACCGCCTCTCCGAAGGTTTAGAAACCCGCCGCTCCGTACGTAATCTTCAGTTGTATCGGCGGATTCCTTGAAGCGCTGGGGAGGGCCATCTAGCGCGATGCTATCTTCCACGGCAGAGTCTAGAAGCATTTGGTTGACACGCAGGTTTTCTAACCTGGCTCGCAACTGATCGGCCGGGAGGTCCATGGGCGCGAAATCGATTTGTCCGTCGCCGGAACTGTGCTTAGATAAGAAGATAGGACTAAAGTCTTCGTTTTGAACAACGCTCTGGCTACTCGGTTTCCGAGATTCTTTCTGAGGCGGTTGAGGCTTGCGTTCCGGTTGTTCTACCAGGCTGTCATTTTCTTCTTCTTCGACCACCTCGCTATGTCCTTCAAAGGTCTCGTCTTGGTGTATGCTAAAGTCAAGCTCACTCTGTAGGCCCACTGACTCGTCCGCCATTCGATATCGCATCTCCCTGGCCCCTTTACGGGGACTGGGACTGGGAGTTACGTCGTCATGCCTTACTGGGCGAGAGTCTTCTGAAATTGCGCTATCATCTAGGACGGGAGGGGGTCGGAAAGCAGGAGGGCTCGAGGGTAGGGTGGTCTCGTGCCGGACGCTGTCGTCTTCTACAAACGGGTCCTCGGTGGTTTCGGTAATATTCTGCACAGGAGGGGGCCTGAAGATGTCTTCTAGACCGGTAGCAGCCGAGCAGAATAGGTCGCGCTGCTCACCGTAGGCCAATTCGCCGTAGACTAGTCGCTTCTTCCACTCGGGCGTGTGGCCTTTGCCCTTTCCAGGAGATGCGCTAGGAGAGCGATGTTGCACTGTGTTGTGAACGACGGAGTTGTTTGTGGCTGCCGATACCGATCGGCTAACATATCGGCCTTTCTGGCTCCTCAGAGAGCCCGCATTACTGGATGGTTTGGGGATTCCGTTTTTCGGTAGGGTGATGTTGATATGACTGAGACTTCGTTCGGCAAGGACGTTAACACTGCTATTGTTGGTGCCAATGAAAGAGCTCGTGGGAGCGCCCACTGGTCTTGGTATTCTACTCCCAAGACCCTTGGGGTGGGTTGGTCTTCGATTTTCGTTAGGAGAAGATGACCTTCTGGGTTGGATCTGGGCGATTGACGATTCATCGGATCGAGGTTGGGAAACCCAATCCTCTGATAGGGAGTCGAGCCACGCATGCGCCATGGCTCTGTTTCTGGATGGGAAGTTTGCGTGGGGAATGTTGTGGTGTTATTGAGGGTCCATGAAGTCGAGAGGGAGAAAACGGGAGTCGGGAATATGTCTGCTATCGTCGTCGAGAAGTCTGATAAAGAAGATGATATACGTATGGCTGAACTGGTAGTACGCCTCTTTTCGCGCTCGGAATAAAAGAAAGAAATAAAAGGAAGAGAAAACTTAAAAGGACATCAATCGTTACCTTGATTCTTGTTGGTGCGACATCCAGGAACGCGGGCTTCTCCCGCGTTTGCGATGAGGTTGAAAGGCAACAGAGGCGAAGGGTTGTGATTGGCTGATCAGGGTTGCTATGTCAACAAACATGGATGCATTGGTGAGGTGGACCCTTGCCCTCCATAAAGATGAGTCACGTGATGTTACGTCGAGTTTGCGTGGAGGGATGGCAGCTGTCATCGACTGATATGGCTCGAAATATGCAGCCAGCCATCTGCATGGAATCGGAAGCCTGATCGAGTCAAAAGGGGAGCGATTGCGCCCCGAAAAGAGCTCAAATATGGCAAATGAGGTAGCATGTAGTCTTCTCACTATATACTGTAGTTCCTTGCCTATTTTCTTCGAATTTACATCAAGGGCGCCGTGTCAATTCTTCAAGATCGAAAACCTCTTAACGCGAGATCACGTGCAGGCGCGGGGTGTCGCGTCTACTCGTCTCCCATGGTAACGCGCCTTCCCCTGGAACCACCCGAAAATGCATCTCCACTTCACAGCAGGCGACTCCCATGCATTTCCCGAGCGAAATGCTGTAATCCAGATAACCTCCCTGATGCGCATTACCCGACGGATGCGGATGCTGTAACCCGAAGTCCGAACGAATTTGACAATCTCCAATGCACTCATAAGCCCTGACACTTGGCGTTTCCACTATGTCGTCGTTGGCCTCCGTTGGGGACGACTACGAGCCTCTCGATAGGCTTTACTGCCGAGTGCCATATCTCCTGCAAGATGTGCTCGCCAAAGTACATATCAACTCATCTCCGGCAAGCGAATCGAAGTGTAATCGTTACGAACATTTTGGGCAACGATTTCTATCCGGGCATGCGCCCTTCCTATTGACTGCGGCTCTTCGAGGTCCGTTTGACTTATCATCTGGCTGGCAAAATCCTTGGGACCCGAGTGCGGCTGAAGTTCGATGTCCCCAACTCACCACGACGAAACAACAACCTACTCCATGCCGAATCACAGACACCCAAGCCGCTACGGTGTGCCCTTCACCGGCCTCCCCCTGTTCGAAGAGGCAATCTTCGGCATCTATATATCTCCCGAGTCCTGTGAGCTTGCAAGCAGATACTCACCCATTCCTAGAACGAGATGAGCTCATTCGGGTTGAGAAGTGGAGGGATGTAGTGAAATCTAATGTGCCAAAGAAGGATGATTTCTGGGTATCAAAGAGCCAATCGTCGACTAAGCGACAAGGTGAAGATATATCTTGGCTGCGGAGGAGATCCGACAAGAAGCTCCGAACAAGTTATCCCGACTCAAATTCGACGGCGAATGCCGCCGGCATCCCTGATAAGGAACCCAACAAACCGATGGAAGCTGAATCAGATACGTCATCTGCCACTACATCCTCTTCGGAAGATGACCTTATTCCCAACCGCGCCCCGCACGTTGCTATTGCTCCGGTGAAGGGATCTACGTCTGCGCAGACTCGAAAGAACCAGTTTGCCGCTTCTGCTCCAGTAGCTCCACTGCCTCAAAGCACTAGCCGAATCACTCGACGCCGGTCCTCACAGGATTCCTCCAACCCCGTGAGAAGAATATCCTTGAGCCAGCCAGCTGGCCAGTTGTCGACAAATCTGACAAGTCTGAGGATGTCTCAGCCTATTTCTCAAAGTCAGCCCTCAACGAGACGACTTTCAATTCATCGCCACTTCTCTCTGTCCAAGGATAAACCTGTTCTTGAACGACCACTCGAGGATACCAGTTCCGCAACAGACAGCTCTGATGAGTCGGAAGATCCCATCGCTACCATGAGCAGAGAAGATCGTCCTCGTTCGTCTCAGCAATCAATATGTTCCGCCAAATCTGACCTGCGAGATGCACCGCATCCTACTGAGCCTCTGCCAATGGATGTGCCACCAATGGGAGAAGACGAACTCTGTTCTGAGCTCACAAAATCTGACCAACCCAAGGATGACGCCGATCTCTCCATATCTGCGGAGGATGTTCAAATGAAGGATGATGGTATATCTACGCCCCTGGAGCTTACAAAAACAGGAATTAGCGATATCACCACCCCTGTAAAGGGCGGTATCCTCGCGAAGAATGACAACAAGCTCGACTTGCATGAATCTGATACCACCAAGGGCTCAAGCGATTCACCTAGTTTTAGTGCCTCTGGAATTGCGGACGTCTCAACCACGCTCGTGGAAGATGAGTCCAAGGCCATCTTGTGTGCATTGGAGATTCATCCCAAGGAGAGCGCCTCGCCGATGAAAGGCTCAGTCGTCTCTGATACGAAGAATATTAAGGAAGACCCCGAACTGCAAAGTCCAGGCTTACAGGATAACAAGGTGGAATTATCGTCGCTTCAATCCTCACCTCCATCACAGACGCCCAGAAAATACGATATCAAACCCCCCGCCCAGACCCCAGACCTGCGGATTAAGCCGGAAGACCAGAGTCCCTGGATGGAAGAGCCGGATCGGCCCGTTGTTGAGGAGACTAATCAGGAAAGGGGAGCATCAGGAAGTGAGGGAACGGTAGCTCGGGCGACGCCAGATCTGCTGGAAACACGAGAGGAACAGTCACAGTCCATCATTATTCCGGAAGAAGCGCAAAGCCCATGGACGAAGGATCCCTCGCAGCGAGTCGAGGTGAATAACGCTGTGGTCGAACACTCGAGCCCTCAACTTCCAGAGACAGCTCCGCGGGACGTACAAGTTGAAGCTGCGTCTGACCCAGTAGAGAACGCGCCAAACCCACCTTCAGACGTCTCGAATGCCAACTTCTCCATCCGGTCCTTTTCGAGTTTCATGACGCCTCCGGCGAAACCACGGTTTGCCAACGTCCCTGGTTTCGATGGGCGCCTTCCCCAGACACCCATTCTTCTCGATGCTGCACTGGACAACCCATGGCAAAGCAATTCCCACCCGAAGAAGAAGCGCGTCTCTTGGGCACCACTACCTCATGAAGAGACGCCCGATGCCAGAGAGTCAAATCCGCCACCTTCCTCGCACTCCCGGTTTAGCCGCGCCTCACCTCCACCTGCCGAGCCTATTCCAGACGAGGTCGAAGGAGACGGAGAGGCATTTAGGAAGCACTTTGTCCTTGTCAAGCGCCGCGCCGACCCCTTGAGACAGCGTCTACTCCCCTCAGCATCGCAGCAGACCCAGAGAAGCCCTCAGACGGATGCCATGGCACAGGCGTTCCTTACGGCGGACCATGTGGTTCCACAGGCCGGACAGCTTAAGGGGGATAAGGAGAACGTGGAACAAGAGCCCGTCGATGATGTTGACGCCGTGTTGGGGAATCTTAATGAGTTCCTGGATACATGGGATCTTGATGCTGACCTTGAGAGGTCAAGGACGAGCTTGGGATCTCACGACGCAGGCGCTGCGGCTAACCGCATGCTTCTTGATCCGGAAATCGGTGGGTGGTAAAGGCTCATATCGACCTCTGCTATAACGCGGACTACTCTTGAAATGCTACGCTTGATTTCTACTATTCACTTTTCACTCTGTATTTTACATTAGCCTCAATAGGCGGGTTTAGAATGGGGTTCGACAAAGGCATGGCTTCGGGGGGCATAGGGTCATGAGGCGGTTGTAATTGTCTTCACACAAAGTTAGATGTTCAAATGATACCACTAGTTGCTTTTCTTCTCATTGATTCACCGCATCTTCAGCTCTCTCGGGATATCCAAAGCTCTCCTGATCGGATGGAGAGCGGTCAGCATAGCTCCGGGGAGAAGCGATATTTCGGACATGAGCGAGAGAACAGGCCCGTCTCCCCCGGAAGGACCAATCCCCCTCTGCTCCCGGAGCACAATGGAAGTCCTAAGGTCGTCTCGAGAAAAGACAATTGGAATCTTCGGACACCGACAACATCCCATCATTCCGATCTTCCCATCCATGATCTCATTTCCAGTTGTCCCGAGAAACGTGTATCCTCGTAAAAACTCAACAAATTTCGCCTCGCCTCACATTCACACCCCCCTCCATAAGCAAACAAGGACTTAAAAAAAAGAAAATACCAGGGACGTAGAAGAAATGAAGAAAATTTTCAGTTGGTCAGGTATATACCGCCGAACGAACCAACCCACGTACCTCCCACTTCCCCGGTTCCATCGTTGCTACTAGAGTTCTTCTACCGTATAGGCTAGGCAAGGGGAGGGGGTGAGGGAAAGCGAACCCACCCAAGTTACGGGGTGAGCACATGGGAGATCGGGAGGCGTTGTTTGGATGGACAAGGGGAAAGGGGTGGAAAGGGTTCGATTCGAAGGTGGGTAGCTACTAAGTCCGTCAGGAACACTATGCGTCACTCCGGTTGGTAGGTATGGAAGAGCTTCAAAGTTCCCTTTGTGGGGTAATAATCACCTTCTCTCCTGGGATAGCTCATCACCTTGCTTGTTCTGCCCAGTACGAAGTACGCTGGAGTAGGTCAATCTACGAAGTACAGTACACTACACACCTCCGCGGCTTGAGGTACCCAAGTCCAGGGGACAAACGATAGAAGCTGAGTGCTACAGGAGGGACGAAAAGGGGGCGGTGAAGTTCGGCTTTACTACCACGTATAATACCTCTTACATGGCCGAACGTGGTGCGTGCCTTGGATCCATGTGCTGTTGCGAGACTGCTCACTGGGCTATTGAACCCCATATACCTTTGTATAGCGCCATCCACACAGGCCCATCCTCATTTACTTCGTAGCAGAGGACATTACTCTGGACACGTCTCCATTCCAGGTCGCCTTGAAACTTTCGGTGTAGGTTCGGTCGTCTCGTCATGTTTCTCTCCTTGCTTTAGCGACACGGTAGTATGATGGGTTCGTGCTTCCGGGTCTCTCTTTCGACCCAATGAGGCTTGAAGGCTTCGCAACGAGGGCTTGGGATGGGAGCTGGATGGAGCGCAATTAGCATTGAGTGCCGAGGAGTATGATAGTCAAAATGGGGCCATGGATCTTGAGGGCTTGGTTCCGAATCGGTGGTAGACAGCCGCCTGACTGCAGAGCGTCTACGTCACTGTAGCCTGTAGACCGGAAGGTATGGACCGTAGGGCACCATGAGCCAAGATTGTGAGAAGTGATGAAACGAGAAAGTGCGTCGTCTTAGACAGAGAGCAGTATGAGGAGAGGGTGGAGGAGTACGAAATATAGGTTAGGCAATGTCTTGGTAGACTGCCCTGGCAGCATCCAGTCTACACTACTTGAGCAGCTCGCCCAAGCTAAGCATATATCGTGCTAGTCTGTAGGATTAGCAACTGTGAAGGGCCGAGTCTGCCGCGGGAACTTGGCACCAAGAAAGGATTCTTGTTCTGCATGAAGATAACGCTGAAAGGAGCAGAGACTAAGGAGAGCTTCACACCCAAAGTTCTCGACACTCGGGCACTTCCCAGGTCAGCAAGCCAAAAAGTTTCGGGCACGAAGGCTAAGTTGCAGCATCACTGCATCCCAAGGTGAGCTAAATGGTTTATTCGGACAAACGGGGCATGCCGAAAAGAGGAGTTTGCGACAATTTTCCTCATTTGGCCACTGCACACGAGACGCAATGCAATATCATCCATTCCCAAGTTGGGTGAGGGGAGGGCGGGAGGGAAGAGACGACGCGGGCCAGGGTTCAAAGGATAGGAAAGGGATAAGGAGAACCAGCTGCGCAGCGTCAGAACCGAGCAGCCTGGTGCGGCAGGAATCCTGTGGGTTGAAAATCATGTTGCAAGTTTATTGCTCTTTTTGTCGCAAATTATTTCCCTGGCAAGCTTGCAAGGCTCAGTGGTGGCCCTGCTGGGTGGGAAAGCTCCTGTCTTGGGAGGTCGTCGTGGACCACGTTTCCAGATGATTGGACGCAAGCGCTCGGCGAGCCGCAGGCCCTCGTCCTCACGGTGGTGAGGTCAACAACACGGCTCCGGATTCCGCGGGTGCTACGATCCACATTTAGAGGAAGATCCTGGAGCGCGTATCAAAACTAGAAGGCGGGGAACCAGAAACTGCAATAAAAGTCTCGGGGATCATTGTGCACTCGCCTGCATAAATCCACTGATGCAGGAAGACTAGTGAGAGGTGAAAGGGAGTCATGACTAGATGCCAATTGCTGTGGCGAGTGCCAATGGATCGAACCATGGATAGAGTAAAAACGATCAACGGGCGGGGATAATCGTCCATCCGTTGCAACTACGATTTTAAATCGTCATCTGTCGCGAGCCGTCCCGTCGTTCATTCGAAGACACCATCGTGGTTCGACTTGGGGATAGCTCCCTTCCGACCAGTCTCTGAAGTGGCGCGGAAATAAATAACCGCATCGGCGGGGAAGGGCGAGCGGCGCTATCATAGTGTAGAATACTTGGGATAATAATTGTATCCTATACATGCGGGAAAGGAGGTTGGGGAGGAGAGCGGCAGATGGTACGGAATATGGGGGAAATCTAAGACTAGGAGGAAAAGGTTAGATCGTGGGCACCTGGGGAACAATTACAAAAAGAAGAGATCATGGCGTGAGGCGAGAACCCCAAAGATGTGGCCAAATATCGCATCGAAACAGGGCTTCATCATACAATGGGCGATGTCTTGGAGAGATATGGTCGCATCTCATGGTCAACAAGCCGTCACTTGCGCGATTCTGGGGCAGTCGTCTCCCTTCCGAGTCTTTCTCTTTCTCTTATCCGCCAGGAACTGCGCTGATTGTCTCTGGCTCACTCTCGCTTGTCTCATTGGCCCGAGCACATGGCGGATCCGGCTCAGGGGAGCCAGGGGTTGTGATTGGTCGTATTTCCGGAGAGGAGAACGGGAGGAGCCTTCGCTGAAGCTCCGAATGATAAGCAGAAGTTCAAAGCCCGGAGAAGATGTGTTGTTGGTTTGCTGGCTTGGATGGTTCTTGAGGGGGAACTAAGACTACGGGGAAGAAGAAGTCGGGTTGGGGGCCACGGTACGGTGTGGGCTTAATAGACGCCTCCCATTCGACAGTTCGACCGTGGCTGTTAAAATCGTCCATTCGGGCAGAAACGTGGTCGTACTCGAAGCAGGAAACAGACCTTTGACCTGACGGGCCCAGTGCAACAGCGGACGCAACTCAGACCGTCTCTTGCACCCAATGACGAAGATGTTCGGAAGGAAATGCCAATTTGCACTCAACACACGTACTCGCATCACGTACGATGTATCCTCTTGCGTGGCCAAGCCCTATTGCATAACAAAATAATAGTAGAGTAATAGAAAAAACCCGAGAGGGGCCCAAAAAAATACGAAGTATCAGTGAGAGAGTGAGAAAGGGGCAGACAGGGACAGCAATGAGAGACGAAGGAAAAAGGAAAAGAAAATGAGCCTTGCGGCAAGCAACAGGAGGAAGCTTCGAGCGAATCAAAGTGACGCGAATATGTACCGACTATTGAGTATTTTCGTCTGGCGTTGGATTGAGGCAAACTGTGTGACATCATGGATGAGCCCAAGGTTGAGAAATAACAACGGCACGAGATTCACTGTGGATGTTGAGGGTCAAAGTTTGGTAGCGTCACAAATCACCTGCTGGTGTACTAGTTTATGTTCCTTCGTATTTAAGGTTGCGCCTTCTTTCCGGTGTATTGCTCTACGCCTGGACTCAGTACTGAGGTCGTCCAACGAAGCCGGTTCTCAGCTCCTGCCATCGAACTAAACTAATCATGCGCGTTAATCACGAGGCCTGGCCAGCTTCAAGCCTAGGAAAGAACACCCAGTGACGGTGCTCAACAGTCGGAAAACCATTATTTGGAAGTGCTATTACAAGTCAACGCATGGAAGCCAGAGGAATCAATTGGCCAACTTGGGAGGAATCGGGCAACCCATGACAATTGTCTCTGCCGTGTAGCCATCCAAACATTGAAGATTCAAATATCAAATATACATGACTGCTCATCACGCCTATCCTCTCTTCCCAACAGATCAGTGACTGCTGTGATGATGACGATGAACTTCTCAGAGCACGCAAGTGGTAGTTTACCTGCCTCGGTCCAGGCCCGGCCAGCCAGGCGATGAATCAAATGTCCTGCGTGTTTGGATCCTGGCGAAACAAGCTTGCTGATCCCTTGACCCACCCGACTTTGCGCCGGAGAGTCGAACATTGAGCAAACCGCTAATCTTGATAGCGACAAGTCGCCAAACCACACAACGCACTAGTGCAACCGGGCACGGTGCCCCTCGATTGGGTAACATTGGATCATTGGGCGGCCTCAATGGGTCCTTCCTCTTAGTTCTTGTCCTTGTGCAGTCCTTCACTCTAGTTCATCGTGTAAATACCCACAGCCTGCTGAAGTACACTAGTGTACGCTACACTCCACTAGTGAGTGTATGTACAATACAACGTTGAAAGTTGGACAGCTGGGAGTTATTATGGGGTTGATTAGAGACGAACTAACCTTTCTCAGTGTCTTTCGAAGTGGTTCTTCGGTAATTATTCGATTCATTGTTGTTCAAATGCACAGCTGCAGTGTAGTACTTCGTAGTGGACTTTGTAATGAATTGACACGAGGAGGCAACTCGGTGGTAATTCAGCAGCTTACGTATCAATTGATCCATTGACCGATCATCCATCAGGGTCAAGATCCACTGTCCTGGAATCCAAGACCCATCTTGATGGTGTCTGTCCAAAACTAACAGATGGGTTACAGTGTGTATTCTCTTGAGCCACACTCTTATCAGGAAATAGTCTTTGAACAGCCCAGAAGGAGTTGCATCATCTCTAGCCAGATGACCCCCCGGGATGAGTAGAAGCAATCAATTGATCTCTCAAGTTTGAAGCTTGGCTGTGCGCTGCCACCTGAATCGGATCGAATTTGCTTCTATTGATTCATCAATGTCCGCTATCAATTGTTTGCCCATTTTTCGTTTTTCGCATTGTGAAGTAGTACTTATACAGTGTGGGATACTCTGCTCGCACCTATTTGCCGTCTTGGCACCACATGTACAGATGTTGCTTGTGCGTCGCCAACCAACTTGTTGGTCTTGGGACTTGACAATTTACTGGACAGGCGCGGCGACCACTGCCCCTCCCCGAAATTCCGAAGAAGGCAAAAAAATCTACCTATATAACAGTGCCCCGCACCTGATTTTAAGGTCTAGGTATATGTACTCCTACTCCCTCTTGCTCAGGCAGGAATTACTTTTGCAAAGGTATATTCGGACGGGATCAATTCCCGTATTCTTTTATTTCTTTTTTCCCCTGTTCTCGTTCTTGCAACATCTGAAGGTCCGTCGAAATTTCATGATCCTGAAGAGCTGGTCTGGCCCCTGTTTAAACCCGGAACTATAGCTCAGGAGCGCCGAGGCTACTTACTCGGAACGCTGTAGACCGCCTGTCTCCTTATCATTTGATCTTGGTTTTCTGCGTCGCATCAGCTGTCTTATCAGTCTCTATCTATCTGGTCCTGCTCGGGCTCGACTAGAGAAAGTCGGTTTGGGGCTTGGATATCTTTTTTCCTATTAACCTATCTCGTGTGTGTTGTTTCGAGGGCGCAATCGTGTCTCACCTCGGAAGCGTCATCTGCCCTAGCCTGTGTCAAATTTCGGGGTTCCTTTTCCAATATCACCAAACCCACATCCTGAGTCTTCCTCAAGGTGTGGTTGCTGTCTGGTGGTTGTCTCTCAGAACAGACCTAGGCAATTGAATCCTTTTCTTGGCCTGGCTCCTGCACGCACTCCCCGCCCCAATAACACGCATTACGCATACAACGCATCCTGTACCTCAGTATACAGCAAGCGCCCCTTCTGTCACTGCAGTCAGACTGTGTACGTATCCGTACCGCTCCTTCCTGCGTTCCTCCACCAGCATCGACGTCGGATGCACTTGCTCTCCGCAAACCTCCCATGTAAACGCTACCTTTTGGGACCGACTTGGAACAATCGGACTCTTCTAATTCAGCCCTGTCACCTTCCCACCCTTCACACTTTTTGCACACCTTTACCACCCTCAACTTCCCCTTCATTCCAAACCAAGCCTAGGCCTACGGCAGCCGCTTCCCTATTAATTCATACTTACAAACTACCCTCTCCTCGGTACACTACAGGGTACTGATCGATAACCGTACCCATACCTTATACAACCCTAGTCTCTTTTCTTCCTCTCACTTCTCCCTTTTTCTTATTTTACCCAATTTTTTTTTTTTTCGGCACGCCCCCCGGTCAGCCTCCATCTACGAATCATTCAACCCACACGTCCGTCGGATTCGCCAGATGCTGCTCACCTCATGTCAAGCTCGCCCCCTGCCAACGAGGATGCCGCTTCTGCTGCATCACTGAGCACAAGCATTTCGCCAGCCCTTCCTCTCACGCCATGCTCTCTGGACTCTCCCTCGCTGGGTGCGCCTCCAGAGTTCACCGGTCGTCAGGGCCATGCAACGACCCATCCACCATCTTCCTCAAACCCTGACACCGTCTCGCCCGTTGCTCTCGTCAATGATGCAACCACCCAAGTCACCACCACCTCCCTGACAACGCCAACCGCCATGGGCACTACCGCCGACAGCAACACAGGTCCTGCTCCTCAAAGTGCTGGTGCCACTCCCACGCCATCTTCTTCTCCTAGTGCTGCAAGAGACAACGCTCCCGCTCTTGCTGCCAACCTCAATCCCAGCATGCCGACCCAATCCCAAATAACCACCCCTGTTGCTTCGCCAAGTCCTCAATCTGACACCCACCATTCCGGAATGCCTGACCTTCGGTCTCAAGCTACCTCAGATGCCGGCCCGCCGCAGAATAAAAGGCCGCGCCCCCCTGCCTTTTTACATCGGCAGCCTGGCTCGTCCCTTCTAACTCAGGCCCTCGCTACCGCCCGCGGAATTCCTCCCCAACGCCCTTCCCCGCCTTCCACCACCACTGACCCTTCGGCGCCTCAGCCGTCTCTTACCAGTGCCTCCACTAACACACACACTACACCGGATACCACCTTGACACTCCCTCACCACCCGGCGATCCTCTCTAGACCTTCCCCAACTACTCGCCTAGACTCTGATCAACCGTCACGCAACTACCAAGATGACTTGTTTCAAGAAGCTGGCGACGCCGTGACACCAAAGGCTGCCAACTCGTTTTCGTCTACGACCATGGCAGCCTCGGCCTGCCAAGTCGTACCCTCGCCTACTACTTCTACTTTTCCTATCCCCGACACCTACCACCTCACTACCTCTCCTTCCCAGGCTTTGCAGGCCCACCCTACCACTAATACCATGATATTGGGCAACCATGGCTCCATGCTGTCCGCCATTGGCGGCAACCCCATCGATAGGTTTGAAAGGGAAATGAGAGAGATTGAACGCCAAAAGACAGCAAGGTCATTTTCTCATTCCTCTGACAGGGGAGATGCACCTGCATCCCAACCCTCTAGTGCCGCCGATCGGATGTCGGCCTTCTCAAGCAGGAGAGAGTCACTTGTCTCCGAAGAACGGCAATCCCCCACCAACGTTCGGATCTCTGACGCCCGTTACTCCGAGAAGATGTGGTCAATTGGGTCAGGTGATATCGATGGCGAGCAGGACGGTCATGTTGAAAAATCGGTCGCCAAAGCCATGTCCAGAGCGGAGCCCAACAATCGAAGTCGCAAGGCAAGCCATACCTTAGGCTTCTTTAGGGAGGGCCTTCCGGAAGAGAAGGCCAAGAAGAGGGATGTTAAGACGCCGAGCCAGATCAGAGCCAAGTCGGCTACTCGTCCTACTCAAACCCCAGGCAAGGATATCATCGCCGAAGAACCTACTCAAGCTGCCGATGATGGCCGGCTCACCATCGCCACTCCCACCTCGATTGAAAGCTTGCCGGCGGATCTCGTTGATTCTAATGCCATCCCGTCCGCCCGTCACACGCGGCGAACCGCCACCATCGAAGAGCCTAACGGCCAATTGGACGCCTCGGCCTCACAGGTAACCTTCACAAGTGGTATAGACGCCTCGCTCCATGACGAGACGGAAGGCGAACCGTCAGGTCGCCGTCGGGATTCGACCGATAGTATTGAAATGGGAGACCAGCAAGATTACGGCGACGACTCGGGAGAGGAAAAGATCTCGTCCGCGCTCTTCCTTCCGCATCAAGACCCACAGGGTACCGACGATGAGAAATGCGGTGCTATACTCGCGCGCCCTTCGGCAGCGACCCGCTCTCAGTTACGAAGTCAGGACTATAAATCTTGGCTCGTCAAGGCTGGGGAGCCCGAACCCGAGGAGGATCGGACGCCGCCCTCGACGCCGCCCTCGTCAAAGGCGAGTTACAGCCATCGGCAGGTTAGCAAAGCTACAGAAGGAGACACGGACATGGTATGCGATGAAATCAAAATGATCGATGAGGCTGAAAGTATTATTCGTCCGGATGCCTTGGTTGTTCCACCGCCTACTCATGACGAGCAGTCGTACGATAACTTCCAGGCCCCTAAACAGCCCCTAGAGGCCATTGAACTTATTCCGTACAAACACCAGGTTGGCGGCCACACCACCATCTGGCGCTTTTCTAAGCGAGCCGTCTGTAAGCAGCTCAACAATAGGGAAAATGAGTTTTATGAGACTGTTGAGCGGTATCACCGTGATTTGCTATCGTTTCTACCTAGGTATGTCTAGTCCTCGGAGCCACATTGGAGTTCCGCTGCCGTACCCCTGTCATACATCTCTCTCGGCATGATCCAATCCAATGTGCTTTCCCATTGAAACTATGCGCTTTGGGCAATGTTGCTAACTTTCAATAGATATATTGGTGTGCTCAACGTTACTTTCCACAAGCTGCCGAAACGCAAGGCCGCGATTACGTCCAAGAGAGATGACGTTGCGCAGGAAAGGAATGGCCTTGCGCAGGATGCCCCGCATAAAGGTCAGGAGGAAGGCCAAAGCCAGACGCAGCCGGGGACCACAGGCCACCGTAGGATTGTTAGTCAGTCGTTCGCGAACGCGCCGGTTCAAATACCTACTGTCACGTTTGACGATAACAGACACATCATTCCGCGGAACCTACTTCAGCCTGAGTTTTCTGCCTTCGAGTCTGCGCCCAGTTACCGAAATACGTTCGGCTCTAACGGGGTGTTCAAGGCCCGGACTCAGAGTCGGATGAACCTTGATATTGGCACCAAGAGCTGGGGCGCGACGACGGTTAACAAAAAATTACGGAATGAAGTGTTCAATGACGCATTCCTGAAGCAGCCGGTCGCTATCCAGAAGCACCGCCGGCCTCATCGACGGCCCCCAGTCCCAAGACCATCTGGTGTTTCCAGTCAACCGTCTCTGAGGCCCGCGACTTCGGATTCTATTTTGCAGACCCATGAATGGCCAGGAACTTTCGAAAGCCGAGGTCAGCCCCAAGGTCCCGTCTCGGATTTCGCGACGGCGATTCAAGTGCCGGCGCGGTCTACTCTTCGCCACGAAGGCATCCAGGCGGATGAACTGAAAGATGTTTCCAGTCGAGGTTCTGAGGACGAAGTTAAGGACGTAACCGGGACTAGTGCTCCTGAACCCGAAACTCTGGTTGACCAGGTCTTATCGCAGAAGCGGAAGCGTCGATATTCTGGCAGTGGATTGCGCAGGAAGCCCCAAGTTGGAAGCGATTCGAGAGGTGACCTCCAGTACTTTGAAGAGGCGGACCAAGGCTCGTATCAGGCAGAAGAGGGAGAAGCGGTCTTTGCGCCAGCGGAGGCGGTGGAGTCAACAGTAATGCCGGATGCACTGGGCGATGCTGGCGACTACGTGGACTCGCCCGTCTCTACTCACCCCTCCGGGCTGTCGCCAGTGTTCAAGATTCCTAGGCCAGTCAATCCAAAAGAAGCGCAGACACAGAGGGATTCGCGTGTTGAGTATTTCCTTTTGCTCGAGGATCTGACGTCGGGCATGAAACGCCCTTGCATCATGGATCTCAAGATGGGCACCCGCCAGTATGGCGTAGACGCCACGCCTAAGAAGCGGGAGTCTCAAAAAGGGAAATGCGCGCGGACGACGTCGAGGGAGCTCGGAGTTCGAGTTTGCGGCCTCCAGGTGTGGGATGCAAAGAGCCAGACATACATTTTCCGTGACAAGTATGAAGGGAGAAGGCTCAAGGCTGGAGCAGAGTTCCAAGAGGCCCTTACACGCTTCCTCTACAACGGAATTGACTATTACAGTATTCTCCGGCAAATACCCACCATCCTGCAGAAACTTGACCGGCTTGAGAGGATCGTAAAGGGATTACGAGGCTACAGGTTTTACGCGGCCAGCCTTCTCATGTTTTACGATGGGGACACTTCGACGGACGCCAGCGACTACGATACGTGCATCGACGATTCGACAACCGACGCGGCTACTGATGCAGAGGAGCCGTCCGCGCACAGACGAAGGAAGAAGAATAAGCGTGAGGTCGATTTTAAGATTGCCGATTTTGCCAACAGCATTACGGCAGCCTCACGTGTGCTGGACAGGCCGTGTCCGCCGCAATATCCTGACGAGCCCGACCGAGGATTCCTTCGTGGACTGTCCAGTCTGCGGAAGTACTTCCTGAAGATTCAAAGAGACACGCGGGCCGAGCTAGGTATCGAACCGCTACCGAGACACACGAGATTTGGAGAAGCGATGGCTCTCGACGAAGAAGAGGAGGGCTTCATTAGCGAGTGACGCCACCGTGGAGGGGGTCTGTCGTCATCGCCATTGAGCGTCGCGTCAGTATTGCTCTCCACTCTGGCAGTATAGATGGGGTGAAGCGAGTATGGGAATTGTGGAACGAGGCTCAACTAACAACAAGATAAATGACTTTTGTTGGGTTGATATAGACGTTTCGTCTTTCTTTCTTTCTTTTTTTTTTCTTTTCTTCTCTTCTCTTGTTCCATAATTTTATTCTGAGGGAACCTCTCTTATTTGTTCGGAGTGGAAGATGGTGCGGCTTCCTTGGCCACCATTGACAGGACGACGGGTCCACAACAAGGTATCACGGCCAATGACTGCATTTCGAGGAAGATGGCCAACATACCCCATGGTTTAGTTTTTCTCGTTTATTTTCTTTTTGTCTCCTTTTCTCGGGCATTTTGGAAGGCGTTGGCGGGCCAGAAAGGAAATTGCTATCTTTTTTTCTTTTCTTTCTTTGTACCTTCTATCTTTTCTTTGTTATTTCTCATGATCCTATTAGAACTTGGTGGGAGCAACGGTCATACCCTATTCATTCTTAAGAGGCACAAAATGGACACCTGTGTAGAGGAAATCAAATGGACAACCGGAAGTCTCTCTTTCATTTTTATTTTATTTATTTTTCTTCTCTTCACTCGCTTTCTATCTCGTTACCCAGGCTTTTGTGGGATACGGAAGCCAAGGATGATGACAATGGAGTTCTGAGGGGTTCACGAGATTGGCTCAAGGGATGATTGTGGTCAGGATCATTCTTACTTGTATTGTGTTAAGCGTGGGGATAAGGAGATAGATAAATAGGTAATAGAAAAAAAGACCGGCGTTTCTATCTCCGTTCTATTCTCATCCTCTCTCTCCCCGATGAGTGTAGAGTAATGAATTATCTACAATCTGTCACGACTTGCCCTCTTTCAACTTGGAAGCGGAGAGGAAAACGCCTCGGCTGGGTCCGAGCTTAGCACGGCACGTCGAAGTCGGCTCTCGGAAACGTATAGCTCATGGGGGAACCAGTTGGCAAGCTTCCCGCCGGGGACTCCGAGCCTGGGCTCTAGTTCCTCATCTTGTTTCCCCGCGACGAGGTCAGCGAGCGCACTTGCGCAGAGCCAGGCGTAAACCATGCCTTCACCATTGTAGCCGGCGGCGATCCATTCAGCAGGTTTAACGGCACCACGTTCATCGTCAGGTTCTTCTTCTTCTTTAGGCTCGCGTTCAGTAACAGGACTAGGTAACTGCCCAACGAAAGGCAGCCCGTCGCCCGTAACGGCAACGATGCCCGACCAGGCGGAATCCAAAGCGCCGCCCCAACTGGGAGAAAACACGGCGGGGAACACGCCAGCCAGATGTGCGACGGTGAGGGGATCGATATCGCCGTCGGCGGATGAACCCACCATGTCTCGCCCCTGATGTCCCGAACGGGCCCACCCGCCGCCGATGAGGAGATGCGAAGGAGGCCCCGGGCGCTGGGTCACGTAGTCAAAGCCGTTGGGGTAGATGATGCTCCAGGACCGCGACCCGGGCGGGTCCGGAGCCGGGAAGGCAGGCCCTGGTGTTTGGCAAGTCATGTGGGCTTTTACGGGGGCTAGGTTCGGCTTTAGGTTAGGGAGGAGATGGGTCGCGTAGGCGTTTGTGGCGTGGATGATGTGGTGGGCTGCGAAGGGGGCTGTTGCTGTTGAGGTGTGGACGAGGAACGGAGGGGATGAAGGGGAGGAGGACAGGGAGATGGAAGTTGCTGGTGTATGGGAGTGGATGGTAAGGCGGGATGGGTAGGTTTTGAGGAGGTAGGTCCAGAGATTGGTGACGAGGCGGTAGGGGAAGAGGGCGCCGGCTGGGTAGGAGATGGCGCCATACGGGAGCGTATTGAGGCCGAAGCGCTAAGTAGGTTAGTGCTGAAGTTGTAAAGGGCTCATATCAATCTATAAAGAAAACATGTTATTACCTCTCTTGCTTCAGCAGGTTCCCAAACGTGGACGTCCACCTCAGGCATAACCCTCCTCAACCTCTCCACCTTCCCCTTTGCCTCCTCAAACAAATCCCTCTCCAGAAAAACATCCACCGTCTCAACATCCCTAAACTCCGTCTTCCTCTCCTCTTCATCGACCCCCTCATCCAGCACCTGACAAACCTCCCTAAAACACTCCAAGTGCCTCATCTGAAACCTCACCAGTTCAACGGCCCTCTCCTCACCGAACCGCCTCGACAGCTTGTCGAGCTCCTCGTAGGGCACGAGCTTGCAGTGGCCGCCGTTGCGACCCGTGGCGCCGTCGCAGTGGGATCGGGCGTCGAGGACGACAAGGTGGGTTGTGGACGGGGTTAGGGCGAGGAGGGAGGAGGCGGTTGAGGCGGCGGTTATGCCGGTGCCGAGGACGAGGATGGTTGTTGAGGCGGGGGAGGCACGGGGCGGAGACGGGGACGGGGATGGGAGGGGGATCCGGGATCGGGTCCAGTAGGACTCGGTTGGGTTGGGAGACGGCAGCATTGCGGGTGTTGCGAATGGAGAAAATTGCTTGTAAAGAAAAGTAGTGTGTAAGGTGGGATGTTGGATTTAGAAAGAGATGAGATGGAGAAAGACCGGTTCTGATGAAAATGGGATTCTATCACGACATTTTTGTCCTCAGTGTCACGACCTTATCTTCCGTCGGCCGCCGGGCGCATTTTTGTCGGTGATGGAATCAATGTGTCGGTGACGCCCGAGATGGGCTGAGCTCTCGCCCGAGACCCGACGCACACTTGACGATCATCGTGACTGTCTCGGCCGAAATATTATGGTTGGGAATGTACCTTTGTACTTCGTAATGGCATTAAATGGGACCGTATGTTTTGCTTGGTGTTGTCATTGGGAGGAGAATGAGAGGAAGAGGCCAAGAGAAGCTAGTAAGAAGCGTCCGCCCGCTCCACCTAAATTGGACCCCTCCAAAGGATCATGGGGATCATAGCCAAGGACCCCAACCAAAAGCGATTTCCTCTAAGCTTGTCTCGGGTATCCTAGTGTTTAGCAGTGGAGTCAATTGCTCCTCTGCTGTGAGCCATACGGCTTAGCTTCTATTACCGATGCCTGGGGATTTTTGTAGTCGTCAATTGATAGCCTGGACTGTTCGGGTGACAATTAAACTCGTGCTTCGTGATAATTAGTCCATGATGGCGGTCGGGAAGGAGCTTTGGAGCGAGAGCTCCTTCCTTCACTTGAAGTACTTCTGTACTTTGTCCGTCACCAACGCCCTTCGCCAGGAAGGCAGGTACACCCGAGCTCAGTGCAGGCAGTGGCATCCCAATTTCCCCATGTTACACTCCACTCACAGTCTCTTGTCTCTGCAAGAGGCGATGCGCCTTGAGCTTAGATCGAACCCATCGAGTTGATGCAATGCGTTTCTCCTGATTTTGGAAACCACTCAACCCCAGCAAGTTTCCATTTTAATATCTCCCATTTCTCCTTTAGGCGCTTCGCATTCCACATACAATAGCACCTTCCATTTGTCAGAGGATCGACTGATCGCGGGCAAGCCAAGTCCGTGGTGGGGTAAAAAGGTCAAGCAAGGTTAACAAACTCCGAGCTTCGATGACACTAGCTCCCTCCCGCGTTGCCTGCCTCGGGTTTGTTCAAACAGCTCATCTCATGACAAGCTACTTATAGTGCTTGTCTCCTCGGATGACAGAGAGAAGCACCTTCATTCCTCGTTTGAATTCAGCTTATACCCCACACCCAAGACATTTTGCAAAACCTATCACATCTTCATCGTAGAGGACCACATATACTACTTGACGTCATCATGCCAACCATTCGACTCGCTACCGCCTCTCCCGCAACTCAGCCCACGCTGAAGGAGACCCTTGCCCAGCTCGCGAGCATCGCCCGCCGCGCCGCCACCCCATCCGCTTCCAACTCGCAGCCGGCCGACATTCTACTCCTCCCCGAAGCCTATCTCGGTGGCTATCCCCGCGGATCGACATTCGGCGCTGCGGTTGGTGGTCGTACCGCTGAAGGCCGCAACGAGTATCTCGAGTACTTTAAGAGTGCTGTAGATCTGGGTGATATTGTTGGAGAGGCCGGCGCCGGCGCTGGAGATGCCTGGGTGAGGAGGGAGATTGGTGGGAAGAGGAACATCGCGGGACCTGGCCACAGCCATGACGAGCAAGTAAGAGGCGATGGGGCGAGGGAGGAGCTTGAGCGTATCGCGAGGGAAACGGGCGTCTTCCTGGTCGTTGGGTTAGTAGAGAGAGCAGGCGGCAGTCTTTATTGTGCCGTTGTCTATGTATGTCCGAATAAGGGCATTATTGGCAAGCGACGCAAGGTGATGCCAGTAAGTTCTGCCACTGTGAATCGAATATTCTCTTCTCCCCAACGTATGAAAGCATATCAATTGATTTAATATATCTATGGACAGACCGGCTCCGAACGACTCATCTGGGGCCAAGGCTCTCCCGCAACCCTTAAGGCTGTCACCACCACCATCCGGGGTGTTCGCATCAATCTCGTCGCCGTCATCTGCTGGGAGAATTACATGCCTCTAGTTCGCCAAACCGTCTACGCCCAGAACGTCAACCTCTACCTCGCACCGACCGCCGATGCGCGCGAGACATGGCTCAGCCTGATACGCACCATCGGAATCGAGGGCCGTTGTTTCGTCGTAAGCTCTAACATGGCTGTAAGGGAGTCGTCGAAACCCGCCGCCGCAGCTGTCACCGCCGCCACTGCCCACCAAGCAGTAACAGATGGAGCTGGCGCCTTTTCCCACGCGAGCGACGAATCGCCGCATCCCAGATCTCCCACTATTCCCCGCCGAAACTCCATCTTCGATGAGGATGGCAACGAGATTGTGCTCCCGGTGAAGCACGCTGGTAGTCCCCCTGCGACGACGAGGAGGACTCCCAGAAGGAACTCGATTATCTGCGAAGACGGCAACGAAATCATCCTTCCTGGTCCGAAGTCTCCAACTTCTCCTTTCGCTTCCAAGTTCCTGCAGTCGCCTCCCCCTCCTCTTGCTCGACATATTGCGCCGCCCGCGGACAACCAAGAATGGCTGAGCAGGGGCGGTTCGGTCATCGTCTCGCCGTTTGGCGATGTGCTTGCTGGTCCGCAGTGGGAAGATGATGATGGCATTATCTATGCTAGTGTGGACTTTGACGAGTGTATTCGCGGGAGGCTGGATCTTGACACGGCCGGCAGTTACTCGAGGTTAGTAGCTCCATTGAGGTCCGGATTTACAATATCTACGTTGGAAGCTAACCATGTCGCTTTTCATTTATTTAGGAATGACTCTTTCAAGCTCTCCGTGGAAGGACTGAATCTCGAGGCACTCCCCTACTGAAAAACGGAATAGAAAGAGGTAAATATCGAGTCATGTTCGAATTTGTAAAACGGGTATCAGAACAAAACTACCAATGTAAAAAAAACCCTCCGATCCTCCTTTCCTTTGTTCCGAGTTGCTCTGTAATACATCAAGACCGTTCATCTCTAATACAATAAGTCCCCTCTCGCCCCCCCTTGGCCCTTGTCTTCATGCGTGTGACCTGCTGGTCGTCGTCTTGATTTTGATCCGGGCTTGTAAAATGAGGGCAACATTTTTTTTTTCCTCGAGAAAGCGAGTCGAACGGTGCCGTCTAGACTGGATGTCGTTTTGAAAGACCAAAGTCCAGAAAATGCAGAAACATCTCTTCCGTTGCTGGAAAGGGCGAAATATACCCTTGTACCCTTTTTTTCTCGACGCCTTCTCCAAGTAAAACCAGTAAGAAAAGGAAACAGAAGTGAAAAAGGAAGAACCGTAAACACATAACTCATTGCAACAAGACTGGAAAAGGACGAATAAAAAACGACATGCAGTGACCGCCATCCCTCAACTCTACTAGGGATCGGCAGCCGATCCCTTTCCAGCCACAGAAAGAGCATCGGCCTTCTCGCCCTCCTTCTCAGCAGCGCCACTCTGCTCGGCATCCTCCCTAGGGCTCGCCAACGGTGGGCTCGCAACGCCCGCACTTCCGCTCCCGCTACCGCTAATACTCTCCGCGCGTCCATGCGAGATGAGCCCACTCCTCACACTCGCACCATCACCAACAATGCTCTGCCTAGCATAGATGCTATTCCGCTCGCTCTGCAACGCTGGACCAATGCCGACAGCCGAATAAATACTCGTACGCTCCGCCGCAGAAGCCGTAACCCTCGAGCCGCTCTGATGAAGGCCCGGAGTGGGCGGCATGGTAGATGCCTCGATGTTAGCGCTCAGGACGCTCAAGGGCAGACTCTCGCGGCTTCCGCCCCAGAGAGAGGAAGGGGCTAAGGCGCGCACGGACGCGTCGGTGTCGAAGGAGCGGCGGCGACGGCGCTTGCTCGAGGACGCGAGGGTGAGGATCGATGCGTTGTCGGTGAGGAGGTTATTGGCCGTCGCCATGGTGTAGGTAGTCGGGTGCGGGGCGAGGTTTTGCGCCATGTGCGGGGGGAGGGCGGAGGCGGGGGAGGTGGTCGGGAAGGGTTGGTTGAAGGTAATGGTTTGGGTGTTGTTGTGGGAGTGGTGATGCGTGTTATGTATGTTGCTAGCGTTGCCGCCGTTCGCGGCGGATTGGATAGTCGTAAGCGTCGTCGTCAGAGAGCGCACGGAGGCCGCGGGCGAGGAAAATGTGCTGTCGCCGCCTCGTCGGCCTCCCCCTACAGTACGAGTCGTTCCCGTAAGCGACGACGCGCCATGGGACGGCGCCGCGATAGATCTAGAGGTTTCGCGATCGGTCGAGACGGTGAGGGCCACGGATCTAGCACCCGACGTGGCGGGGGGTAGTCCCTCGAGGGAGGACGTCATAGAACGATGGCGCTCGAGAGAGGTTTCGCTGCCACTACCAGTCGATACCGAGTAGACGCTTTCGTGGCGCGGGCCGGGATACGAGGTTCCGTTGCCGACGTAGCCGGATTCCGGGTAGGGGTTGTTCTTCTTGCCCGTTCGGCGCTTGGCGTGCATTCGCATCGAGTAGTTGAGTTTGGACGCGGGTCGGGCGGCGCCTTCGCCAGAGGACGAGGCTTTAAAGTTGGTGAGCTTCTTGACCCATGTCGAGAAGGGCCTTCTTCTGGGGGAGCGGTCGGTGCGCTGGTCTGTAGGCTTGCGCGTTAGCCGGGAATAGATTCGAAGGCACATGGTGACGTGGGTGTCATGGTCTGTTTGAATGGGATCGAGGAACACCTTGCGGTGGAGGTTTGTTTGGGTGTGTTTTTCTTGACAAGGAGGGCCATGGTAGTAAAGAGGAATCAAAGGCCAAAAGCTAAACATACCGTGAGTAGGCAACATGGCCTCTGCAGTAGCCATTCGCGAAAGGACTCGAAGTTCTCGTCGTCTTGAGAGGCTGCGATGAGGGGAGAGAGGGGATGCAAGCGGACAGTAGCGGCAGCGAAGATAAAGAGGCTCCTCTTTTTGTTTAGTCTAGAGGTCTATGTAGTAATGGGAGAGCTAAGAAAGGGGACAGGTAAGACCAGAGTTGGGTGTTGAGAAGAAATCACAAAGTCAAGGCTGGAGGATGCAGAGTCTGTGTGTGTGCAGATGATTCTCGGGTGATCAGCAAGGCTAGGCAGCGCTGGAGATGCACAGCAGCTTTAGTGGGAGTTTTTAGCGAGCGTGAGGTCCCTAGAGGGATAGAATTGATTGCATTGATGTCTGCTGAGGCAGTCTGGCAGCAATGAGCTGGGGACCTTAAAGACCTGAAAGAAGCGGAAGCATGAATGTATGAATTAATTTGCTGCTGTTTGAGGAATGAGAATCAGGCTAAAACTGAGGCTATGTCATGGAAGAAATCTGGTGATTTGAAGATCCTGAAGAGGAATAAAGCAGCCAAGCCTGTGCTGATTGTGCTGATGGGGGAATAGTGAAACCCGACAAAGCACAGGGCAACAAAAGGTGTGGTTTGGAGCTGAGATGTGCTGGACAAGGGCGAAGGAAGACAAGGAAGAGCGGGAGACATCATGAAGCCTAAATCCGAGAATGTCCGGGACCGGGTGTGGGCAGTTGACGGCAGCTGATTGGATGAGAACAACCAGAATCTGGGGAAGATGTGGATGTGATTAGGTCATCGGTCCTGGATGTTGGCGGCCCGGCTGGCTGCCGCCAGCTGGCCTGAGCTGCCGAACCTCACACCAAGTAGGGCACCGTTTTTCCTAGTTCCACCAGGAAATTCCTTTCCTGGTCAACAACGTTTGTTCCCACACTGGAGCCGTTGTGCAATGCCGTTGTATTCTCGGACCCTCGATTTATACTCGCAGCGCAGCCGGCTGTACCTTTGTACAAGTTCTTGCCTCAGTGCTGCCTATAATTATTTATACTCATCCCAATCTCATCTCTCTCGTCTCAGCCTCACTCCTTAAGCTTCGGTATCATCTTCCCAAGGCCGACCTTGCGATCCTCTCTGCCAATACACATCTCGCCAGGAGAAATGCCCATCTGTTGATCCCCAGGCCCTTTCGCCGGTCATGTCGATACGGCCCCTCCCTGCCCATGTCGCCGAAAAGATCAGGTTCTCCGTCCTCATCACCTCCCTAAACGATGTGGTTTCTGGTCTCGTGAAGAACTCACTCGACGCGGACGCCACCTCCATCAACGTCTCCGTCGACTACGCCAGAGCCACCTGTCTGGTCGAGGATAATGGGGTTGGCATTCCACCCCAGGAGTTTCGTCTAGACGGTGGTTTGGGGAAACCCCACCGTATGTGCTGATGCTTTCTTGTTCTTTTTTGGATAGTACGTAGGCTCACGCGGGATATTATGCAGATACCTCGAAGCTGCACAGTAAAACTGAATGCCATGGCGCGCATGGTGACACCTTGGCTGCCGTGGCTGCTCTGTCACTCTTAACCATTACTTCCCATCACCACCAACACCACTCCCATAACTGCGTCAGCTTTCACAATTCAACGGTGCTGTTTCGGAATACGCCCGCGAGGCCAGAGCAGAGGCTCCTAACCTTCCGCCATGGTACTCGGGTCTCCGTACGCGACTTATTTGGGTCTATGCCTGTGCGTGTCAAGCAGCGACCCGCTCTAGGAGACCGCACGGCTATCGAGAAGGAGTGGCGTCGGTTGCTGAGGGACGTTGTTGGGTTACTTCTCGCATGGCACAGCCCCGTCTCAGTATATATCAAGGAGCTCGGTTCCGGCCTCGAAGTGCGCTTTCGTCCTCCACAGGTACCTAGCACGAGGGCTCCTCCGGGATCCAGCGGTACCGACATGGATATGGTCTCTAGGGTTTCGCGCTGCCTAACCCAAGCTGGCCTAGCCGACGTTACCGACTCCGGTTCCTGGGACCAAGTGAGCGCGTCGTGGGGAGGCTTGTCCGTCCGGGGATGGATCTCCCTGAATCCCGTCGCCTCTCGACAGGCGCAGTTCATCTCCCTCGGCGTCTTGCCCATCCCCAGCGAACTTGTGACCAGCGTTCTCTACGAAGTGAACCGAGTCTTTGCGGATTCATCCTTTGCACTATTAGCCGATGAACCGGACGAAAACGATACTTTGAAACGGCCAGAGTCAAAGAGCAGCGTCGCTGCGAGCCAGAAGCCGAAGCGGAGCGTCGACCGGTTCCCCATGTTCTTCTTCCAGACGTACTTCGACACCGTATCCAGCATAGCGCGTTCCACTATTGATAATTTCATTAATCATAGTGTCGGCATCGAGTCGGTTATTCATGTGCTCAAACTTGCCTCCTACGAGTTCCTCAAGAAACATCATTTCAACCCTCGTCAAGGCCACCCCGTCTCCTTTGACGGTCCGGGGTCTCGTCAGGATCGTGAAGACACCCCCCTCCCATCTGCTAGCCGCTCACACCTGAGCGCGGCGCCAACAAGGAACTCGAGAAAAAGGCCGGCGCCTACAAATCGCATTGCGTCGCCTTCCCCGTTTGACGGCTGGAGCCGAGTTAAGTCAGGAAAGCCGCTAGGTAAGCCGACCGCTCCCCGGGTCCATGCGACCAAAAAACGTGAGGAGAACGGTGCTCCCTTTTCGAGTGCTCCGCTCTTGGCCAAATCCGGACACTTTCTTCGGGCCCCATTTCCCGATGCCGCGACTGCGGAACGATTATCCGACAATATCGCTGGTTCAAGGACGAATAGGGAGAATATCCAGGATCAGGATAGTGAGTCCAGTGACTGGATGGACAAAATCCTCAAAAACTGGAAAAACCCCGTCTTCGGACCCACCGAACCACCCATTCCCCGGTCCTACAACGAAGACGATCCCACCGGAACCAAACCAAGCCAAGCTACCTGCGGCCCCGGGCTCCCATCCCTCCCCGTCCAAAGCCACGTTTCCAGGGATAGCCTAAAGAAGGCCCAGGTCATATCCCAGGTCGACAAAAAGTTCATCCTCGCCCGAATACCCTCCTCCTCCTCACCCTCTTCCTCCTCGATTCTCCTGCTTATAGACCAACACGCCGCCGACGAACGCATCCGTCTCGAAGCCCTCACAAGCACCTACTTCTCCTCCCCGCCCTCGCAGCGCACCACCGCGAACACAGACCCCCTCCCCTCCCCGATCCAATTCGAGGTCCCCCGCCGCGAGGGCAAGCTCCTCCTGCGCTTCCAGAGGCACCTGTCCTACTGGGGGATCCTCTACAACGTCGACCTGTCCGCCACCGCCGGGGCGGATCCCCAAGCCAAGATCACCGTCCTCAGTCTACCACCCGGCATCATCGAACGGTGCCGCCAGGAACCGCGCCTCCTCATCGATTTACTCCGCGCCGAAATCTGGAAGCTGGACGATCGCCCGCCTCCACCACCTCCGACGCATCGGAGGGCCGGGGCCGAGGGTCAGAACGAATGGGTTTCCATGTTTGGGTCGTGTCCGCGCGGGATCATGGACTTGTTGAATTCCAGAGCCTGTAGAAGTATGTTCTCACTCCCCTTCTCTCTCCCCCCCCCTTTCTTTTTTTCTTTTTTTTTTTTTTTTCTGCTTTGCTAACCAAGAATTCAAAGGTGCAATAATGTTCAACGACTCCCTCACAAACGAGCAGTGCGAGACTCTCATCGCCAAGCTGGCGGACTGCGCTTTTCCTTTCCAGTGCGCTCACGGCCGGCCTTCCATGGTTCCTATCCTAGACCTCGGGGGCTTTCGGGGGTCATCCACGGCTTTGGATGGGCCCGAGGTGTCGTGGAAGGAATGGTTGGCGAAGGGTTGATAGGCGTAGAAAGAGCGCCCTTGCTAAGATAGGCTCGTCGTATGTCTCCTGGAATTATTTCGTCCGACTCCGTTCCATTCCACCTTGCTTTCGATGGTTCACATACCATATCCACGATAGGATATTATTATACCCCACCCAGAATAGTTACGAGTACGAAGAAATGAAATGACTCAATGATAATTGTCCCTTTAGAGGATCTAATTCTCTACATGCGAACCTCCCCATACTCGGTATTTCGAGCTTCCTGTGATATAAACCCACCTCCCCATGGACATGCCTATCCGTAGAACAAGAAACCTCTAATTGGCTGTGACATGATGCCTTCCTCCCTCAATTATTTACCCTTGCACCATTCCATGATTACCTCCCACGAGAACCACAACGACCACCAAACGGTAATGACGTATATACATGTATGCGGGCAAATCAACAGAGGGCCAAATCCAGTCCTGGGCCTTCTTTTTATATAGGCTTGCAAATGGGAGAGGGAAGAACGGGGGCATGGGCAAAAGTTTTCAATGCAAGTGCGAGGACGAAAAAGGAGAAAGAAAAGAAAATCGGGGGAAGAAAAAAGATTGAAAAAACAAAACAAAATGCTATGCAATTGGGGTCTTGGTATCTTTCATGTTCGCGTCGCGCCAACCATCCGGGGCCCATTATCTGACCATTAGTCGAACTAATATGTATGGAGTGCTAGATGCATTCAACAAAGAAACAAACATCGGCGGCTTCTCGTGGAATTAGATTAAGGGTTTTGGTGCGCACAATAGTAGGGTCAAGGGGAAGAACGGTAGCGGACCAGAGCTGCCGCCCGTTAGTTGTTACCGCCACCACCGCTGCCGCCGCCTCCTCCTCCTCCCCCTCCTCCCATACCAGTCCCGTCAAAGATGTTCATCACGGGTAGATACTCTAGCCAGGACGGCATCATCTCGTTCTGGAGACCCAAGGCATTAATGTCAATATCTTGACTGTCAAACGTAATGACATCGGAAACGTGACCGGTATTGTCTGCCATATATCCCATGTTCCCACCATGATATCCCGCAGGACCAACCGGACCTGGATTGCCGTATGGCACTGGTCCGGGCATATTCGAAGCTGCGCCACTAGGGTTAGCACCCATGGCGTGCTGCTGCTGCTGTTGCTGCCGTTGGAGATGGTGTTGCTGGTGACGCTGGTGTTGCTCGACCATGGTGGCAATGGGCGAGCTTTGCATAACAGATGGATCGTAGGCGGAGGAGTGGGAAGGCGGCGTATAGGTTTGATGCGGCATTGCTCTGAGAATATTCATCTTTGGAGTCTGGTCTACTGAAGGAGGCGGTGTGGTTATATCGTCTGGGGGGATCGGATGACCCTCAAAGTGCCTCATTCCCTTCGTAGGGGTCTGGAGGCTAGGAATTGCTGGCGCCGAGTGTTGTCGACGGGGTTTTGCAGGGTGCGGGGATCGGCGGATGGCCGAGGTTGTCGGTTGAGGGTATGCTGGAGGGAACATGGACGGCGCTTGCGGCACACTTTGGCGAATGGGGTCGTATACCATGTTTCCTGGGGGAGTGTCCGCAGTTTTCCCATCGCCAGACGTTTGTCCCTCCTGGGCCTGGGCTGGTTGATTAGACGGAGCCGCGCCGCCTGCCATGTTCTGGTACATAAGAGTGAGGTTCGAACTGGGCGAGTTGCTTGTGCCCGTCAGCGACCAGGCGATGGGCGGAGCGGTGGGCGATGCGGGACGCTCAAAAGCCGGAAACCGGCTCATTGAGCCACGCCGCATGGGCTTCGTACTCTCATACTCCTCGTGCGTATAAGTTTCAACGTCCCAGATGCCTTCCGATTTTTGATCTAGCGCCGTCAGAATGTACTTCACACCACCCCAGTACGTATGGAGCTCGACCAGGGACTTGTAGCAGCTCTGGTAATTCTGGTTGGCTGCGGCCGCCAGGAGCGAGTGCTTGTTGGAAACTCGAGAGCTGGCCTGCCCGCCCTTTGCCTGCTTGCTTCCAGAGGGGCTCGCCTTTGGATCTGGCAATCCGGAGGTCTCTGGTACGTCTGGTCTTGAAGCTTTGGCGACCGAGTCCATCAGGAAGGCACAAGCAGCAATGTACATGGGCTGGGACGTGAATGGGTTGCCGATGAAACTCTTGGCACCGATAAGCTCTGCGAAGGACAAGATGTCTGCGATGGTCTTGGCACTCGACATGGAAAGCTCTCGACTATTGGGCAGGAGTTGATGCGTGCGGCTGAGACCACCAAAAGGCGCGAGAAGGGTAGGCTGGTGGAGAATAACGATCAAGGCATGGAACCAAAAGTGCAGAAGGATGAACGTTGTGCCTTGGCCAGCGTTCACGTAAGTCCTGAAGTTGCCAGCATTGAACTCTAGTCGCTGATCTAGGGCTTGGTGCTGCTTGGTGAGTTGAGTCTCCATCTCGGCCAGTTTCTTCCACTTCTCGTTGGTGAGGTCTTTGGCATTTCGAATGTTGTTCAGCACATCCGAGACTCGTCCGTAGAGATGAATAATCCTTACAAAGTGAGGGTATGGATCGGGCCATCCAGTGGCCGGGTCAATAAGTGGTTCCGGTAACGAGAGCTCGAAGTCATCATCCCTAAAAGTAACAGGCCGTCCGGTTCCCGAAGATATAACTCTATCAAGAGTGAACACGGCCCAGAACGTATCGATGCGCTCCTGTTCCACTTCTTTCTGTTCAATTGGACTGAGGTCACCTGCTGGAGAACTCACTTCAATATCGCCCTCATCACCGGTGTCTATGTCCGTAGCCGTGGATGGGCGGTTCCAATTCCTCGTATACCAGGGGTCTTTCTCGCCTTGGTACTTAACTCCCACCACCTTCTGAAGACCCAGATCGACCGCCATCCTGATGGCAAGGCCGAGGTACATCCAAAGGGCGCTGTCTTGATTCGCGCCAAACCCTTCGTACGCCATTAGCAGGCAAGCCTGAACTGCTCCAACAGACGGGCATGGAAAAGTGTCGACGGTAACAGCTTTTGCCCTTTGTGCGTAGAATTGGCCAAACTCAGACTTAGCCAGCCCGCGGCTCTCGAGTCGGGTGAAAACAGGAGAGTCGGAAAACCTAGCAGCCAGAGCACATACGGCCTCGACCAAGATCGGCTCCACCCTCTTCTCCTTTACCAAATCATAGAACCTTTCTCGTTTTAAGAAAGGGTAATTGCATCCCAGGTGGATGAAAAACGTATCAACGAGACCCAGAATTAACGTGTGAACAGGCGCGGGATTGTTTGGATCGTACACGGGAAAATCCGTCGAGATGGAATCATCTGGGTCCGTCAGTTGGAGCGAGCTTGGAACTGAAGTGTTTCCGCCGGTCGGGTTTGGCAATACAACCGGCAAGGAACCGGGCATAGTATTGCTTTGGCGGCGATTCTTGACCGAGACCACCATCTGCTTGAAGCCCGGAACGATGGCTGTGGGTCCGAAGTATCGGAAATATGGAACCCGGCGGACCTCGGGCTGATGTTCAGTTGGCAACGCTGAAGCGAAATTAATTGCTTGGTTACGCCGCTTTGGATCGGACCGCTCGCTTGGGCTATTAATAGTGTGTCGGCGTGCAAGAACGGCACCTCTCGGCAGCGCACTTTCTAGACTCCGTCTCCGACCGGGCCCACCAGTTGGAGATAATACCTGCTGCGCCGCAGTAAGTTTGGATTTTGAGTGGCGGCGCTCGTCATCGTGTTCGTCGTCAAAGTCATTATCGTCAAGGGCGGTGAAGTCGGTCGAACTACCTCTGCGCCCCTCCCCGGGCGCCCCGGAATCTTTCTTTTTCTCAACAATATCGCTGTAGCCTTTGCAGGTGTGCCCGTTTTTGGTACAAGTGGAGCAAAATGGACGTTCGCCAGCACATCTCGTTTTTCGCCTTCGACATGTTAGACAACTACATCGCCCCGACCGAACAATCGACTATGTTAGTGGGACGGAATCGTTCTACATCTTGGTCTGGCCCTTCACCGATGAAGTGTTGTATTCGAATGCTTCGAAAACGGGTCTAAGAAACTCACGCAGCATTTATTCGTCTCCGCTTCGACGGAGGTTGGCCTTGGTTGTGGACAAAGCGAATCTGCCTCGGCTGCGGGATCACGCCGTTCATCATGGCTGCCATCTTGTCCAACTAAGAGTAGACCATGATGGCGCCGACCGATAAAAGGGAAGGGGAGGGTAAGATGTGCCAGAGTGGTGCGAGCACTGGTAAAGTTGGACCGGGGATGCTGGAGATTGGTGGGGTAAGGGACAGACTAAGTGCTGGGAATTGGACAGGATCGGTCTGGGTTGTCGGGTGTGTCTTCGATGAGGGTCAAGGAGGGTCAAGGAATGAATTAGATATCGCGACTTTCCATAAAAGCGAACGACGATGCGGGCAACGAACGGTATAATTTTGTGAGGAACCAGTAGGATGAATTCGAGAGAAGCATAGTTCAGATGAAAAGGAAGAAAAGAAAAGAGAGAACGAGGATGAATCGCAGCTGGGGAAGAAAGCAAGACGATCAGTGGCGGCGACCGGGGGCAGAGAGAGAGAGAGAGAGAGAGAGAGAGAGAAAGAGTACTTTGTATGGGCTACAATGACGGGGGCAATTTGCAAGTCCCTCTTACTTTGGACAGGGTACAGGACAGGACAGGACAGGACAGGATGGCGGCACCTGCGGACATGGTGGGCAAAGCGACAGAACAAGGAACAAAGTACGAAAGTCGAGTCTTGGAATAGGCAAGAGCCGGGGGGGTCTCGATGGATGCTGACAGGGGTCCCGTGTCCCCACTAATACTAGTAACCGGCTTGTCAATACAGATCAAATGGCTGGTGCTGTCGAGGCGGCATGGATCTCTTATGCTGAGGTATACAATTGTAGGGAAGGGAGCGATGGAAGAACCGCAAGAGAGGAGTACATCAGGGAACCAAGGGTGGGCGTGAACATTCCGGAGCATCGCATCATTGATCAATAGTATTAATGGGAATGGATTTAAGCTCGTTAGGCCAGGCCAACTATTGGGGGCACGAAAGGTAACATTGAATATTAAGCTTTGAACCAGGCCAGGCCATGACAGGGCAGGAAGGGAGTGAGGACGGCACAATCCTGAACTGGGCCAGCGCAAGAGGGTTGAGGCAGCGGCATCCGACTCGAACTTGTAACAGTTCTATGGGAACACTTGTCTGAAGATACATTATGTATCTCTGTTATTGAACGTCCCTTCTTCCTTCATCCCAATTAGCTGCGGAAAGAACAGCCATGACTGTGAGGGACGGGTAGCCGCAAATCCCTGTCTGAGGATTGATAAGGATGGAAGGAAATACTTCATCCTTCATCAGGTGCAAAGTCCCCGGATACTGGGAAGTACACATCAAGATCCAGTACACTGTACGAAGTCGCTGGACAGTCATACCTTCCGCTAGCTTCTTGGCTGGGCCTCGAGGTGTTAATGCAAAAGCAGGCGGTCAATGGCGTGGCAAGGGTGACGGGGACGGAGACGGGGACGGGGCAGGAACCCGGCGACCGTCCCATAAAAGATAGGTACATGCTAGGTGAGATGCGGACAGACAAGCCATGGCGGGATAGACAGGCCGGGGTGTGCAGGCAAGAAAAGATTGACGACTTGGCAGAACAAGGTGGGGTGTGTGGGATGAAGAATCGAGGTTCGTACAGACACTAAGAGCTCCTTGGAGGAGAGCGCCCGTCGAGGGAAAATGCATGCTAAGAGCAATGCAGCAGACCCTTGCCCACCCAACAACAATTTCACCAGCCAATTGGTGAGAGCTTGGGCGGGACGCACTTGCTGACTCAACTCAATGTGAAGCATCCTCGAGGTCGAACAGGCGTCGCAGAAATCTGGGGTCTTCGCAGTTTACATTGGGTTGGGTTTCTTTTTGATCCCTTTGGTCACCGTTGATCGAAGGGCAAAGAACTGATTCAGGGGTGTTGGGGGCAAGTCAAGGCACGGTATAGCTTGTTCGTGCGACAACGCGGCAAGCGGATAATAAGAATAAGACAGCGGACATGTTTGAGTCGAGAAGCAGCCTCTCAAGATGGGGGGCACGAGAACGGCGATCACCAACTAGTTGGGGCATCGAAAGGATCCGAGGGGTTGGTCTTGCTGGCTCTCTTGACTGCTTTGGGGGTCATGCGTTGTCAGAATGGCTTGACAAAAGATTGGATAATCGAACTTCCGCTTCCGATCACTGTCCCAGCTCACTCACCTGTCATCTTTCTTCACCTTCATCCGGGCCAATTCAGAGTCAAGATTTCACCGTGGAACCGAGCAGGGGTTTCTTCTCAAGCATTCTCGAACGTATCCCGTCGGTTGGTGGCGAGAGTTGCTTTTGTTTTCTAGACCAGGCCTCGCCATCCAATTGGGGGTGCAGCGCATCGACAGGGTTTTACTGGTACAACAACCCCACTATTAGTCCAATCGCCAGGCTGGCTCGCTCTCCCTGGATCCAAGTTTGGGCAGCGGAGTGATGGGTTGGTGGGGTTGCATGCACGCAAAAAGCTCCAGACAGGCCAAATCATCGCAATGCTGTACTTGTGTGGTTGTTTACAGGAACACACCGAGAATCTTTCCTTGTCAGGAAGACATAATTGCGGATCGATTCGTATCGCCTGGCCTAGCCTACATTTGCTCAAGAGTCCGAGATGGAGCTGGCTTGGACTCGGTGGGATGGGCCAGATTTTCGTAAATGCATCGAGTAATGAACAACCCAGGCAAAGACCTCCCCTCCGAGCTCTGCCCCCAACGCTCAGTCTCCGGAGCCTGGCCTAACATTGGTCTAGATCCCAACCGGTCAGTGGCGGCTGCGGTGATATCGCAAAGGAACCCTGGAAAAGTGGTTAAGCTTGCAGCTCGGCAAATGTGTCCGCCATCCGGAAAGGCGCTAACTCTGCAGCACCCCGCGCGGTCCGATGCCGCAAGATGACGCGGAGTGGTTTGTTGTGGTACTTCGTGCAGTGATGCCGTTGATCGATGATCGAGGTGTTGCTCGAGGGTGGCCAGCGAGGGCCTGTGCCCTGGTTATTGTTAGTACCATGAGTCCTGTCCCAAATCGTAAATGGGGACTTTGCAGTGCATCACTGCGGCATTTCCCAATATTTCACACACCTCATGCAGTGGTGCAGCGATCTCATTTCAGTCCACGGATCTCGGCCCCATTGAAGGTTGAGATTGGTGATGTGAGAAGAGCTGAGAGTTGCAACATCCAGCCGCTGGCTCTTCCCGGGAATTATGTTCATAGCTCCGAATGCCTGGCAAAGCCGTACAACACCCCAGCTCGCTGCATTACCACATTCGCTACTCCTCTCTAGGCATGTATCCTAAGACTCTATCGTGGAGTGGAAGCTGGGACCTGCACTCAACTCTGCACTTTGCGCGAAGTAGTAGTAAGTGGGTACTCACAGGCCAACACATGCCATCACGTTGCCTGGCAAGGGAGACATAACCGTCCTTCAGTTCCTTCCGACTTACACCCTGACTCGCATCGGCAGCTCCTTCCCGCTGTGCAACTTGTACGAAGTACCACCCGTGTACCTGTGTAGTGTACTTCTTACTTACTCCAATATCCACGATGCCAGGGTCTTTCCTACCCTGCATATTACGTGCGCGAACCGAGCGACGCCTCTGGGAAGGTTGGTATTTTGGTATTATGTAGGGAACCCTCGACAAACTTGTTGACCAGGACAATCAACCGAGCTCTCTTTCGCTCTCCTAGCACTGGTTCTCGACCCCCTCCAACCTTGGATTCGGTAAAGTCTCGAGGTTTCTTCATCTTATTTGCATATGGGCAGGTCCCATCCAGCCTGGCAGATCAACATTGTGACATCAGCGGCAGCGGAGCCCTGGGATGAGTGGACGACCAAAACAAGATCCAGTCCCGCTTCCACGCTGGAGTTCAATGCTGCAATTGTGAGTTCTTTGATCCATTGTCTTCATCCAAACCCCACCAGTTGGCGAGTCATCGCCGGCTCACGTCCGCGGCCCGGAACAATCCTCCCCTTTTGGCGCTTTGAGATCAATTCTAAAGCTATCGATTGATCAATGATACCTCTGCCCGTCCCTATCTGCGCACCCCGTGGATTCCTCTGCCTTCCACTCAGGCCCGCCGTCCACTGACAGGCCAGCGCCACACAGCACCCGCCGCCGCCGGGCCACTTTCACGATTCCTTCCGGGCTCCTCCTCTACTTTCCCCAAAACGGCCGACCGAACAAGAAGTGAAGGAGCTTTGCTATTACTTATAAAACTTAGGAACGCGAAGCTTTCGAGATTCCAGTCTCAAGCTGGTCTGGCGCATAATAGCCTAAAACAAACACCAAGGTCTAACGTCTTACACCACACCCCCACCCCACGCGATCCTTCTCCAAATGGGTCACCGGCCACTTCGAGGGGTTTGGGGAAAATGGGCAAATCCCCAAACCTTGTTCGCCAGCGGCGCCTAGACCCGTCGTCCCATGTTGCTTCAGTTTTTCCTGTCCGGAGCTTGTTAGCCTGGGCCTGGCCTGGCCCGTGAGCTTCTGCAGGCACTGTGTTGTTTGGGCTGATCTGACAACAAACCAAGAACCCCGTCGATCACTACGTGATGCGCGCGGATCTCGACGACTCCAGCGTTCCTCGCCCATGTTCTGGCTTTTGAAACAGCAGTTGCATTTTGCCATGAGAAGCGAGAGGTATCAGCAATCCTCAGCTTCGATGATCTTGGAATTGAATAATATTGACTAGCCCAAAAATATACTGTGGACACCAAACAAGATTATAGACAAGAATAAAATGACTCCAAGCTTCTGGCTGTTCTGTACGCCTCCATCGAAGATAACGCCACCCACATCGCTGTTTGGGAATCAATAAAACGGAAAATCTCATCCTTCCGTGATCCGACGCCTGAGTCCTCCCAGCAGCCAACTCCAAATCGTATCATCTCCCTCCCTAGTCCTTGTTAGACCCCCAAGGCAGACCATCCAGCGGAGGGGAATAGTTCCCAATAAGAAAGGTCACGCATGCTTCCTTTTCCTCCGCGAGGCCGCCATCGATCCTACTCAAAAGCGGCCGTATTAACCAAACACGATCGTGACACCCATCTCTTCACTGACCTTTCTCCACAAGTCTCGCCCCTTAAATGTCGGAACGCAAGTGTTGCCGTTCCCGTTGCCGCCCATACCGCTATGCCACGGCTTGGAAAGCTCCTCCGCCGCATCAGCTCTTCTCCACACTTCCCGGACAACAGCCCACGACTGCTCAATGTTCACCATGCCCTGCCTACGCTCGATGGCCATGAACGCCTGGTTGGCAAGATCTCGATCGCCAAGAGTGATGGCCTCGCAGGCTGCGACAAAGAGCGGCCACAAGAGCGCGCCCATTGGACCTTTGTTGCGGACTGTCGCTACGCAGTGTGTCAGGGACACATGGGTGTGTCTCTGGACGAGGGCGTGGTTCCTCGAGTGCCCGTATATCGTGCGATGTAGATATACTATGGCACTGTGCTGATAGGCTAGTGCCGTATTGAGCACCGAGTGAAGGTGGGCACGCTCGGCTGCTGTTGCTGCTTCGCCGGTCTTGGTAGTGTTTCCGATCGACTCGCACGGAGTAGCCCCCTGCTCGTCGTTGTATAAGACGTAGAACTGTGGGGGTACGTTGGGCTTCCATTTCTTCAAGGATACGTCAACTATGTAGGCCTTCGTCTCAAATTCGGTTTGGAGTGCCGAGAGCTTGGCGGGGTCCATGTTGTTTCCTGGTGCAGCTTCTAGCTCCTTCTTCAACGACGCGAGCGTGGCGAGCCTATGGAGAAGTGGCCAAAACGTGTGGACCATGCCCAGCAAGGTGTCCATGTCGCTATTTGTGGAGTCCATGCCTTGTTGGAAGGCTGTGAATACGGCGCTGGAATCTTTTGATAGTGGTGCCGTATCGAACGACAAGGCTGCGATTACTTCGTAAAAACGGAACGTCTATGGCGAAGTTAGTATGACGCATTCAGGGATGGGGAGGGAGAAGGGTGATGATGGTGACAGCACATACCCTCTCGAGGAACGCGCCGGTGGAGTCCAGGCCCTCACCGCCTGATTCGAAGATAGACATGGCGCCTTTAAGATGGCCATCCACAAGGGTTGACCCTCCAGCCTTCACGAGCTGCAGCATTACCTCTCAGTTAGTCCGCCCCCTATCGATACTCAGGCGAGAAACAACCTACCACCTCATAATACACAACCAGCATAATTGCTGCCAGCAACTCGTTTTTGTCCACCTTGGCCCCCTTCTGAATGAGTTTCGCAATCCCCTGAATCGCCTGGTTGTAAAACCAGGTAGCGTTCTCGCCCTCGGGGACCGGGGTACTAAACGCGAGGCCGCGGTACTCTCGGTGGGCGCTCGCGAGTGCGTATACGGCATTTCGGACGGCATCGCTTTTTTGGCACATGGGCATGATGAAGCGTTGGAAAGGGTTGCCAGGCTCCTCGTAGAGAACAATGAGGCGCGACAGGAGGTTATCGAAGTGGTCCATGAGAGTCCGGTGGCGGTGCAGATGGGAGAATTCGGAGTATACGGGATTTAGGAAGCTGTCGAAGGGTATGTTGAACTGGAATTGTTGGGCATAGGGGTGCTGTTGAGAGTATTGTGGAGAGAGAGAAACGAGACCATTTGAAGTATCGAGGTCGTCGAGATTGCGGTCTTGGTCATCTACGGTGAACGGCTCCAGCCCATAAGCTTCCAGGGCAGTGGGAGAAAAGAGGGGTATTTCGATAGGTGAGAGCAGAGTTTCCCCATGCAACGGCGCCTGTGATATCGCGGAGCCTAGGAGTAGGTCGGTAGTAGGGTTTACAGGGTTGGCATGAGCAGTCGGCGTCTCTACGATTGGGGTGGTCACTGCTTCATCGTCCCAGAAGTTAAAGTCGCTTTCCAGCTGTTGCAGTGCCAGGTCCAAGTTGCTTGGATGCTTCCACTCTACAACAGAGGTGGGTGAGAGGGGACTTAGGGGGTCCCTCGAGACATGCGCCTTACGTTGACGGGGCTTGATCGCTTCGTAGATACACTCGAGCTGCTTCTCGGCGCAACGATGGCATGATGGCCGTGCCTCATTACATTTTTTCTTCTATAAAGATTGTTAGTAAGGACTGCCATTCCCATGTATCCAACCGGTCTGTCATTGCGTGTTGGGATATGTTCGGCCGAGATCCACACCCGGTGACTATGTACCTTTTCCTTGCTAGAGACATGTTAGCAGCACAGTTCTAACCAAGGGATTAACAACTGGAAAGGCTGGGCTCTACAGTATACGCACCATTGCGTGCATCCTGCTCGGGACCTCTTCTTAGGTACCTTGGGAGGGGCAACTTTGGCGAACAATAGCATCGTGACTTTATGAACGACCGCAGCAGCACGGAGGGAGAGCAAGCATGATGAGGGAGAGGGGACAAAAAAAGAGAAGGGGCGGCAGAGTTGGACCGCCTTTTGGCTCGTTTTGCTTTGGAGGTTCTAGAAACGCGCTGCGGGATACGCGACGCAGGTCCGATGTCGAAGTCGGAGTACGGGCCCGGTCTGCGAATCTTATAGGCTGCGGTCGGGGGTTCCCACGTGGGAAGGTTGGGGCGTGTTTGTGTGCGTGTGTTGCGACTGTGGAACTGGATCTGATATAAGGTGGGAGGAGAAGGCTCTCCGGCGAAGGACGTAAGAAGCGAGTGTTAGAAGTGAGATTTCAATAACGGGCCGAGTGGGAAGGTTCCAATAAATGGGTGAGAGAGAAGATGGGTTCGTTATTTAGTGATTCTGCCTCTTGGGGAGGAGGTAATGGGGGGTTTTGGGGAAAGGGGTCCCGGATTGTTGATTAAAGATTCCACTTTACTGGCGAGTTTCGAGGTGGCCGGGTCAAGATGAGGGTGGGTACAGGGCGCGGAAAAGAAGGAGAAAAAAAAAATTGAAGAATCGATGGGATGGGACACTACGAAGTACGAGCTACGACACTAATCGTTCTAGCTCCGATGGAAGGTTGATGGTGGGGACGACGTGGGTGGAGCCAACAGAAAGGCTTGACTTGGGTTGATGTTGAAAGGGCGAAGTAGGGGTCGAATAATCGGTGGACGGGCGTAGGACGACTTCGTCTGAGTCTGGCAACGGACGAGGATTGGGAAAGAATTGGCGAATAAGAAGGCACGCCGGCAGGGCCTGGAATAGATTGTTGAGGTGTCTAAGTGATTATTGCTCGAGGGGACAATGGAGAAGAAGAGGATGACTGTGGAAATAGATTACTTTTTAAAGTGCCACCTTGCAGGGCACGGAATGCGGAGACGAAGCACGAGAACAATGGAGGGGGAGTTCGAGACGGGGAAGAAAAGGAGGGGAAGAGGGGGGTGGTATTGGAAACTTCTGATCATTTATCGTGGTAGTTTAGAATGGTAGAAATCTGGGGAACCCGAGTCGAAAGCCGAGGGATCAAACCTGGGGAAGTTGGGAGGGATCGACTGATGCACATTGATGTGGATATGGTTTCTGGGACATGGTGTATAGGATATCGATGTGGATGGCAAATGGGAGGGGGCCGGAGTTGAACGTTGACGGCTCCGAAGGGTTACAAAGGGTTACAAGTACGGGCTATTTCAACGTTCCGGATGTTCGGGCAGCTCGTGAAGGACCGAAAAAGATGAAATGTGTGTGTGTGTACGAAGTATGTGCTTGTCGTGATGATTCACATCAATTGATTCTGTTGGCGGGTAGTGGGAAGAATGAGCAATGTACGAAGTCATCGATTGGCTATTGTCTTAGAAAGGCAAAAGTTCGCCGAGATCCGGCAAGAGTCGAGAGCTATTGCCTTGTAATTTTTGTCGTCTTCTTCTCGGGGAAAAGGGCACTGGAGGGTTGGCTGTAAGTGTGCAGAGTAAGAAGGCAGGGATCAAGCTAATCTAGTAGGAGCAGGTATGGGGTATGGTGACACTCGGTGTGCTTCCCTTTCCGGTCCCAGAGAAAGATGAGTCGGAACTAAATGTGAACAGAACTAAGGTGGAAATGGCATGGTCGTCGAGTTCCGTAAATGCACAGGGTGGAGGTCAACTCGTGGAAGGAAAAGCCTGGATTCGACCCAAGTACGAAGTACCTCAAGCACTACTGATGGGAGATGGGGAAAGAGGTTCTGGGTTCTGAGCTGATCAGTGGCGGTCGACATCCTGCGAGTTCAGAGGGGTTTGGAAAGAACGACCGAGTGCAATGTCGGATGGCGAGCTGTGATTGGTGCGCATATAGAAATTGATCACTTGTGGTGAGGGACGGCGGGGACATTGGATTTTGCATATTGATTATGGGCCCTTGATTGTTGATGAATGGCGGAGCTCTTGCAAAGTACGACACACTGTATTCTCCAACATGGAACAGAAGGAACATGTGGCAAGCAGTGTATTACATGGCCCTGCGAAGTACACCACTTCGTACCTCAAGGGCTCGATAGTAGATGCATTAGCTTCATGACATCATCAGCAGACTACGATGAAGCAGTCCGGGTTGAGGTTGGCGCCTGCCCCAAATCTTTCATAGTGGGGCTTTCAATGTTGCAGGCGACGACCGACTGGCTTGTATTGAGGTACCTGGGTATATCTCGCGAACCTAGAAGGCGCTACTAAATCGTCGTCGATTCATGAACGATCTGCTCGTAGTGTCCGTTCAATGTCCCAGTCGAGGGAATTCTGGCATCAGAGAAGTGGTGCACGTTCTTGCGTACTCTGTACTCTGCGAGTATGTTCCATGCTCAAGAGAGGAAAAGATTTGCAGTCTCAGGTTGGAAGGCAGAACCTGCATGATGCCCGCCCAGGTTTGTCGGTCAGCCACGCATCGAGTGAGACATGCTATTTCTGGGGTGCAGCTAGACTCGATTCATGTCAGGTCCCGGTTTGGATGGGGTCCGAATGAGGCAGGGCGTTGAGAGTGGAGGGGGATGGGGAGATTCTTCGTAAAAGCCGAACTACGGCCGGCAGTTGGGAGGTGGATGCGTTTCGGTGATATTGAAAAATGATATCTGGCTCGGTCAGGAAACACGCTCAGCCAGTACTAATCACGGAGCAGCTGTTGTGAAATACATCGTCCTGGGAAGAGGCACAAGCTAGGACTCGAGAACACACTGCCATTCTAAACAACATCAAATGGCAAAGTGTTTACGTAGTATCAGCATGGCGAGTCTTTAGCGTACCACCGAGCCACCAAGATCGCAACGGCATCTCGACGTTACTTCGTACTTCGCGCTACAAATACGAGTAAAGTTAGGGAATACGACTGCAGACTACGAGTCTCTTTAGTACTTTGGAGTGCGGGGTTTGCCGTACTATTATGCATACGAGGGATGAGTGGGGAGGATGGACACACATGCATGCAAGCAAGGGATGAAGAACCTTGGGCTGGCAGATCAAGATCGAGTCGAGACACAGTTATATCGGAATAGTATTATCTCATTTATTGCAAGTTATGCTTGTATATTTACTGGTCTTTTCTATGTTCTATGAATCTACTGGGGCTGGGCTGTGTGTGCCATGGGCAAATTGTAGAATCTTGGAAAGAAAGGTAGTTCTCATTTGTAAGACCTAGTCCTCTCTTCCGCATCTACAAAGTATGGGCAACGGAATCTACTTTGCTGAGAATCCCTCTTTGTCCGAACCCGCTAACACAAATGCCTTGAGTAGTATCGGGGCTGATAATTTATTCATATGAATACTGATGTTGTTTGAAGCTGCCCTGCATGGATAGTCTGGAGTGGAGTTTATCAATTAAAGAACTTCACTTGTTGCCTAGTTCTTCTGGTGAGACCCTATCCGGCTCCCTTCCGAAAATGCTTCGGTCCGTCTCCCAATCAAGAGGCCGTTCACAAGAAACGGGTAGATATTGTCTGTGTCCTGTCACTGGTGATGTTTAAAACAATTTGTTCATGGGACCTGCAGTTAGCCGAGCACGGTAATATCAGACATACATACACATACACACACCTCTTGGAGAAGGAGGTATAGCTTCTCGTGAATAGTGTGATGATATGATTTCACGCCGTGCTGCATGAAACCCCGTTCCTGGTGCAGACAAGTCTTGGGACGTTGCAGGACCGTCTGCCCGGCTGCGGGAATATTGAAACTCAACTTGTGCGAAGTACTGAAATTATCAATATCAAACTAGCATCGATGCAAGGAATGTGAAAACACACCTGCCGTCTCCCATTCTCACCAGCTCCGCTTCCCAAAACAGCACGCTCCGTGCCGATATTTCTCCATCTGGAACATACATCGACACATCAATAGTTTAACCTCGTTTTGTTCCCTCGCGTTTCCACCCGTTAGATGCAGATGCACGCGTGTTGCTGGCTCCTGAGCTGTCATGGACGATTAGCCCAATCTCTCTGCCTGGCGTTTGGGTAAGAAGTGCCATACTCGGCGGATGGAACTGTCGTAGAAGCTCTGCGCAGGGGCAAGGGCGAGGGCAAGATGGGATAACCGCGATGGGGAAACAAATCGCGAACCTTGATTCTTGACGACCTTGACGATTGAGGGACTCGCTGATAACTTCACTATGGCTTCCGTGAAAGGAGGCCAGCAAACCTCGCCATCTATTGCAACTACAATACCTAGGCTTGTCTTGTATGTAGCCTGCAAGGAACAAGCACCCGTCATCTATATTGCCTAACACCCCTTAGTCTGGCGGTCTCCACTGTCCCGGATTGTCGGGAGCATGTTCCAGACCTGCTCCTGCCCACATACGACATATACAACGAGCGTATTTTGCGGGCCATGCCATAGAAGCTTCTTTTCATTTCCGAAAGAGGTTGTTCGTCCTGCAGGCAGACTCATTCATATTTCCTGACGTTTATGCAAATATATACATGAGCTCTCCCGTGGCGGCAGCCGTCCTTGCATCAGACGATGAGCAAGAAGGCCGACCCCATACGGCTCCCCGTCGCTGGTTTCTTTTGTTTGCGAGAGCTCTTCATTCTTTCTGATTCCGTCGCGGGGTAAGATGGATTCATCAGACGGCACGAGAATAGGGTCACCAGACGGGAACCCTACCTGTCCACTTAGACATCGCAGCCTGACCCGTCACGCAACTGAAAATGATCATCTGGCACACCACCCTTGACATACCGCGGGTAGCTGAGATAAAGGTATCCGTGTCGAAGCGTCCCACATTGCTAGAGTGATCCAATCGAGTTTTGTAGATTGAGGTGGGCTGGACTGGGCTGTGTCAGTCCTGGATATGGCAAATTGTGCTCAGCATTGATGCTTAACACGCGCCCGCTTCTTCGGCATTTGAGAAGCTTGGGCGTGACGGGGCTCTCCACAGGACTCGTTGTTCATCGAGCGCCCACAGAGTGAGGATAGCCTGCCGGTGCAACTCTATCTCCTAGCCGTGGGTGGACCCATCCGACTCAACTGAGGAGGGGATTTCAATGATTCTAATAATCGCGAAATGGCCAGGCTGGTCACCGACTCCGCCGGCCCGCTCGGTTTACCCTGGAATGGTACACCAAGCACCCAAACCCAACCTTAACGGAAGCCTCAGCCTTGTTAACCCAGCGATGCCGAAAATTAGAGACTACCGAATCCCGGGGTGCAGACCCGGCGGCTACGGGAGAGAGGCGATTGGCCCCCTTTCAAGTTTAACAAAGCGGGGGAGTCTTTGAACCTTTTTTTCTCTCCCCCTTCTTTTCCTAATCTTTTATCGCCTCACCACGAATAAAGGAACCCATCAGATCGGGCTTCGGTCACGTCCTCCTGCCTTGTACATCGAGGGCGGGGCTGGAATGTAGACATTGGAGCTTTGATCCTGGTGGACCTTCGTCGGTGCAAGAGGTCCGGACTCCCCGCAGGCTCCGGTGACATTTGATTTCGGGGTTGAAAGCCCGTGTATGCTGTGCAAGGGCGGATCGATACGATGCAATGACCTTTTGACATTACTTCGTGGGATAGTACGGGAATAAAAATAAAAGAATACGGAGAATAAAATAAAGGAATAAAAAGAAGAAATAAGAAAGGCGAGGGGAAAAAAAAAAAACCGGCCAAAACAAATCCGCCTCCGAGGCGCCCTCCGCTTTTCAGTACAGCAGAGCCAGCCTCACTCGCAACTTATACCCTTTTCTAGGGAGGAGGCATTTAACAGAAAAGCTTACGACAGACCAGTACCCATTAATCCAGCCTGCTATAGCTTCCTTGCTATTTATGGCAGGCCTCCATTGGTGACAAGTCTCCGCGACATGTCAGCCCACGCTTTTCTGACAGCGTCACCATCCTCTTTCAGCTTTTGGTGTGGCCAGGCAAAAAGAATGGCGGACAGGTGGTATTTGGATGGGACAGCGTGGCTATGACCGCGGGAGCTTTCTATTGGATCTGGTTGCCCCCAGTCATGCTGGCTGCAGTGTGCAGGATCTGATGCATTTCTCTGCTCAGCCCCCAGCAAATCGGACCTGCTCATCTGCGGACGAGCTACGAAGTAGTGTACATGGCGTTTCCAACGGTTCTGGTTGGCAATAGGTGCGTGAGACTGGATGACCAGGCTCTGACGAAACGTGGGTATTTTCTCCATTACATTTCCGGGGATTTGGGTCGAATTTCGAGTCGTTCTTTTTTTTCCTTCTTACTCTCTTCCTTCTTTTCCAACCTCCTTTGCTATCATCCTTGTGACTACTTTGACTGAGAGACAAGGGAAAACCCCTTCATTAATCCTAGGATGCTCCCTTGGTTTGACGGTGTGTGTCCCCGGTAGTTCCGCCGAGAAGATAAACCCAACAACATTCCAATTGCCCCCGGCTCGACCCAGTCAACCCCATCCCAGCGTCGCATCGTCGGCCTGAGCTCTTTGTACGACGCTCTCCCCCGCCCTCTTTTGTCATCCCTGCCGTCCATCTTCATCTCGAGACCTCCGAAGCTCTTGCGTGATTAAGCCAAATCTCTTCCCTTCCTCTCCTCTCTGCATTCTTCTCCTGGACAAGTATTCGAGATAATTGGACATACAATAAACAATCCAACATCAGAAGAATAAACGGGGAAAAAAAAAGAGGGGAGTCGGCACCGCGATGGGTAGCAGAAAAACGAGCCCCTCACTACGATGCGCAGCGACACTCTTCATCGTCGCTTTCCTCATCTCCGTCGACGGGGCCGAAATCAGGCACAGGGACGGTATCCACCGAGTATCCAAGACGCCACCACAAGTGACGCCCGGTCCGCGACTCGACAAGAGGGCTTTGACGGCCTGTCCGGCGAGCTATAGCCTATGTCCTCCTGATTTGGGCGGAGGGTGTTGCGCGGCGGGATATGCGTGCGCGACCGAGTCGTGCTATGCCACGACGAACGGGCCGGTGTCGTGCGGTGGGAACGCGGGCTACTTTGCTTGTGGAGCGGACGTTGGAGGTAAGATTCGACGGTTTTGGTTCAATTTCCTTTTCTTTTTTGTCCGTCCTCCTTCGGAAGTGCGAAACTAACCTTTGCCGTGACTGATGTTAGGTGGTTGTTGTCCTGTGGGATCCGTCTGCCAACGAGGCGGAAATTGCGTAGCCGTGTCCGGGGTCTCCTACTCCCACGACTGCGGGGACAATTCCTATCTATGCCCGTCTGAACTTGGGTACGGGTGTTGCAGGAATGGCCTCGCATGCGGCAAGAACCAGTGTTACGCGACCGAGCCGATGACGTTAGTCTTCACGAGGACGATGACTACGACGGACGGCGGCAACGCGAAGACTCTCACGAGCACGGTGACGACGACTTCGACGCCCTCGGTCGGCGCCGAACCGACGGGCGCGGCTTCGGAGACCCAATATATAAAGTTCTACCCAACGGCGGTGCCAAAAGTCGACCCTTTGATCACCGACACTGGCGACGACGGCGGCGGCGGCAGCGGGCTGAGCTCAGCGCAGATAGGAGGAGCCGTCGGGGGCGCCCTCGCTCTTCTGGCCATCATTCTCACAGCCGCGTTTTTCATCATCAGGCGTCTAAACCACGTGGCCAAGGTAGTGAAAGAAGGCGGACCGCCCTCGACAACTCCCGGCTCGCCTGGCGACAAGCCGGACTACTTCAACCACAAGCATCGGGAATCCGAGGTGGACAGTTTCACCACGGAGCTAGCAAGCACCTCGTCTCCTCGGACGCGGCACAGGAGCGCATCCACGGATACCTCGGAGCCCGCGTCGTCGATTTTCGGACGGCAGTCGACGCCTGGGGGTGGTAGTAGTGGGTTCTCTTCGCGCCGGCACAGTCACCGATCGAGCGCCGATTCGACAGCCGGACGGAGTACGCCGGGGACGTGGACGCGGAGCAACAGCACGGCGAGGAGCAGTACGCGGGCCTCGGGAAGCGTCGACGGCGCCGTGTCATACGAGACGGAGCCGGACGAAATTGCCGAACTTGAGGCGGGAGAGCGGATCGTCGAGTTACCAGCCGATCCTGTGACGAGGAAGGCAGAGACTGCCGCGAGTAGTGGTGCGACGACGACTCTCGCGCCCCCGCCGACGCTGGGCCAGGGACAGGGGCATAAACGGAATAATAGTGCTGCTGGGCGAGGAGCGCCGCAGCTGGATGTTGTTTCGGAGGCGGGTGAGTTCCATGGGTATTATGGGCCGCCGGATAGGCTGATGGGCCAGACTGGAGCGGGACAGAAGGCGACGTAATTGGGATATGGGGATATGACGACGTGGCGAGGATGGATTAAAATGCGGCTACGGTTCATCCGGTGGAAGGCTTTTTCTTTTCGTCATGATTTGCTCTTATGAATTCACTCATTTAGCGTGGCGTCAGGTGCTTGAAAGATTGGGTGGAAATGGGAAAAAAAGGGATCAAATGGGTATACTGAAAAGCAGCGCCATGGATTGAGTGGGATTGAGAGCGCAGCGCCACACTCCTTTCTAGATCACCAAGTCTTTTTGTTTTGTTCTTTTCTCTTTTTTTTTGCTCACTTCGTATAGGGACGGTCGAAGACTAAATCACATTTACTTTTATATGGGTAGAGGGTACTAATAGTTGGATTATCAGACCGAGAAAGTCTTGTCTTGTATTAGATATATTCTGGGTTGCAAGTATTAAATATGATTCTACCCAGCTCATCATGTTTCTTTTTTTCTGGCTTTTTCTGTTTAACGAATCATTCCCAGAATGCTTTGCTTGCTATGCCAGACGCTCAAATCTAAGGGGTATCCTGTGTATCTTCTCCTTCTATCAATTCCAAAGAGGGCCAATAACTCGTAGTTTCTTTGTCTCGTTAAGGCTCCGAAGATGGTGTCTCATCCCCAGAAAACCCTTTCTCGTATTAATCTCCCGCTTCGACCATTACCGCCCGCGCGTACCCCTGTGTGTGCGGCCAAACGCCTTTCCATGCTAAAGACATCCCAACCCCGTGTTTTCCTTGTCTCTTTAGTTGTCACCAGGGAAATTATTCCTCCACTGTTTGGGATTCATCCCACTAAAGTTATTCGCGTCCGTTTTCCTCGCGGGCGTCGCACCCGTAAAGTTGTTCCTCGGCAGACCCGTGGGATTCAACCCGCCAAAGTTCTTGGCCGCATCGCCGCCGCGACGAGCAGGTGGGGTAGCACCCGTGAAGTTGTTATGCGACTGGGCGTTAAGGGAGGGGGTTGGATTCGTTCCGGGGAAGTTGTTGTGGGACTCGAAGACGGGAGACGATGATGTCGAGTCTGCGGGGGGGGATGTGAAGGAGGAGCGGCGCGAGGCGGGGCGCGAGGAAATTGGGGTGGGAGCCGTGGAGGCGGCGGGGGTTTGGGCTGGGGTGCCGGATCTGGAAAGGGCCTCGAGAAGTTTTCCGAACATGGTGATGGTTGTGTGTTTGAGAGATTGGCGGATGATGATGGAGGTAGAGTTGGTTGTGGTGATGGTAGTGTTATATAAGAAGTCCGAGTTCACTTATATAAGAGTCGAGGTTCTTGGAGTAAGTGGGTTACTAAGAGGAAGAAGGTAGATGGTTGGAGAAGGTAGAGCTTCTGCTTTGGGGTGAGCTTGTTTGAAGCTGATGCTTTGATCTTGTTTGATTTGATGATACCTTCAAGAGAAAAGGGAGGGAATAATGTCAGGGGACATGTCTTTATATACTAGATTGAATGTTGAATCCCTCGATAAGTTTAAACATGGAAGCTACTCAAACATTCGATCTCCACCCATCCGAGACCAACTTGGGTCTCTTCCCGCGGTAAACCAAAAAAAGAGGGCCCCTGATAGAATGGCTTGCTTGCTTCTAAAAAAGAAAAAGTCTATCTCTCGGAGGAAGCCTAATAGTCAAAATCAGGCTCGGTGGGGAGTGCCGACCCACCGGGCCCGCTCCGAGATAGCGAAAGCGGGTTTCATTATCGGAGTTGCGCCACACAGACCTTTTTTCATTTGTTTTTTTCTTTCTTTTTCGCAAAAACAGAAAAGCAAGATCTACAAGTCTGCGCAAAAGTGCCCCCTACGTTCCTAGACTTCAATTTATTGCAGTATTATCGCAACGTCACTGTCGCTCCATCGAACCTATCACGTTCTTGAAAAACGGCAGGTGTCTCTTGCGACTCGTTAATTAAAGTGGCGCGGGCATTGCGACAGTTGCGCTGTCAGCGTCAGCGAAAAAGTGTCGGTGACAGAGTGACTCAGCACATTCGTGGTTCGGTTTCTTGGCGGTGTTCGGCGTTCGGGAGAGAGTGGGCCCACCCCTCCGAAAAGTGGGTCCCGGGACGGAGTACACTACTTTGCGCGCCGGTTGCCCTCAGCTTTGAGATGACGAAAAGAAGATCAAGTCCTTCGAGGGGAAAGGGAAAGAAGTGGATCGAAGAATGGTGATTTCAATAGCAAATTCTGGTTATCCCCCTTCTTTTTCTCTTTTTCTATCTTGTGTCGAAGAGGATGGACAGAGAGATTCTACTTCACTTCGTATGTACTGTACTCGATCTCGATAGCTTCAATTGCCAAAAGGGTCAATGTGGATCACAGCAAAATGTGCCATAAAACCGGGGCAGCCTGAGATGGCGCAATACTTCGTTCAACATGTGATTGGCGCAGGAACATGACGTATCGCCGTATCAAGATTGCGCAGCTCTTCGACTTTGATCAATTCATTGAACGATCTCGGGAGAGACCCCCCACCTTCAACATTTTAACGTGGGCCAAGTGGCGGTCTCAAATCCATTTTTGCTCAAAAGGTATAGGCCTCACTTCTTTTCAATATGAGTTTTAGATGATATTGAGGAATGGAATGCCTGACCCCTTTCTCCTCTTTTTGTTCGTAGTTTGGAAATAGGGGCTCACGAATATTGACTCGGCCGTACCCATCACAACTTCACATGTCGAATATCGGGACCTTATTTCGTCGGAGTTCATGCGGCGCTCCTCCGCGCCGAGATGCATGCGATGCGGCTGCGCACATAAGAGTTTACATCTTGTCCCTGAAACAGGGGCCAAGAAAGCTTGGTAGAAACTCTGCCAAGACGCAAAATGTCAGTTGAATCGTACCCAAGCCTTCGACCTATGCCCGATTAGGGAAGAAAGCGGCGTTGGCTTTTTTTCCGATTAGACTCCCGCGTTGTTGGGTTCCTGCAACTGCCTTATCGGCATTCGGAGAGTCGGGATGGAAACCGTGAGCGGTGCTAGGCCGAAAAGAGTCGAATCAAAGAAAACTTCGGCCGATAGACTGTTATGGGCCCTGATGGGTCTTGATGGACTCTGATACCCGAGGTTAGCGAAGTTGGGCGAGGGAGATAAAATCCAGAGACCATCCGCAGGGCCGAGAGATGTGATTTTCTTGAATCTCGGCCTGAATGAGGCCTCTTTGAGTCAGCGCGGTGGGCTCAAGGCTGTGTGTTGATGGGTTTGTTAGAGGGGTCTGTCTTGCATAGGTTGAGGCTTGGGCGACTACAACTACGAAGTACTTCCTACCAAATCAACTGCGCTTTCGATACCCTTTTCGACTAGTTCCGATACCGCATGCGATCTCATGCGAATGATGGCGATTCCCGGACGTTTTCTTCTCCTTGGCGATATTGCAAATCGAGGACCTCGATGTCGGGTAATTACGGTTTGAGGCTTTGACAACATTGACCTGCTGTTACAATAATACATCGAGAGTCTTGCATCTTTAGAATCGTACCAAGTACTTCGTTTTCGAGCGGACCGACCGACCTTTCCCCTCTTTGTCGACGAAACATAATTTCAACCAATGGTCTCTTGATGCCCACGAAGATACTATTCCGAGAACGGCTCTGTATGTACTACCCGTTGCAGCGACGCGACTATGGCAGCGTGAGATAAAGACGGCCCGCAGTACCGCAAGCTTTTCTTCGTATCGCCGCCGGACCCTCGGTGTAAGAACCATGCGCCGACCATGTTATCAAGTCGGTGTGGACCTAGTTCTCTACACTAGAGTCATAGTTGACTAATCTTGGGATCCTGTCAAACAACTGAAGCGATTGGGACTTGCCCAGGCCCGTTCGCGTCTTCGTGGGGGATCAAGTCTAGCTCTGACTCTCTAGTAGCCGGCTTATTCCGCTCGAACCCCTGGCAGTCTTGGTCGTTTGTTTACATGAGACAGATGCCCAAATCGCCTCTCTCAGCAAGGGCGTTGGGTATTCGAGACCCACATCTTGCGAAAAGATGAAAGAAGGAGAAAGGACTAGTCTAGCTACTCTTGGCACCCCTTGGATTCTGGAATTCGTTCGCCTGGAAGCCATACCTCCATCTCTTACCATGATGCATTGTATTGGGATACCCCTCCTTAAGCTGGCATGGGATCCGAGCGACGTCGAACCATAACTCATTGTGGTATGGACAGACGCAAATGTTTGCCAAGTACAGACGGGCATAGGTTGTGCATTGGTCGTCTGTTGTGGTGCGTGTCTGCTCCAGTCGTTGCCCCACGACGACGCTGGCTCAACCATTCCTTCAACTTTAGATGTGCTTGAAGTGCCGTCCAAGTTACGAAACATAGAATACCTTCAATCTGCTTGCGTGTAGACCATAATCTGCATTTTCCGACGATCACGTTTGTTTCCTGACTATCACCAACTCGATACTGGGAATGCACAAGGCTGCAATCGCGAATAACAAAGGTCCGCATAGCTCATGTTATTGTAACATCCAGCGTGACGGCTACTCGTGTCGATAGTTCAAAGGAGAAAGGGGGATGATATTTTGCCCCTAGACTCGGCCACAACACCTTCTCCATACTCCCTAGAAGACCATGTACGAGTCTACACCTCGCTCTGTATCTAGCCACCTGGATCTTCAAACTTAGTGCACTTCTCAATTAGAGAGGCCAAGACATACTAATACTAGGCAAGTGGCGAAAACGCTGGCTTTGTCTCCGTCGAGTTGGTGAGGATGAAGCCTCGTTGCCAGCCAGTTCGGGTCCTTGGCCCAGGACGAACTCTCCACTCCACTGATGGAATAACCATCCGGGGGGGGGGGCGGTCTTAAGTATCTTTCAAATTCATCTCTGCCACTGCCTTATAGAACCCTTCTTACCGACCGGGAACGAACGAAAAGTGAAAAAGAAGCAAAAAAGTGTCCAGAAAGAGGAACCAAAAAAAAACATACAACACCAGGGATTCGCTGGTCGTCACCGACCCAACTACTAGTCTGGCGCTTCGCAGCTTGTGTACAGGGGAGCGGACGGGACCCTCAATATTCTGCGAGCTATGGCCGTATGTATCGGTCTCTGTCGCTAGGCTCGCTGATAAGGGGAAGGGAAAGCAGTTGGTGATGTTGCCGACGGGGTGTCCTGAGCCCTTTCAACCACACTTGGTCGTGGGCCCAACTGATTTCAATGCTGCACTGAACAGGCGAACTAACTAGGTTTTCTGTCTCCTCTTATAAGAGAAGGGAACCCCGTAGCGCATCGTAATATTTCGGCGGGTCTACCCAACGATGGAGACCGACAAGCACACTGGCATTACAACTTTCAAGATGGGTCCGCACGAGGGCATCCAGGGAGGTCGGGGAGAAGGTGGTAGAAGCTCGCCATCTCTCATCGGCTGCCGGCAAAACGGCTAGACTGCCCATTTTGTTGATACTAGATAATAGGCCTTCCTTTTTAGTTCGTGATATTCATTTGAGCAAGCTGTTGAGTCGTGGGACAGAGATTCAGAATCTCTGAGCTCGATTTAAGGGCGCAGTGAAAGTGAGATCCAAAATATTCCAGCCAGCTGGCACCAGATGGTAAATTTTCAAAAGTGGGGCTAATAACCGATAAGATAAGCGATAAGATAAGAAATTTAACAACAGAAAAGTTGCCCGAAATTTTCCTGTGAAGCAAGTCCCCTCAATTCGGTCCAGACCGAGATCCCTCACCACAGTGCAGTGCGGTGCCTGTAAAATCCGACAGGATGGTAAAACGAAAGGTTGCCGCGCTCGAGAAGATCGATGCGGACTTGTAAGAACATTCTTCAAGGAGACCTGCCTTGCATCTCCAATGCTAACTGTGCCCCAGTGCTAGCTTGCAAAACAAGATCCGTCGCGATCCTAGGTAGGCCAGCCACCCACCAACTTCCAATTCTTCCCTAGGATGTCGGGGGAAGTACTGACTTCTCCGACGATAGATCATACAAGGACGATTTCCAGAAGCAATGGCAGCAGTACGAATCCCAGAAAGAGATCTTCCTCGTCTCGCCCTCAACAGCCACGGCGGAGTCCGTCGAGTCGTTCCACAACATCATTGACCTCATCGCGCACGTCGCCGACTGCTACATAGAAGAGACGAAGACTTTTCCCGAGGATCTGAAGACCATATTGACGCAACATCATGCCATACTCAACCCTGACCTGCGAGAGAAGATTGTGGGGAGCTTGGTACTGCTGAGGCGAAAGGATGTCATGGACTCGGCAAGTCTGCTGACGACTCTGTTTCCCATTCTTGTGTCGTCGCCTAGCAAATCTCTGCGCGCCCTACTCTTCCAGAAGATTACCATGGATCTCCGAAACTCGAACTCCAAGTCCATAAACCACCCGCTGAACCGGACGGTGCAGACCGTGCTCTACAACTTGGTTACCGGGGATCGTTCGTCCGCCAAGGCCCTTTGGGCGGTGAAGCTTACGAGAGAGCTGTGGAAACGCCAACTCTGGACGGACGCGAAGCCGGTCGACGTCATGAAAGAGGCGTGTCTGTCAGATAACGAGAAAGTCGTCGTTGGTGCTGTGCGCTTCTTCCTCGGAGGTGACAAGGAACGTGAGGAGCTCGAGGACGATAGCTCTGACGAGGAAACTATCGATCTTAAAAAGGTCCAGCACCAGCTGGGTATCAACAAGAAGACGAGAAAGAAGGCCAAGGCACTCGATCGCGCCAAAGAAAAGATTAGCAGGCAAGAAAAGAAGAAGCACGCGCCTCATCCGCTCAACTTTTCTGCTCTTCATTTGCTACATGACCCTCAGTCGTTCAGCGAGACTCTGTTCTCCAAACACCTCCAAAACACCAAAGCGAAGCTTTCGCTCGATACCCGGCTACTAGTTTTACAGCTTGTCACGAGGCTTGTCGGTCTTCACAAGTTGACCATCATTTCCCTCTACTCCTGGTTTCACAAGTTCCTCACGCCCAAACAACAGTCCGTCACGTCGTTCCTGGCATCTCTTGCGCAGGGAACACACAATCTTGTCCCCCCGGAGTCGATTGAGCCGCTTCTCCAGAAGGTTGCCAACGAGTTCGTTTCGGAAGGTTCGGCAGGTGAAGTCGCGGCGGCTGGCCTCAACGCTATTCGAGAGGTTTGTGTGCGGCAGCCCCTCGCGATGAACGAGACTCTCCTACAGGATCTTGTACAATACCGCAAGAGCAAAGACAAGGGTGTCATGATGGCTGCCAAGGGTTTACTCTCTTTGTACCGAGAAGTCGGTGCGGAGCTTCTGCGGAAGAAGGATCGTGGCAAGGATGCCACAATTGGTCTTAAGACTGGAGACCTTAAGCATAAGAAGTTTGGTGAAGAAGAAGCCAGCGGTATCGAGGGTCTTGAGCTCCTTGTGAAGTGGAAGGAGGAGCAGAAGCGGAGGAAACAAGAGGAGAAGGCATTCACGGGCAACGGTGAAGAAAAGAAGGACGGCGAGGACGAGGATGAGGAGGGATATAATTCTAGTGACTGGGAAGTCGAATCCATTGATAGCGATGACTTGGGTGGCTGGATTGACGTTGTTCATTCTGATGACGAGGAAGAGCCCGCACCGAAGAAGCGCAAGACTGGTGAAGGAGAATCAGAAGACGAAGATGATGATGACGCCGCAGAAAGCAAGGAGGAGAACGGCGCATCCATCTCCAAGCTCGCCACTACCACAATCCTCACGCCCGCCGACCTCGCCAAACTCCAAGAGCTCCGCATGGAAGCCAACCTCAAGAAGGAAGTAATGGGCGTCAAGACCCAGCGGCAAAAGGAGCGCGAAGCCCGCCACATCGACGAGGGCGTGACGGCTGAGCAGATCGAGCTCCCCGCGACGTTAGGCCGCAAGACGACCAAGGAGGAGAGGATCGCGATGGCCAAGGAGGGCAAGCTCTCGCGCGAGGAGCACAAGTCGACGCAGGCGATCAGGAGGGAGAAGAAGGTTTCGGAGGGCAAGTCTACGACGAATAGGGAGAAGTCGAAGAAGAAGAATTTCTTCATGACGTTAGGTAAGGCCAAGTCGAAGCAGAAGAGGAGCTTGGTGGAGACGAGGAAGGTGTTGAGAAGGCATATTGATAGGAGCAAGAGGGGTGGGAGGGGAAGCAATCAGGGTTAGAGATGAGTATTGGTTAGTTTTGGGGGTTCTATATATCCTAGTGCATCGTTCTGTGCGTTTCATGGATTTTGTGGTCCAGGGATTAAAAAAAGTGTTGATTTCATTTTATTCCTCCGCTCCGACGTGGCTATACCGAGAGTTCAGTTTCGTGGATGTAGTATTGATGACGGTGTTCCACCTGCGCAGAAGGTATAACCGCCTAATCCCTCCATTGATTGTGAGCGTTCAACGACTCGCTCTCTTCCTGCCCCGGCCTAGCCCCCATGGTCCCATATTCCCTATGGCCGTTCTCCTCGATGCGAGCTCCGTTGTTGGCTTCCGTGTCCGAGTCGTCCTCGACATTCTCTACCACTTCTCCGGTTTCGGGGTGAGAGATGAGTCTCCATCCACCTCCTGTCACCCTCTCCTGTTCTCGATTGCTAAGGGAACGAAGCCACGATGGTGAATTTTCGTCGGAAAGGAACGTGATGATGATCTGTATGTTTGTGTGTTTGTTATTAGCATCCATAGCCAATCACTCTTTTTGCTCGTCGCGTCCGAGAGCTATAGCCCCTTACCTGAAGAACAGCCAAGCCGAGAACAACTCCCAAATCGGCCCCGACAACACCCCTCAACGCACCCTCCCACGGGCCCCCACAAGCCGTATTCCTCCCATATGTATCAACGCAGGCCCTTCCACCCTTCGAGTCAAAAGGCCAAGCCATATCCCTCACAGAGCGCAGACCACAGCATTCCAAAGTATCCTGTATCCGCCGGATGCGGGTAGCATCATGCGCCGAGTAGAGAGATTGCCAGTGGGTGAAGAGAGGGCACGGGACCGCGTTCGAAGAGTTTGGAGAGAGGGATTGGCCGAGGAGGGTTGCGATAACGGTGAGGAGTAGGAGATGTGCCGGGGGCAGGAGACGGATGAGGAAGGGGGCTGCGGTTGGGGATTTGAGGGTGCGGATGAGGAGGAGGGTGAGGGGGGGGAAGAGGAGGGGCAGGATGATGGGGAGGAGGATTATTGGGGTTGGGATTGGTAGGGAGAGGTTGCGGGCGGCTATGAAGGAGGTTCTGGATGTGTTAGTTTTGGTGGAACTTGGAGTTTGGAGATGGGGATGGATGGGGCTTGGGGGATTTACACTGCGATGCCTGTGAGAGCGAGACACAGGAAGATCTGGAAAGAGTTAGTCGGGGCAATTTGTGACGGTTTTACGAGGAATTGGAAATGTAGGTCTTACTAGGGCATAGAAGTAAAGGTGTTGTTTGGGCATCGTGGTTGATATCTCGTGAGAACTGTCAAGGGTATAAAAATGTAGTTGTGGAGATGATCAGGAGTGCGCGTAGATGAAGGAGAATCGGGATGCGAAAACAGGTGAGATAAAACAGAGCCAACAGCAATACCAGCCTCTTTTTTGGAGATGGATTGAGGGGTTCGAGTGCTGGGCATCCTGTTGATGTCACATCTGCCGCAGGCCAACTCCTGGCGGTTGGGAGCACGGAGCCAATGGTTCGATGTTGTGCTACGCGAGATGTAGTGGCCAATGTGAAGCTTGACGCTGTAAAGGTTTCTAGTTTGGGAATCACCAGCTGTCACTTGCAGAATCAGGGGACATGGAAAATGAATGCAGTCTCGCCGTCTCCGTTGGCATCCAACAAAGTGAGGACGATATCCAACCTAACATATAATTCTAGATCTAGTGGAAATGCGTACAAGCGCCGAGAGAAACCAAAGCTCAAGCAGTCTACCCTCCATAGTTCAGAATAAAATGAGAAAAGGAAAAGAAAAAAAAAAAAAAAACTCACTCGCTTCACCAACACCAAAGTCTCATTAAAAAAAAAGAAACCCAGTATCACCTCTTCTCAACCGCCTCAATAACCTGCCTCAACCACCAAGCATGAATCCGCTCATCAGCGGTAAGTTCCGGATGGAAGCTCATCCCCAGAATATTCCCCTGCCTCACAGCAACGATATCCCCCGCATGACCCTCCTCACCCTGCGCGGCCTTGTCTACCCTTCCGGGAAGCACAGCAAGGACCTCGACATTCTCGGCCGAGTCCTTCCCGCCATCCGTTGCGGGCTTGAGGACCTCCTCGACGATGGGCGCGCGGATGAACACGCCCTGGTACTTTGCCGCCGCGCCGTTGCCATTGGTCGTAGCAGCGCCGTCGGCGAGGAAGGGGAGATCTAGATCGGTGATGAAGCTCTCAATCTGACGACCGAAGTGGTTCCGGCGCACGCGAACGGCGAGACCGCCGATGAGTTCTTGGCCGCCCTTTTTTGTGGCGTTGGCTTCGTCTGCTAGGAGGATCATGCCGGCGCAGGTTCCCCATGTTGGTTTGCGAGATACTCTGGTGGTCTAGTTAGGACATAATCTTTTTTTTTTTTTTTCTTTTTTTCTTTCTTTCTTTCTTTATTTCCTATTTATTTCTTTCATGTTTTTTTCTCTTCTTCTTATTTCTGAATTAGACATACTTTACAAACTCTCTCAAAGGCTCCATGAGCCCCGTCTGGGTAGCGATGAGCGAGATGGTCGTGCTCTCGCCGCCGGGGATAACGAGGGCATCGCACTGAGCCAACTGGGCAGCGGTGCGCACTTCGACGACGTTGACGGTTGGAGAGGAGGAGTCCGGGTGCGCCGAGGCTAACCGGGCGGCCGCTTTCCGGAGGAGGTTGAGGTGTTCGTGGAAGCCGCCTTGGAGGGCAAGCACGCCGACGGTGAGGGAGGTGACTGGTGCCATTCAGGAGAAGACAGGGGGTATAAGAGATAATGGCGGGGGAGGGGAGGATGATGAGAAGAGTGAGAAGAGTGAGATGGGTTGTATTAAGAGTTGTAGAGTGAAGCTGAGGTGAAGAAATGATAATGCGCTATGAGTGAGACTGATACCGATAAGCGGCCGAAAAAAAAAAATTTAGACGGGATTTGACTGAGGTAATTGCGGGCGAGTTACGAAGTAGTTTAGTTTTAAGTCCGCGACCTTGAGTGGGAGAAGGGATTGGATTGATCGATTGATTGATCAAACTAATGCTACAAATCTGGAGTCGAGTCATCAACTCCATCCATGCCAAACATGGCAGGTCTCTGCATTTCGAAAACGTAAAATAATCCATGTTGTTTGCACATTCTCCGAGGGGCGCTTAAATCTTCGTGATTCCAGGATTTTTTACTTTTTAACTCTATCGAAATTGATGACTCTTCCGTCTCGCTCCTGTGCCCGTTCCGGGTAGGGAGGTCACCCGACACCGGCGCACATGGAGGAAGTGATAGTAGATTAGAGTCTGAAGGATGGTCTACGTAGTGTTTGCATAGGTGGATGACACCATCAGCCTGGCTGCTTGGCCTGGCCGTTTTTGATGCAATGACAACTTGGTGGATGCAGGGCCTGAGAAGGAATGGAGAGTCCGTGGCGTCTGGAATCTTCCTTGCTTCGACCCTGAATATTAGACGGGGGACATGGCGGGGAAGGAGGGGGAGGGGCACTGAATATGCATCTATGCGTAAAGTTACTCTATCAAAACCGAGGCGATGCGTGATCAACTGGCGGTCTCAGTGAAAATTGATTGATGTTGATTCGTCTTCAGGCAAGTAAATAATCATAGTGCCAATGAAGAGGCGCGACCATTGCTACCAATAATCAATTGGTTATCCAGCTGGATTCGTATGGTCCCCGTCTCGGGCCGGAAACGTCGTTGATCGCGCCCTTTGATTGACTTAGTCCCCTCTGTAGCCGCTGCTACGCGACCGTCGCCTAAAGATCCGTTAGAGCTGTCCGTGGAACCCATTTCGGCGATTTCCCACATCAATACCTGTCATTGAGCCTCTGGCGTCTGTCGCAGCCAAGTTTGGGCCTCCGCGGAGACTTAGACTCGGAGACTTAGACTTGCCGACGTTTACTAATATTCTGATTTGTAAAGCAAAAGCCGAACAATCAATCAATCTACGACTGCACGAACAACGAGGTATACGGCATGATGTGTTATCGATGGATACATTGAAAAGTCGTCAGGAACAGTGGGTTGTCGTGCCAGTATCAAGCTGCCCTGGTTGGACTTTTCGAAGGAAAGACTACTAAGGACGAAGGACCACGGCACCCAAGTGCTCTCTTACGAGGCAACGTACACTACGAAGTAGACCTACCTGCCTCAGTGGGCCGGATCATTGACCGGCTCCAATGTCTTCTCAATTGTTCCCAGTGCCAATTATCAGTTGAGCCTTTGTCCGCGAGCGACCCGGGACCCGGTACAGTCCAAAGTGGTACCTTTCTTGGTGGAGAACAATAAACGACAATGAACTGCAGGGTCCTCGAGGCTCCTGTACGTGAGTCACCATCACCATTTCGCCGTCACAGGCCCGCCGCCGCTTCTCGGCCCGGGTCCTCGGTCTACATCGTACGAAAGTACTGCAGTGTATTCACCCTCTCGGGACAGGAATCCTCACGCTACTTGGTTCTTGTAGCTCGTGTAAATGCACTATTCGTACAACGGTCTAGCTCAGTCCCCCCCGGCCCAAGCCAAGTCCGGACCCAGCCCAGTCCAGTTCGGTCCAGCCCAGTGTTGGTCCAGCGCGGTCCAGCGTGGTGCGGGAAAATCTCCAAATAAAGCCACTCCCTCGTTCTGACTTCCCCATTCTCCCCGTGTTGTCTGCATCTTCCCTGTGTCTCTGTGCGACATTGCATTGATTCATTTGATTCCGATACCGACGCTCGGCTCCCACCGCTGTTTCTGACTCGACTTGGCCTCGCCTGAGCTGTGACTGGACTTCAAGATCAAGGTACGAAGTAAGCCCATCTGACGTCTCCATCTCCTTGTCCTCTCATCATGGTATAAATTCAACCAATTGCCCCTTCACCGTCTCGACCTGAGCACTTCATCAACCAGAGCACCACTTCGCTGTATCCTGTGACCCCCCCTTTCCAATCGTGCGATCCGGGGCTAGTGTCTTGCGTCCTTTTCCCTCTCACCCCCCTCGACCCCGTCTAAGAGAAAGTTCGAACTACACTACAAACGTCAACTTCTCTGCCCCGCTAAAGAGAAAAAAAATCTACCCCGCCCCCACCTTCCTCTTCTTTCCTACTGCCTTTTTGTGAGAGAATAAAAAAGAAAAATTAGAAAGCGAGCACGCGTTAATCGCAAAGCGGAGAGAGAAAAAAAAACCAATTGTCCGCAGCGTAACTGACACTCACCCGAACCAACAGATCCCTCCTCTCTCCACACAACCACCAATTCCCTAAACCAGCCCTCCTCTCAACCCTCCCTTCAAAATGTCCGCCGACGCGCAAGCCCTCCCCATCAACGTCGCCGAGACGAACGGCTCCTCCACCGCCGATGCCGTCCCCCCTTTCGCCGTCAAGGCCGGCCTCGCCCAGATGCTCAAGGGCGGCGTCATCATGGACGTGACCAACGCCGAGCAAGCCCGCATCGCTGAGGAGGCCGGAGCCTGCGCCGTCATGGCCCTCGAGCGCGTGCCCGCCGACATCCGAAAGGACGGCGGCGTCGCCCGCATGTCCGACCCCGGAATGATCAAGGAGATCCAGGCCGCCGTCACCATCCCCGTCATGGCCAAGGCCCGTATCGGCCACTTCGTCGAGTGCCAGATCCTCGAGGCCCTTGGTATCGATTATATCGATGAGAGCGAGGTGCTTACGCCCGCCGACAAGGAGCACCACGTTGACAAGGCCCCCTTCAAGGTCCCCTTCGTGTGCGGTTGCCGAAACCTTGGTGAGGCTCTTAGGCGCATTGCTGAGGGTGCTGCCTTCATTCGCACCAAGGGTGAGGCTGGTACTGGTGACGTCGTCGAGGCCGTCACCCACGTCAAGACCCTCACTAGGGATATCGCCCGCGCGAAGGGTGTCCTCGCCACCGAGGGCGCCAACGGCATCCGCGCTCTCGCGAGGGAGATTGGCGTCGACGCTGCCCTCCTCCAGCAGACTGCCGAGCTTGGCCGCCTGCCCGTCGTCAACTTCGCTGCTGGTGGTGTTGCCACTCCTGCTGATGCTGCGCTCATGATGCAGCTCGGCTGCGACGGTGTCTTCGTCGGCAGCGGCATCTTCAAGTCGGGTGATCCGGCTAAGCGGGCCAAGGCTATCGTCGAGGCTACTACGCACTTTAGGGACGCTGCTGTGTTGGCTAGGGTGAGCACTGGTTTGGGTGAGGCTATGGTGGGCATTAACTGCGATACCATGAAGCCCGAGGAGAAGATGGCCGGTAGGGGCTGGTAAATTGTTGAGCATATGTTGAGTTAAACGAGGGGCCTAATACAAGTTGCATGGGATGATGATGGAAATAAAGGAATTCTTCTTGGAAAAAGAAAAAACCAAAATGGAGAACAGCGAACATAAACAGGCGGACTCGAGGCACAGGCGAGTCCGTTGAGTATCAGAGGGTTGTTTGCTTCGAAGGCCACCCTTTCGAGGCGCGGATTTATCCTACCCGGGACATACACCCCTATATATATACATACTTATACTTTTCAACTGTCAATATCATGTGTATGCAGTTAGCTCATGGCAGAAAAGGCGAAATTTCAACATCTTCCACAATTGCAGTCGGCTGGGGAGTCCAACAAGTTCTGTCTTTGTGGAAGTCTTTCGTAGTGATCTTTCCTGGAGGATTGGGGAGATGCTGCTCATGTCAATTGCTGCTCTCATATGCCGGAGAACCACTCAGGTCGAATCACCCCTTTTTTTAACGGAAAAAAAAAAAAACAAGAGATATCTGACACTCCTGTCCAACTTCAAGGTCGGTATCCTAACACTCCCTGCCTCTGCTCAATTGTGTTGTTGTCAGGGGTCAACAAGCGAGCCGAGCCGTCAGCTTGGTTCCCAATGCGCCGCCTGCCCACAACTGTCAATGTAGAACGCCGACAACATCAGCCGATCCTAGGCGAATCGCCAATTCCACAGCCGAAGCGACATCATAGCCGGACATTCCCTTGGTTCAAAAGTTCTCCGCACAAAGCTCCCACCCCACATAATAAACTCGGCGAACCCCCTTAGACGACCATTTCTTTCCTTACCTCTTCCCAATCAATCGGAACATCAAGGAGGGGAAATATTTTAATCTAGAAAAAAATGACCATCGGCCTCGCTCGATCGTTCATCTGCCGCGCATGCCGCACCTCGACGCGAGGTCGGCGAGCCTTCGCGACGGCCTCGGCCTCGGCTCAAGGCCAACAGCAGCAGGCGTTCGACAACCGCGTCAAGATCGTGGAGGTCGGCCCCCGCGATGGACTGCAGAACGAAAAGGTGTCGATACCGGTGGGGACCAAGATTGAGTTGATTGAGAGGTTGGCGAAGACGGGGCTTTCGACCATTGAGGCTGGGGCTTTCGTTTCGCCAAAGTGGGTTCCTCAGGTAAGGATGAAGCTTTCGTTCCTCCCCCACTCCATTGTTTGATGGCTCTACCAATTAGATAGAGATTTTGTACTAAACTTTCGGACTTCAATAGATGAGCAACTCGAGCGAGATCCTAGAACACATCCTCACGCAAAAAATCTCCTCCCCCCACTCAATATCCTACTCCTTCCTCGCCCCCAACGTCAAAGGCTTCGACTCCGCCTCCCAAATCCTCCAAAAGAACCCCGGCGCCTTCCTCACCGAAATCGACCCCTTGCACCCCACCTCCGCCGACAAGGCCCCGACCCCCGCCATCGAAATCGCCGTCTTCGCCGCCGCCACCGAGTCCTTCTCGCAAAAGAACCTCAACTGCGACATCGCCACGTCGCTCGAGAAATTCAAAGAAGTCATCCGCGAGGCCAAGAACAACGACCTGCGCGTGCGCGCCTACATCTCCGTCGTGCTGGGCTGCCCCTTCGAGGGCCACGACGTCGACCCGCACAAGGTGGCCGAGATCGCTACGGATCTGCTCGAGGCGGGCGCTGATGAGATTGCCCTTGGGGATACCACCGGGATGGGGACTGCGCCGAGGACGAAGGCTTTGTTGAGTTGTATGACGGCTGCGGGGATCAGGAATGAGGATATTGCTATGCATTTCCATGATACGTATGGGCAGGCGCTTGTGAATACTGCTGTTTCGCTTGAGCATGGTATTCGGATCTTTGACTCGTCTGTTGGCGGGCTTGGTGGGTGCCCTTATAGCCCTGGCGCTACGGGCAATGTGGCTACGGAGAACATGGTGTATTTCCTCGAGACGCTGGGCATGGATACGGGGGTTGATTTGGATGCGGTGACGGATATTGGGCAGTGGATCACGGGTCAGCTGGGTAAGGCTAATGAGAGCAGTGTGGGTAAGGCGGTTCTGGGTGCGAGGAAGAGGAAGGCGGCGTAAGGGAGCCTCGGACGCGCGAGGGCACGCTCGGCTTTTCTCCTTTTGATTTTCCATTTGGTCTGGTCTTTCTACTCTTCATAGTCATAGAATTTTAGACGCGAGCTCAGGCGAGGATTGCTCCCGGTTCGCCCGTCTAAGAGCTACGCTAGCCACCAGTTGCTTGCCATTTTGAACGTGAAGTGCTGATGTTTTTGTCTCGTGGATGATCAATTGGCAATTGGATCAAATGTGAGGTCCGGTCTAATGATCCTTAGCTACTTACCGTCGCTCAAAAATGCTGTTTGTGGGATTACTAGCTGATTTAGCGACGAGATGCTCACTGGCAGTACGTTGTATTAGATTATTACATGATCCCGCATCTGGGAAGCTTTCAATCGTTGCTCGCAGCAATTGTCGATCTTTGCTGGTCGAGTGGAGCGGGGCAGTCATGTGATTTGATGTCACACTCCCCTCCTCTGGACAGCAGCTGATAGCACCGCCAAAACCGAGCCCAAGCTCCCTGTGTCCTTGTTCAGTCCCTGCTGAGAAACGTGCATGAGCTTGACTGACCAAGGTCACTCACCACCCACCCACCCACTTGTACTAGCACGGCAGAATAGAGCAGCCTGTTGCTTTCGCTTCATTCCTCAAGTTCAACTCGACTCCACCTGTGCTACTTCCATTGTCCGTTACCTACACAATCCTCAACCTTCCCTTTCCGAGTTCATCTTGACCTTCTCCCCCCGCCGAGAAAAACCTAGCTGCCATCTGCCTCTTCTCCGAGACCGACCCAGAATATTTTTGTCCACTCTTTTTCGACCGGCTAGGCTCCCGCATTTTTCGGTGCCGCAGTATTCGTCATCGCCGCCGTACGCTTATCCCGCTCCCACCACCAGCTCATCTCCCCCCCTCCAAATCCGCCATGGGAGACTCCCGAGCGCCTCCGAAGAGGACCTACTCCGTCGTACCTAGGATCAACTACAACACAGTCAACAGTGTTGTAGGACCCCTGGTCATCCTTGACAATGTTCGTTTTCCTTCCTAGTTGAGCTATCGCCTGTGGCTCGCTGGTTCTGCCTGTGTAGCAGCTTCATGTGCTGAATAGGTACTCACCTCTGGAAACCCTCTGTTGTTATAGGTCAAGTTCCCTCAGTACAACGAGATTGTCGCCCTTACGCTTCCCGATGGCTCCGAGAAACATGGCCAGGTTTTGGAAACTCGAGGTGAGTAACCAGTGGTGATTAGCTAGAACCCCTCTCCTCGATATTGCCATGATGCTAACACTTTCCGGTGTAGGTGACAGGGCCGTCGTCCAGGTACTATTCGACTCCCGACTCCTCTCGTCGAGAGCTCGCTTGCCCTCCGTCCATGTCCCGGTTGACTAAATAATATCTCTGCAGGTCTTTGAGAATACCCATGGTGTCGACGTCAAGAAGGTTCGTTAAGTATATTCTCAGCCCAGGGGCCGAAATCCTTGCACCATAACTAACCTCGAACTTGCGGCATAGACGAGGGTCGAGTTTGTCGGTCACAGCATGAAGCTCGGCGTCTCGGAAGATATGTTGGGTCGCGTCTTCAACGGTTCCGGTCTTCCCATCGACAAGGGCCCCAAGGTGCTTGCCGAAGAGTACCTCGATATCAACGGAAGCGCCATTAACCCGCAGTGTCGAGTGCGTATCTCTATCTCCCACATTCAGTTCTTGATGCTGCCACACTCTATTACATCTACTGACGAATTGAATTCAAATCCTGCAGGAGTACCCCGAAGAGATGATTGCCACCGGCATCTCTACTATCGATACCATGAACTCCATCGCCCGAGGACAGAAGATTCCCATCTTCTCTGCCTCCGGTCTGCCCCACAACGAAATCGCCGCCCAGATTTGCCGTCAGGCCAGCTTGGTTAAGAAACAGGGCATCACGAACAAGGGTGTGCACGACGGTCACGAGGATAACTTTTCCATTGTTTTCGGTGCTATGGGTGTTACGCTCGATACCGCCAGGTTCTTTACGAGAGACTTTGAGGAGAACGGCAGTATGGACCGTGTTACGCTGTTTATGAACCTGGCCAATGATCCGACGTAAGGACTTACTCCCATCTTGAATTTTGACTGCGGGCTTCCCTCCCCCAGTTGATGCGCCATGGCAAGCTAACGTTGGGCAACAGCATCGAGCGTATCATTACCCCTCGCCTGGCCCTTACCACCGCCGAATACTATGCCTACCAGCTCGAGAAGCACGTCCTAGTTATCCTTACCGATATCTCGTCTTACTGCGATGCCCTCCGAGAGGTTTCCGCCGCCCGAGAAGAAGTGCCCGGTCGTCGTGGTTATCCCGGTTACATGTACACGGATTTGTCCACCATCTACGAACGAGCCGGTCGTGTGCAGGGTCGACAAGGCTCCATCACCCAAATCCCCATTCTCACCATGCCCAACGACGACATTACCCATCCCATTCCCGATCTGACGGGTTACATTACCGAGGGCCAGATCTTCATCGACCGTCAACTCCACAACCGTGGTATCTATCCTCCCATAAACGTGCTGCCGTCGCTATCTCGTCTCATGAAGTCCGCCATCGGTGAGGGTATGACCCGCAAGGACCATGGTGACGTCTCCAACCAGCTCTACGCCAAGTACGCCATCGCCCAGGACGTGGCCGCCATGAAGGCCGTCGTCGGTGAGGAGGCCATGACGGAAGAGGACGACCGCGCGCTGGAGTTCCTCAAGAAGTTTGAGCAAGAGTTCATCGGCCAGGGTGCGTATGAGGCGCGAACCATCTACGAGTCGCTCGACAAGGGCTGGGAGATGCTCCGGACGTTCAACCAGGACGAACTGAACCGAATCCCCGCTAAGATCCTGAACGAGTTCTTCGCCAGGAAACCGACGGACGGCGACGACCAGGAGGATAGGACCCGACAACCCGCGCAGCAGACGGAGAACCTGATCGATGCGTAGGAGAGCCGCCGGTCGACTATGCGGTCTGCGTCTATCGTGACGGAACCCTTCCCGGATTTCGATATGAACTATCCTCGGAAGGGATACTGGGATGACATCTGGCCAGATGAGTGAAAATTGGCGGACCGTTGATTTTTCGAGGGTGGTCCATCCTTCCCCGAAGCGCTGTCTTTTTTCTTTGGGATTTTTCTGGTTTGTTAGGAAGATGGCGGGGATGCATACGAATGGGAATAAGCGTATCCTGGAAGTGTGGAGGAATCGGGTAGCTTTTCTTTTTTTTGGCCCTTTTTCTTTTTTTTATCTTATTGGATTTTACTTGTGTTGGCGGTCTAGAGGGTTAGTCTTAAGCAGGTCATCTATCATTATTTTCCTCCTTTTCCCTGCTTCTCCAGCATTTTCCCGATATCCCTCCCTGCTATGAAGTTGTAGGAGTTGGGACAAGGTTCCGTGATTCAGAGATGTGGGGAGTAAGTAGCCCCCCCCCCCCCCCCCCCCCCCCCCCCCCCCCGCCCCATCGAGTGCTGTCTGTAGAGAGGAGGTGCCGTGACTGAGTAGCATCCCCGGCATTACTTACGACAATGCGTTCCTTTCGCATCAGGTTCTATTGAAATGCTGTCTCCAGCGGAGGGCGCGCGCCTCGTTCTAAAACCTGGGCGAAAGGGGGCGAGGACGAGACCGTTTCTAGGGCTGTCTCGCGGTCGGTTTTGGAGCCAAGAATAGACCCTGCTGGAACTGGCTGGGTCCTCTTGACGCCCGTGGATGTAGGTGGATGCAGGGACCGGGGAAAAGGGTAGGATAGCCGTTTGTGGAATGATGCGACACTCTCTATTTTAAGAAGCAGCATGAGGAACACTGAAACGCAGGGCGTTCCGCGAGGCACTGACGCGTCTTGGAGTTGGTGGGGATTTCGAGATTGGAAATGCTGGAATGTATGGACGTGTTAAGATTGGTCTTGTTTTTTTTTTTCCCCCTTCGAAATGGTCGAGTCGATCAACGGATGGATGTGTACATGTTGGAGGATATATGCATTGTCAAGCAATGGAGGATCACATTGGAGAGAGACCAAGTTCTATCACGGAATAGCTTTAGATACGAAGCCAGTCACACCAAGAGGAATACTGGCAATCTTTGCTCATATATCACTCAACATCGTCACCAGTCGGTGGTGCATGAGGAACAAGATCGTATTCAATTGTTGTATTCGTCGATATATAAAACAATCCTATCTATACGAACCATTACCAAATCCAAAATCGGAGAGTATATGTTTAAAAATAAGAAAATATCAAAAGATCTCGGGAGTTGTTCCTAACTTTCATCGTCATCGACCTCGCCCGTCCACAACTTTCGACAATCGCTTTAAATTTCATTCATCAATCATACAAAGAAAAAGGATGTTGGTGAGTTTCGGTTTGTTTTTTGTGTTCCTGTTCAGGTTGAAGAGTGGTTTGGTTGGCAGGGAATGAGTGGGTTTCTGCAATAAAGAGGAACCGAGTGGTGAAGAGGCAGGTTGGTGAAGGAGAGGGTTGTTTTGCAAAACCTTAGCCAACAATAGACCTAAAAAGAAAAGCATGGTTGCGCCGCCCACAGGATGATCCCAATTGTAGCCAAAACAAGGTGTTGAGATAAGGAAACCGAAAAGTAGAGTGTGTACCCGAGGACTCTTTTGCCCATAAAACGCCCCAATGAAGCCATGCTCTGATGAGTTAAAATCGGATGTAGTGAAAAAGTATGCACATGAGAAGTAGGAGTGATGTGTTGGTTAACAGCAGAAGTATTTGCCGGCTCACACGGGTTTTGATTTAAAAGTCCTCCGTGAGTTGGGTTATCCTCTCCCAGGTCGACTCTAACATGTCAGATATCCGTTGCACACGGGCCATGGCGACGATGGCGTTTTGCTCCTCCTCAGACGCATCTACCAACTCGTAGCGAGCGAGCACCTTCTCAGGCTCGATGCCACCGAAGATATCTACCCTCCAAGACTCTTCAGTTTCAGTCCCGGTGGATGTTTCTGTGGCAGGGGTCGAGTGGTAGAGAGCAAAATCAGGATTGGACTCGAACTCAGGGTCCAAGGGGAGGGTCTCAGGGGCGGCAGGGGCAAGAGGCTTCTCTAGCACAGGGCGCTCAATGACAGGAGCCTGCACCTTGTCCTCCTCAGAATCGAACTGTTCCCCGACAAAATTGGATTTCTTGCCGGAAAGGATACTGGCATCGATTGAGGCGGGCATCTCAGGGGTCTCAAGAAGGGCAAAGACTTGAGGCTGGAAGTTGAAGGTGGCATCGCTCTCAAGGCTGAGCATGGATAGGTCCATGGGCTGTTCGGGAATCATGGTCAATCCAATTCGCTGCTGCTGCTGGAGCTGAGCATACGGGTTGACATCCTTGGGAATCTGGCGGCGCTCTTGCTGCTGCTGTTGTTGCGGCTGTTGCTGGGCAGGCTGCTGGGGCTGGAGCTGGGGGGTGGCTTGGGGAAGAGAGGCGGGGTTGGTGCTTAGTTGGTCAAGAAAGTCGGAGAACGAGGGCGACGAGAGGAGCATGTGAGTGAGGTCGCTGAGACGCTTGTTCTCCTCCATGAGGGCACGGTTCTGGGCACGAAGATCACCGTTCTCGGTAACCTTATTGGCAATCTCGCTCTCAAGCTGGGAGATGTACTCTACAATTTTAGTTAGCACTGTTGCTTTACGAAAGAACTTGGTTGAAAAAACTGCAAAAAAGGGGGGGGGAATACTAACCCTTTCTCCGTGACCTAAAGGCACGGGCGGACACCTTATTCCTAAGCTGCCTACGCTCCTTGCTACTCAACTTCTTGCCCTCCTCACTGGCCAAGAGTCTCTCATCCTCATCCATCTCCTCCTCGTCCTTCTTAGGCTTGGGAATGTTAAGGAGCGGCATTTGCTGCTGGGGAGAATCGGTGGACGAGGGCTTCGCTCGCATAGAGTTCAGGAGTTGAGTGATCTTCTGCTCCACGATAGGATCGGTGGGCTGGCCACTCTTCGACCTAGGCTTGGCTTGGGCAGGGTTCTGCCTCTGGACCTGGTGTTGTTGTTGCTGCTGACGTTGAGCTTGGGCCTTGGCGAGAGCAGCCTGGGAATGCATGCCGGGCCAAAGACGGCCGACACTGCTGTTGGCAGTCATCATCGAGGTGGAGGAGAGGCTGGGGGATGTTTGCTCAGCAAGAGCATTAGGGTTGACAGTGTCGTAAAAGAGCTGGTCCGTAGTCGAGGGATCGAACTCCATATCCATATCAGAGGCACCGAGAGAACCCTGCGAGGGAGCGGTGTTGAAATCGAAGAGATCCTCATTTGGGCTCAGGCCCATGTAGTCTAGGTTCATGCCGGTATATCCTCCGACCTGGCTGCTTTGGTTGATAGCGAGGGTGCTCGCCAAGGCTCCGGGCACGATCCCCGTCTGTTGCTTGTACAGCTCATATTGATGGCTCGGCCTCGTGAGGGGTTGAGGTGTCGAGGAGATGTTGGGAGTCTGAACTTGAGGCATCGGCCTCACGAAAGCGGGATTCTTGTTGGAAGCAGCGGGAGATAGAGAGGGAGACTGGTAAGTCGAGACATTCTCGTACTCGGCGAAGTCGAAAAGGCTGTCGAGGCCGTCGGGTTGGCTAGATGCCGACATTTTCGATTCTAGGGGTGAAAACCCAATTCGTTTTGGTCAAAGAGACCGGTTTGTTATTGTTTGTGGTGACGTGTGAGCCTTTCGGACTCTTCGAGGACACTTGTGGCAAATTCGTAGTCAAGAGGAATCGTCGTCCAGGTCCAACGTATTTGTGCAATTGCTAGGATGATGAATGGTATTCGCGTCTCGAGGGGATTCAGTGACAGATGGCTGACGACGATAGCGAAAAATAAGAAACAGATGAAAAGAGATTCACTCAGGAAGGGGGTTTGGGAAAGAAAGTTGATGCCTGGAAACGAGAGGGAAATCGTCTTGGAAATAACGGACGGAGCAAATGCGGATGCCTGGGGAAGGAAGGGGCAGAGCACTGCGGTGGATCGGTACAGCAGGACAGTACACTACTTCGTAGCCCAAGACACCGCAAGTGGGCGGTACCCTGGTGGAGAAGGGGGTGTTTCCATCTGGGAAGGTGTCGGAGAGCCGACATGGGGGAAGCACATGGAATCAAGGGCGTCGAATCGGGAATTGGGCGAATGAGAGGGCGCGAAAGAGGGGTGTCGATATGGCTAGGGAGTGGGTAGAGTGGATAACAGGGATCAGGCCCTTCAAGGAGGGGAAGGGACGCGTAAGCCTTTCTTCGCAAAGCGTATTGCCAGGGGAGCAAGAGCAACAGAGTGTACCCCAAAGTCTCTCACTCATCCGCCTCATCTACAGTGGAAGTACCTTGCACGCAATGAGTGCCCTACGAGTACATACGCACTATGGGCAAATGAAGTCATTCAACTCGATCCATTTGATCCCGGAGTCTGCAATTTGGATGGGCTGAAGAATTGCTGAAAGAGAGAGAAATTCGATGATTTCCATGGGAAAACAGAAGAAACAAAATTGTCCGACTCAGCAGCCGCCTGTGAGCTTTTTGCCAAAGATTCAAAGAGCCGAAAGAACAACGGAAAAGTTCTAGTGATTCTTGTCGATTTCAGTGGACGAGACCGCTTCACGGTAACACTGTTCGAAGTAATACACCACAGCCCATTGAGTGATCGGACTCGGAAAAGCCTCCTGGCTCCATCTCTATCTGGATTTCTGTTTGTGTAGTGTCCGACTCCTAGCGCCCATGGATGGTGCTGACGACGCCGATGGCTCAGAGTCGGGTGCTGCGACTAAATAGTAATACCAATTGCCGTTTCCGTCCGTATGCTCCGCCAGCTAGCTCGAACCTCGTAACTCGTATATGTATCGTATTACAACAAATTCGTAGGACGAGTACTCATATCCAACGATTTCAGAGTTTTGTGAGTGGATTACGATGCCAAACGGGGAGATGGGGTGTCCACCGAAGCCATTGCTGACGACTCCTTCTTTGTTTTGATGCAACTGCGTGACCAAACGAGTATTCTCCTTGTACAAGTATTACTGCGTGCCCGCGACGGGATGATGGAATCAATGGAGGAGGTGGGTGCATCACTGCATATTAATACACAACATCTCCGACTTGCGCCTCCCGTGGTTCTGGCAGATCTGGACTGCGTGTCAAGATCATGAACAGGACGACAAGTACGAAGTACGATTAAGATTATTAGATTATTAGGATGGCTGGCTCTGGGGTTATCCAGGCCCGGCCGTTTCCTGCCATGGCTGTTGCTAAAAGCTGTGGACTCCCTTTGGACTCCCTTTTGACTCTCGGGTGCATCTTCCTGGCGGCACAAGAAGAAGCCACACACGAAGTTATCTCAGGCGATTGGAAAACAAAATTTGTGGCTCCGTGATACCGTCCAAAGAATCTGCGTGGACTCACCTTGAACAGGAGAGACTGAAATCCCGTCTATAAACTCCGTCCCCTGAAGCATCAAATTGATACCGTTGGGAAATTCGGATATAAGACCTAATACTGCGGCGCTGCGGTCCTGTAACGCACCAAGCTTCAGGGTCAACCAGTCGGGGTTTAGAGCGCATTTTTGTAGATCGGGTGAATGATTATAGCCGCTGGGTTGGGATTCTCTCGCGGCGGACTCCTTCTCAAGCCCGCCGTCCGCCCCCAACTCTGCATCATTTCACATCCGGAGAGGCCGCCAGGAGCCAACCCTTCCAAGGGCATATTCCCTAAACCACCCAATCAGCTTTCAAGGCCGTCCACAGAATTCAATCATTCGATTTGTTTTCGACTCTCTCGAAAGTTTGGGTTCGCATTTGTTTCTTTCGATACGTCAGGCTATCTTTTGACAGCACCCACTCGGGCAAGCGGCGTGTTTCATGCGCTCAACTTCCATTATTATGATCGCATTATTTGCTCATGGACCTGGGTGTTCAACGCCATCCACAAAATGGCCTAGGGGGACCCCTCAATTGTGTCTATTCATAGTTTTGACTCGGGCTCGAAGATGGACATCTTCGTCGAGGTGGGGGACGACGAAGTGATAAGTACCGAACTTTCCATCGAGTCACCGTGATGACGAAGTCGGAGTTCAGTATCTATGCAAGTACTCAGTACCTAGATACAAGTCTATATCTATGAAATTCCCAATAAACATTTCGGAAACTTAGGTTCCGGTACTTCGCAGATCACCAAGTCGTTAATAATCTGGTCCGGCGATCACGTCGCTCCAATGTTCGGTGCTCATTTTCCTTCTTCTGCCTGACCTTTGCACAGCCACTGATTCTCCAGCGTGAAACGGTGGGTTTTAGTGCATAATCTCCCCACCGGATCCGTCCATCATTCCGGCGGGCTTCTGGAAGACATTGAACTCCTTTTTGCCTCCCCCCAGCAGATGCCCAGTTGGGATGCCCATCCCATCAATCCCGTCAATCCCATCTTGACACAGCCCACGACACGACAATCCCGTAGCACAGCCATTCGAATCCAATAGGACCCGACCCACAGAGCTGAGTTGATACGAGCAGATCCATGATCGTTAGAGGATCCACTTGAGACAGGTTGAATCAAGAACAATGGCAGTATTCCACGTGACAAAAAGCACCTTGATTTGTTTTCCTGGACTCGTGAGAATCGAAAGGCAGTTCTGATTCTCGATGACGAGGGAACTGGAAATTCTCTTCTCCACCTTTCTCAGAGTATTGCAGTCTTAAGCCGATTCCAAAATCCTATATATCTTTTCCATCCTATTGGAAACTCCCATTGTATCTCCAGGCCATTGTTTCCCATTGATCTAAGTCTGCCAGCCTTTGTTCCTACCGGGCCTTTGCAGCGGCTTTCTGCCTCTTTTTCGTGTATTGATGTTGTTCAGGTCGAGCCTCGACAGAACCGTCTCAGTATTATCAAAAATGGTGTTCTTGGGTGACAAAAAAATTGTAAATTTCGATAGCGGCGGTTCGTACCCATAGGATGTCGATTCTTCAAGTCCTACCCATTAACCACTCTGGCACGCTACCCTCGGTTGAGATGCGAGGAAACTTATTCCAGCTTAATAATCCAGTTTATCACTATTGACGGGGGTCCGACAGTGCCGAGATACATTGTACCTCGGCTTGGCTTGGGTTGTTCTGCTGAGCCTCACCCGAGGCGCTGGGTGGAAGGGTGCGCAGCGTTGCTCATTTAGTCTCGGGAGCCACTAACTATTAACAGTGTCATGATAAATTGGCTTCATGAAGTTGCCATATATGTAGCTTGGAAAATGATCACCGAAGGTGCTTCGTATTGCTAGGCCGGTGTACTTGTCCATCATACCCCAGCCTACGAAGCATGAAGCAAAAGACGCCGCCATGGCACATTACGATTGTTGCTGCGTCTTGTGGAGAAGGCGAATCGGGCCTGACAATGGATGTTAAAATGGCAATCAACAAGGGGGCAAAAAGCGAAAAGGAGAAATGAGGTTTGGCCGAGTCTCGAGCCGGAGGTCAGGGTCAGGTTTGCTCCCTTGTCAGGGCCGGGAAAATTGGTATCAAGATGAGTATGAACATCTCAAGCCAAATCGCTTGACAAGATCGGACTCTCACTCTCTTCATCCTCGAACCTTTATTTGTTCTTACAGTCTCTATATAGGCCCCAGCTTCTCTCGCCGGGACAGTCCAGCTCTAGCTCATAGTTTCCTTGATTGAGGGGAAGAGGGGAAGTTCTCCGAGAGTCAGGAAAGACGTATGAAGCCTCTCGTTAAAGATTGAGGCTTCAACCCATCAAAATTTCCCGGAAAGCCAGCCTCCGTCCGTCTCTCCGATGTGCCAAACACCAATCTATCTCCGCTTTGCGCGGCTACCATGCTGGCATTATTATATCTACATTTCATCCGAACTTTGCCTCCAATGTAAATTGGTTTCTCTTAACCGTCACACCAAAGTGGCGACCAACTCCCGGTTCTAGCCCCCCCTCATGAGGAAGTGGCCTCCATTTTAATGGATGCGGACGCAAGCTCCGTTGAGGTATAAGAGCTACTCCGCATCTCTCTTCTACGGTATTGCCAATCAGATTCTATATTCCGCCCAGTTGCTATCGTCGCGTCATCTATGTGAAGCAGCTACCTACAATTGTAAGGATCATCACTTGCTGGTCCTTAAAAATCATAGTTGGCACCAGCATAACCATTTGGAGCAAGCCCAACTTTGATATCCGCTCTATAGATCTTCTGCGGTCCAAGCCGACGGCTCATAAGCAAATCGATTTCGGGGCTTTGCTTGCCTGTCCTGCCGACGTGAGAAAGGGCATAGAAAATGACGGAGTAGAGTATGCACGACGGAAGGGGGCTGGAATGGGCTGGAGGCTGGAGGCTGAACTCGAAGCTGATCCCCGCCGGGCCAGCTGAGTGTTGCGTCAGCGAATTCTGTAAAGATTCGACGATTCAAGTCGTTCCTCCCATATGCTGCGCCATTCTTCGATGACGTCCCCGGCGTGCATTCCAGACTCCAGTGGACATAACCTTGGCTTTCCAATCCTGTACTTTGGCATTCTCTTGCAACCCTATCAGCCCGTGGAGCTGCTTCAACCAGATTGACGTGTTCGCCTCTGAAAGAATTCCGAGTACAGACCGAGTATCTCCTACTAGGGAGCCGAATCCGGCTTCGACGGCCTTTCCTACCATGAGTGCCCAATGTGAGTCGCCCTAGACATTCCGCAACATGTTCCTCCTTGTCTTCCGGGTCTTGCCCATGTTACCAGGCGTATGCAAGAGGAAGCTTCGCTTAGAATCAGGGCTCTGCTTCGGAGAGACCTCTAAAAGTAGCCAGCTCCACTGCCCTACACGTTCATAAACTCAAATGGGTGTCAAGATTTCACCTGTTGACCCGCCATGCGGCGATGCTCACTGTCAATGAAGGGCTCTTCAGTATCGCCTGACTCCCCATCGCCGCAACGCTTCTTGTTCCGCGGCGCAATTAACGGAGATCAAAACAATATACATTGGAGTGAAAGATAGAGGTGAGATGATATGAAAATATGCCATTGTGAGGGGTGCAATCTTTAATTTGGTTCTTTGATGACCTGCCTCTCTTCATGTACATCTCGTACAGGCCCAACTTGTACTGTTCCAGTTCCTCTACGAACTTTGATATTGAAACTGGCCCCCTCAACTGTATCTATTCCGAAAACCTGCCATTTCTGCAGGTTTCTACTCTCAGTATCACATTCGATGAGCCTGGAATGACATTGCGGTGAGTTTCGCGAGAGCCCACCCGACGTCGAGATCCACATCAGGCATCATATTTTTCGCACGCCGCTTTCTGGATCCTCATCTGGTTCGCGAAGCAGAACATACATACCATGCATAGAGATTTTCTTGATCGATAATATCAATCCAGCGGTGAGGTTGAAGACAGCGGCATCGGCATTGGGAACTGAACCGAACTAAACACAAGAGGGGCTAAGCTTAAGCTGGTAAAGTAGCATCACATCGGCGAAGAGATTCATGGACCGGACCGACGACCCCAAGCATTCGGTCGCAGGAAGGGCGCAGAAGACCAGGACCCAGCAGAAAGGGCGGCAAAAGCCATCAGTAGCCGAACGAATAAAAAATAAAAATTCCATGCTGACAATGTGATTCAAATACTCGATTCAAGCTCCAAATTTGTCCTTCCGCCGATTGCGATTTCCCATCTTCGCAGGCGTCAATATCCAGAAACCATGGCCACGACAACGACGACAACGACGGCGATCGAGCTCACGAGCCAGAACTTAACCCACATCCACACGAGCCACACCCCGCACCATGCTGCCAAGCGTCACGATGACCCCGTCCTTGCCGCTTCTCAGGCCGCGGACATGACTGTTCCCGATGGCGAATACGGCTGGGTTATTGTCGGGGCTTGCGCCGTCGTGGTGTGGTGGGCCATTGGTACGACCTATAGTTGGGGGGTGCTCCAGGAAGCGCTCGTCGCTCAGGGCCTCTCGTCTCCTGCCGTGTTGTCGTTCATTGGCGGGCTGGATGCGGCGCTGATATCGGCTTTGGCGATTGTGAATTCGAGGTTGATTAGGAGCCTGGGTGTGAGGACTACTTGCTTATGTGGGGTTACTCTGATGGGCATGAGTGAGATCTTGAGCGGGTTTGCTGTGAAGAACTTGGGTGCCTTGTTTTTCACCTCTGGTGTCTTGATGGGACTTGGAGTTAGGTGAGTACTAGCTGCCTCAGAGAGCTTGAGCATGGACGGGCCTAGGAGTTAAACGGCCATGGTGAGAAGAAGACATGCAAGACGAGTGACGCCAAGCTGACCTGGATATATCTCGCGTTCAGTATGTGCTTCATGGTTATATCAGTCATCCCTGCACAATACTTCAGAGCGAAGCGTGGACTAGCAAATGGCCTCGTCTTCGCCGGCGGCGGTTTCGGGGGAGCTGCCATCAGCGTGAGCCTAGATGCTCTCATCCAGAAGCTCGGCACGGCGTGGGCATATCGTATCCTTGGATTTACGACCCTTGCCACGGGGATACCCGCAGCCTGGTTAATCAGGGAGAGAAACCGCGCCATGAGAACACCTGGTTTTATAGAATGGTGGGCGACCTCTCTGCCGTGAACCCCTCCCGTCCGGACCAGGCTAACCCTAACCGTAAAAGGCGTCTCTTCAAATCCTTTACTTTCGTCATCATCTTCCTCGCCAGCGCGATCGGGACATTCCCCCTCTTCGTGCCACCCTTCTTCCTTCCTCTCTACACAAAATCCCTTGGATTCTCATCAAGCGTGGGCGCCGGTCTAGTCGCCGGTTTCAACCTTGCTTCTGCCATGGGTCGTATCTGCTGTGGCCTCCTCTGCGACCGGTTCGGTGCGCTCAACACGCTATTCCTCTCTTTAGCGTTGACAGCTGTGAGTATGTTAGCTATCTGGCCAGGATCCACCACGTTGGGACCTCTGGCGCTGTTTGTCGTCGTGAACGGTGTTTCCAATGGAGGGTTCTTCTCGACGATGCCGACGGTTGTGGGCAATGTATTTGGGAGTGCGAGAGTCGCCGTGGCGATGAGTATGATTGTTACGGGGTGGGCCGGAGGATATCTGATGGTGAGTCTTCTCAACTATGGGAGACTGATTACCTCGAGGTATTCTGACGTCGTATCGATTTTAGGGAGCCCCTATTGCCGGCTACATCCTCAAGGCTCATGGGGGAACGGAGAGTGGTCTACAGGCGTACCGACCGGCTATGTTTTATGCTGGATCTCTTGCTCTGCTTTCTGCGGTGTTGGTTGCTATCGTGCGCCTGCGTAAGGATAGGTCAATTCTCGCTAGGTTGTGATATTTGGAGCGAATGCTCCGATATCAACACGACCTTACATAGACCATACGTAGAATTAAAAAGTTTTGATCTTGCTCTTGGAGATCGGCTGTTGCACACGCACAGAGAATACTACTGGCTTCATTAAATAGGTTAGAATAGAACAAATGAAACTCGATATTTCACCGACAACTCCATGATATCTTCCTGAACTCCCTAAACATCCACATCACCCATACTGTCAGCCGTAATCAACGGAAAACCTTCTGTGGGCGATGGTAAATTCCCAAGATTTTCGTCCAGCCGGTGGCAAGCGGGATCAAAGGAACCTCCTGCCCGTCATCAAATGCTTCCGGAAATTCGAAACACCCAAGGATGAAATCATCCTTGTCGATCTTATCCGAGTGCGATATCGAAGAGCGCCCAGGTGCTCCCCGCCTCAGATCCATACACAAAAGAGCTGGGCCTTGCCGCCCCGCAACCTTGACGACTATGATCCCACTAGCAAGGAGCGTACGCAGGTTGCTTTTGATGTCAATAGAAAAGCCGTCTCCGCCGTCGTTGTTTTTCCTGACGAATGGCCGGTTGTATGGGCCCTTTGTGACGAGGATAGTGTACAGCTCTGTAGATAGGAGATACTCGATGATCTCTTGGGCATCGACTCCTGTAACCGTCTGGAGCTCACTCACGCTTCGGCACGGAACGTTTCCCTTCAGAAAGTCTCTCCACGGCCACTCGGCTACCTGTGCGCTCTTGGCTACTAGAAGTAGGAAACCCGCGAAAACCCAAGCGTACACGGTAATGTTGAACGGGTCGACCCCTTTCAACCTTGTTCCAAGGAAGACACCGACCATGATACCGCCGATGACAAAGACTGCGCATACTAGTAGCCAAGATAACACATAGAGTCTCTTCGTAACCACGATAGCCTTCTCCTCAATGACCCATTGCCCAAACTGCTTTTCGAGCTCCTGTACTCTCTGTTCAGAATCCTCCACGGCGTCCTTCCTCTCCGCGGGGCCGAGTCCCTCCCACACCTTGGTACCCGTCACCTGCCTTCCGTCATATGTCCGTAGGCGGTTATGGGCAATGAGTGACCTGGAGAGAGGCCTGGCATCCGAGTCTTCAAAAATCGGCTTTACGTCCCTCTCGTATACGTTTGTTCGTAGAGACGCAAAAGCAGTGAACTTGGGGCTCTGCAGGGCGTTGAAATTGATGGTGTGAGTAATGGAAGAGATGCCCGTTACCACTTCCATGGCCCACGCGAGGTTAATGATCGTCATCGGATGCGCGCACAACAGAGGGACCAACGCTGAGGCTAGGTCTCCCATGGTCTCCAGATCGATTACTGCGGAGTAAGTGGAAATCGGATTCTTCGATTTCTCGTTTAAGGATCCTGTAGAAGAACTATGGTCATCAGAACCCGGGCGAGAGTCTGGTGGGCCTTGTTGTTTCTGTTCTTCTTCGAATTCAAGGACGAGCAAAGCTCCGCTTCCATCATTTCGGGCGTGGGAAGTTCTGACCCCATCTGCACCAGTACCCGGACGAGTAGTACTGGCATGCCTGTGCGTCCTTTCAAGCTCCCTCGCTACTTGAGAAAGCATACGGAACCCTGTATGAGAAAGCCTAATCATTTCCCTCGAGCTTGAACCCGCAAGTTCGCCATCACGGTCCTGGTAAACGAGGGTCGGCAGTCCCTTGAGCCCAGTCTTGTAGACCAGCCCGCAGATATCGAAAGCATCGATGGCATAGCCTGAACGACTGCTACTCTGGAAAAAGAAAAAGATGGCTCGTAGTGTGTCGACGGTCCAGGTGGCCATGAGGGCCATTTCGGAAAAGTAGACGTTGTAATTGCCCTTTTCGGGATTCAGGAGTCTGTGGACGTCGGCGGCGTCTGCAAGATCCTCCCTACCAGTCTTCCTTTCCTCTCCGCCGATAACGTCGAGGGAGGTATCGAAACCGGTCGAACGGAGTGCGTCCATCACCTCATCCATGGCGAGCACGTCCTGGCCGTCTTCCAATGACTGTAGGGCGAACTTCTCAAGATCGCTAAACAGGAACTTCATCTTCGCTGATGTCTTGGCCAACCCGGTCAGAGCCCGCGTGTGCCAGAATTCGGTGGGGATGCCCTGCAGGGCAAGCCGCGCAACAGCGGCGGTGGCATAATCGACAAAGGCGCAAAACACCTGGGCCGTCTTTCCGTGGATGGAGAGATCCGCGGGATGTTCCCTGCCTCCCGGTCGGCCGCCCCTGCCGGGGAGGTCAACGGGGTCGAAAGCTCTAGAGAGGATGCCCCTGGAGACGGAATAAGACTTCGCGTCGAAGAGGTCTCGCATCGACTCGAAGAGCAATAGTTGGTTGTCGTGGATGCAGATGTTGAGGCAATGCAGGGCTTGGTTGCTGAGCTCCGAGAGCTTGTCGAACTCTGCCTTGTTGATGCTCCATTGCGGCAGTGGAGACTCGAAGAGGAGGGGCGTGTCAAAGTCAGAGACGGCACGCAGGAGACGTTCGGCTTCAATCTTCCATAGCGCATCCTCTTTCTCGATCGCCAAGCCATATCGCGAAATGGTGTCGAACTTCGGCCGAGTTCCAGGTAGAGGCTCCTTCTCAGATGGTGGAGTGTAAGAATCATGGGCACGGATGAGGGCCATGACGTTGTCTAGGTTAGTTTTACATATTGCCTTGGGGTCGTAGGGCTCTCCAGATCCCTCCACGGTGTTGGCCATGCTCGCGGCTCGAGGCCGACCGTAGTTGGTCGCTCCGAGTCCGGGATAAGTACGCCGGGGCCGGCGTTGGGGCCGGCCTCGGAGAGGTAGTTCGGGAGGCATGTTTGATTACTTGCTGGAATTGCTTGTCAAAATTTCAAATGCGACGGGAAAAAAGAAGGATTGCGATTTCAACTACATGGAGATGCGTTAAGGGTATATGATGAAGGGCATGCACCGCGACCCTAGGAAGCTGGGGCATCAATGATGCGCAGCTTGAAGAGTCAATATGCCCTGCAGCGGGAACGGGCTGCTCCGCCCGATCTGGGGTGATTGCATGATTCATCGAGAAGAAATATTGAATATCGTTTTCCTAATTCGTACGAGCTGAACGACGACAGAGGCGGGCGGCGAAGCCACAAAATGAAAAACCCTCATCGCGTGCCCATATCAGACCACCGTCCGACTCAGTCTCTTTGCCCTTGATACGCCTTGACAGGCACAGCATGCAGATTCGAGTTTACTTGGGCGCGGAAAACAGGAGAGTGAGGTCCTGTCACTCATCTTTTGTTACTGGCCGGGATATCGAACCCTGGCCAACGGGCAGCCCTGTCGACTTCTGTGGCGCCCAACAATCGCACCACTGCACTTGGGCGTCACGGAGTAAACGATGTTCCTCAGTAGAGCCTTGTCTAGTTTATTTGGAATTTCCATTTTATTGATCATGTGTCGTTATCGGGCATAATGCAATAGTTTCCGCCACGGAGATGATATGTGACATGTTGAAGGAGGTTTTCGCCGCGCATCGTCCAGGTGGCTCCCCGTGCTCTCTGAGCTCTATATTTTATCAGCGGTTGACGAGCCACCCTCCCTCTTAGCAGGTGATGATCTATGCAAATGCTTAACATCACTATCACCTCTCACCTTCTCTGTTACACGTTTGCTGATACTACCAGCGCTACTCCAGTTTATATCAGTTGCTTAACTTGTTTAAGATTCTGAAACGGGCTGCGAGAACAGCAAAAATGACGTCCCTAGAAGTATTTGAGCAAGTCAATGCCATCATGGCTGGCAGGCTGACCAGGGATTCGGATATTATTCCCGATCCTGGTTCGGCTGAGGTCACCGAGGTGGTTTCTTCCCTGGAACCAAAGCAGACGGACAGCAATGGAGAGCCCATTCGCGGGTATTTGAGTGTTCCTAATGGGCATTCGCATCTAGAAGGCACTGTTGAAAGTCGGGATGCTGCAAGCCCTTCCTCTATGGCTGAGACAAGAGATGGGATAGGTCTGGGTGATCATGGAGGCAGCATCGACGACGGAACCGCGGCAGAACAGCAGACGTGGATATCCACGGTTAAGAAGATTGTCCAGTTTACGGACCTCCGAAATAACGAACGCGTCGTCCCTATCGAGAAATTTGGCCCCGAGCGCCAGAAAAGGATAAGGAAGCAGCAGGAGATCGATGGTCAGTTCAACGAGTACGCGATGCTGCTCCGGAAGATCATGTCAGTCGACCTCAGGTTGAAGGAATATCGTCTCGAAATCCAATCGCGGGGGTTACGAGAGGTTTTCAAGAAGATAGCAAAGCCGTTTCGGGAGCTGGACTGCGATGCTAGCCCTATATTGATTCGGTTTCCCTTTCGCTGTCTGTTCTTTTTACGTCACGACCTGCAGGAGGCCCAGAAGACCGACATTCCACGTGCTACAAAAGACGATATTGCGCAGTTGCTAGACTTCATTGAGAGTGAGCCCGTGTTGAAGTCGGCCGTCCAAGAGTATGAGGAGACCGTCTCAAAGGGCAAGGTCAAGGAGGACATGGCTTGGATTCTGTTCAGGCCACACGAGATGGCGTACTACAAGAGACCGCTGGGCGAAAACTCGAGGCACTACCGTGAAGGATGCGGCATTGTCGAGAACGTGGCCGTCTCACGCCCAGCCGGGCAGAACACGACGGTCATTCAAGTCAACCTGGCCGTTGGCCACCACACAGGTCGCCGCTTTGGACTGATCCGAGTTTCAGGGGCCCTACGCGGCCTAACGGAGAACATTGTGGAAATCAACAAAGACAACTTCTCCATTATTCCCATGAGATTCCTTACAAAGAACGATCAGGAAAGGATCCGCTCGCAAATGGTAGAACGGGGCCAGAAGTACGTCCGACTGTGCAAGGCGGACTTCACCATGTTGCACTACAAGGGCCCGGTAGTTGTGACTTCGAATGCCCGAGAAAAGATGCTCGCGGGATTTGGAACGTCGAATGATGGGTTTGATACGAGTTGGGAGGTGGGTAGTTTCCCGTCCTCTTGAACAAGCTTTTCGTGCTAACACACTGCTTTTGAGCCGCGAGTTAGACTATGCAGCGTGTCGTGATTGATAAGACAGTCCAGAACGAGCTTTCTCCAGTCGGCGATAGCGGCGATAGTTCTATTATGTCGCCGTCAGTTCGTCATTTCCTGGGACAAGTTACGAACGAATCAGATACAGAAGGAGAAGCCCAAGCCTCCCAGAATCCCGGATTGGACGAGGATCAAGCCCGATTGCTAGGGGCAAGTAGCTGCAACTCCTCCTCGCAAACGTCTGATTGCATCGAAATTGAGCTCCACGATGACGACTACATGGTTTGCGGCTGCATGACACTATGCTTTCTACTACGGAATAAGCTCTGGGGCGCAGTGCTCATCTCAGGCCTCAAGGATATCCAGTGGAAGTCGGATCCGTACGCCAATTTGCAAATGCCAGACGATAAGAAGGTCTTTGTCCGCAACCTTGTAATGGGGTTCTCGTCAGAGACTTCACGGAGCCCCCATCATAATGGCGGCGAGCGTGGCGCAGGTGATGATGAGAGCGATGAGGAATTTAACGACTTCATCGAGGGAAAGGGGAGAGGACTCATCTTCCTTTTACATGGAGAACCGGGGCTAGGAAAGACTTTGACGGCAGGTAAGTTGTATCAGGGGCATCCCGTCGGTTTTCCCTGTCCAAAATTCCGCACGTTAATCAATTTCGCCTTGAATCAGAGAGCGTCGCCGAGAGCACGAGGCGCCCGCTATACCACGTGTCGACGGGCGACCTAGGTACGGAGGTGAAGGAAATGGAAGAGGAGCTCACCAAGATTTTCCGGCTTGGACTTCGATGGGGTGCCGTTGTACTTTTGGATGAGGCGGATGTCCTCATGGCTAGGCGGAACGCCAAGGAGCTGCAAAGGAATGCGATCGTTGCTGGTATGTGACTATCGCCAATGGCCTTCTCACATATTTGGAGACTAACTGCACTTCAGTTTTTCTTCGACTGCTGGAGTATTACCAAGGAATACTGTTCCTCACGACGAACCGTCTCGGCGACTTCGACGAAGCTTTTGCTAACCGAATCCATGTCTCGATAGAGTACGGCACCCTGGGCCCGGAGGCTAGGATGAATATTTGGCGGCAGCACATCAGGAAGGCGTGCCAGCAGAATAGAAGCAAGAACCTCTGGAGCGATGAGGCCTATAGAATCCTTGGCAAGATCGAAATAAACGGTCGTGATATTCGCAACATTGCCAGAACAGGATTCGGGTTAGCTCACGCCTTGGATAGAGACCTCGACATATCGCATATAGTTTCGGTTATTCGGATTAACCCTCCGAATAGTCGGAATCAAGATATCCGCGGAATATTAGCCGAGCTAGAGGAGTTGCATAGGCGAGTCATTAGCAGCGTTGGGGAAGAGTCTCAGCCTTAGGGTTAGGCTGGGGCGGTATAACCGTATACAGATATGTGAGGTTTCACATGCATGGGAGAGAAGAGCCTAGGAAAGGTCCGCAATTCTCTATTTTCTACTTCATTAATAGATAAAAATAAAACTATGTCGAAATAAGTTCCCTAATAAACCCCGAAGTGTGTTTCGTACCCAGATGCGAATGAGCATAGAAAGAGTAGCCTTGGTGGAAATATGGATAATACTGGTCAAATGTGCTCAACTATCGGGCCCTAAGACGGTAGTATATATATTATTGGAGCTCCCCATTTATCTTAGAAACAGTCTGATTCTGCCAGCTCCATCTGAGATCTCACTATGGAGATTCGATTCTCGTAATTCCCACTTGATGACACCAATAGAATCTGAGGAGAACGTAAAGATTTAGGCGGTATCCAAGTGCCAATATAACAAACAAATGTGCCTTTCGTAATCACGAGATATTTCAACAAAGGAACGATGGAATGAGTGTATCGAATGCCTTGCTTGTCAAGTCAGTGTCGTAAGAAAATGTTTCAACTGTACTCCGTAGCCTCTCAGCCTCTCTTCTCTTCACGATTGCTTCATCCTCTCTTCCCATCTCTTGGAGTATCTCTGACATTTTGAATAGGGACCTCGCAACTCTCGGGTTTGGATCGAAGCTTTTCTCGAGTATAGCTAGAGCCTTGTGGATATAATCGCTAGATACAACTTCATTAGTAAAGCCATATCTCTATGCCAAGATTTTTAGGCAACATACAGAGCTTTTTCCAGGTTTCCCTCTTTCTGCATGAAAGTCGCCATCTTATGCAAGCCAAACCCGGTTTTGAACGCGTTCGGTGTTATAGTTTGACAGATCTCTAGGGAGGCCTGGGTGGCCTCCTTTGCTTCCTTAATCCTACTCTGAGCCTCTCTTACCAGAGCTAGATAGGATAGCCCTCTTTTACTCGAGTTAATGGCGAAGGACTTTGAGAGCCCAATGGACCGAAAGATAAATAGAGATCGAGAATGGAAACCCGGTTTCACTTACTGTCCATATTTCTGGGATGATTTCCCGCTTGTCTTGTCAAACAACTCGAGTCCCTTCTCAATGAAGGTGGACGCCAAGTCTAGCTCACCCATTTTCCAATAACAGAGGCCCAAGTCGAGGTATGCGAGAGCTGTCGGAGATCCATCGTGCTTTCCACTGGTTTGGCAGGCCTCATGAATCGCCACGGCTTGCTTATTGGATTTCAGCGATTCCGAGAGCAGTCCACTTTCCATGTAGACAATTCCAATAGAGTAAAGAGTATTTCCCAGAAGAGGATCCAAAGGATCGAGCATCCGGTGCCGTATCTCGAGCACTGTTTTGCACAAATCTAGAGATTCCTCTATCCTGTTACATTCGAAATGTACACCAGCCAAGTTGAACAATACCGTAGCAAGGGTTAGTTGAGTCTCCTCGGAGGTCGGGCAGACGGCCTGAGCCGTCCTTATGAGAGGGGCGGCCTCGTTGAACATGCCGCGCTCGACCATATACCTATGATTTGATCTTATAAGTATTTGTGTCTAACGAGCTCAGGCAGAAAAAGAGTGGATTTCGAACTAAGGGAGCGAGGCTGCGGAGGGGAGACAGGGTCGGGTCGGGGCAGGTCGGGGGCTTATTACCAAGTGCATGCGCTTAGGAGGCTTGCCAGCTCCGCATCTTTATGGCTCTCGTCAAATAAATCCTGCCATCTCCGGTTCATGACAATGACATGTGGGAGATACTCGTTGCATTTCGGCCACTGCTCCCACATGGACTTGCCGCCACCTTCACGAGGGAAGCTTTGGTTTAGAAGGGAGAGAGCCTGGTGGAAAGTGGCAATCTGATTTTCCTTGCTCATCTCCAAAATTGCCACATTCTGCACTAGACGGTGAATAGTTACATTCTCGTCAGTCCGCGATATGAGCCCGCAGTTACAGAGAGCTTCAATGGCAATGTGAAGGCTATATACGAGACGCGGCGGATTAGTCTAGATAGTGATCGTAAATGGCTGTTTGGCAGGAAACTTACTCGTATTCGGTCTCCATTTGGAATAGAGTCTTGCCGTCTTCAAAACTAGATAGTAGAAGATCATCGGGGATCCTGTCGGGGTCAAAATAACAAAGCAGCCTCAGGAGATCCTTCGCGTTGGTTTCCAGTTCTCCAATGGAGAAAGCTGTGGCGATGCTATGGGGATATTCATCAGTTGTATTCTCGGCCTGATAAATGTTAGCTGCGGAGTTTCGGTAGATCCTCAAGAATCTTGGGAGGCTCATTCTTCCTCGACGTATGAAACTGCCAATGTGGAACAGCGCAAGCGGAACACCTCTCCATTCTGCTAATAGGTTGTCGATCTCTTGACTGTGTTGGCTCTTCTTGTCCTCCCCTACGATCTTGTAAAACAACTCTTTCGATTCGTCCAAGCTTAGGGGAGAAAGCTCGAGAGGAATCGAGCCTCGGAATTCTGCGAGATATGGAGTTCTACTGGTCATGATGATGTGTCCGCCCCCACCGGATGGCCAGAAGTCTTTCAAATGCTTAAGGTTGTCAACATTGTCGAAAACCACGAGCCAGGGCTTGGCTAAAATCAAGATGTTAGTACAACGTCTTACATAGTTTCGGACATCAGCCCATACTGGTTGTCTGCAGCCACGAGACTAGGAGCTGAGCATTCTTCCGGGGTTCCTCTTTGATGGAAGACCCTTCCAGCTTGAGGTTAATGGCACATTCAGATAGCGTGTTTCCAATCTTTGTATGATTGTCTGAGGATACCCAGATGCAGGCGAAGTACTCGCTGCCAAAGTACTTGCAATATCTGGCAGCAAGTTGAGTCTTTCCCATTCCAGGTAATCCGGATATGCAGACAGTAGTGGGTCGTTCAAGCCCTGAGTGAAGTTGGTCATGGAGGTAGTCCAGGTCGCTCTCCCGTCCGTGAAAGAATCTATTGACGCTGACGGGAATTCGCTCGCTAGGTAAGGCGACGGGGTCCGACGCTGGTATCGTCGTCCGCTGCCCACCGAAGGACATTGCGATTTTGAACCGGTCAGCCCAGCTCTTGATTCGTAGAGCAACCATGGTGTTATCTTTCTCAAACTCGGCAAACCTGGTGTATCTTCTTTGTGGGGCTGTGAGAACATGGTTAATAGCGAGTGATGAGTATACATGCCTCGGGGAGACCTAGCCTTACCTTGCTGGTATTTTCGAAGCTCTAGAGCTAGTTTGAGTAACTGAATGGAAACTTCGGAAAACAAATGAAATACAATCCTCTGTATATGATCCCAATCTGGAGGGAATGGCGAACATGGGAGGGATGGAGTAACGGTGAGCTCTTCCAGCATGCCAAGTATTTGCTCTTGACCAGCAGTTCTCTGGTAAAACTCTGCCAAGACGAGCGCGAAGCTGCCCCAAATCATAGACTCCCACCTGGGATATTCGTTATCGATATCCCTCGCCTGCTTTACCAAGCTAACAAAGCCCCCGAGTGATTCTAGTGCTCCATCAACACGAATCGAATAAGTGCTCCGTCCGCGAAAAGTGACTGGTAGGCTTCTCAGATGACTGAAAAGAGTTTCTCGGTTTCTTATCGTCCAAACGAGATCGGAGACATCGGGATCACGCTGGAGTAAATCTTGAAATGTTTCGTGGGCTCTTTCCATGTGGCACTAAGGAGATCATAGACTCTCGAAGCGGATTACTCTGGGTGCTGTAATGCTTCCGTCATCATCGAGATCTTGTTGCTAAGACTAGCAGTTCAAAAGGATGTGAAGGGAGTTAATCTATATCAGAAGCAAAGAAAAGGAGAAGAAGACAAATGAGGGATTTATGGGCTGGGTTGGGCCTCCGGAGCCTGGCCGCCCGGATATGCCCAATTTTATGACCGGTGTCCGGCCCACATGTAAACCAGAATGTAAGATAATACGAGTCCGAGAGTGTCGGCGGGCCATTCAGGAGAGGAGGGCAAGCCCGCCTCATCGGAGCACTCCAAACCCGAGAAATGTATTCAGATTATAAGGAAGGGGCTGAGTTAAAGGTGTGTGCAGTTTAGGTCCTGATGCGCTCGACGATGGCGAAGCAAGGTGATACAGATCCTCGATAGGTTCACGGCTTTTGGGCTATCGATGATTCTCATCCATTGTAGAAGTCGAGGCTTGAAACCTCGTTGAGAGGGGACTGGCATTCTTTTCATTATATAACTGTAGACTGCTTCTTTCTTGTTGAATAAACTTCTTTTACATCGATGACCCTCAAGATACCAGGATGACCAAGTTCAGAATGGCTCATGATCTGGAGGCAGTTAGTCTGGCGCCGAACGGAGTAGAGCTGGATGGCCCATTTGGTATACCCTATTGCCAAATTGGTAAACCCTCGCATTTCCTTTCTCTGTCTCCTCTTTTCTTATAGCTTTTACTCTCCCTTTCTTCTCATGCATGAGAAACACGGGCCATCTGACCATTTCTATCCAGGGTCTCGTCCGGAAATCTGTGGCCTCCATCAACAGCGTTTCCGCGAGGTATTCGGAGCTTCCTCTGCCACCAGCCGGTGCGGAGAGAACGTTGACTTTCAAGCCTACCATATTCTTCACAGTGTACAACCTTATCAAAATCTCTTTTCGAAAATTGCGCGTCCACCATCAACGCTATCGGAAACAGCATGCTGGTATTTCGAGGCGGTTTTCACCCTCCAAGACTATCTCTTGAACAATGAGATTGCAACATGGGAATCTGCAGTCAAGTACCTTCAGGATCGGCGCATTATCAACACTGAAGAGGCGAACGAGTATCACGGAGTGTCGCAATACGCCGTCTTCTGCCTCATCGGGGCCATGACGTGTCTCTACAAGCCGGCAGAGCCCGTCGGGTCAGATCGAACCTATTACCGGCATTTTCAAATACAGGATTCTTGCCCTTTGACGTCACACCGGTTTATGTGCTACTCTAATTCCATGATAGTGAGCACAAATCCTCACCGACCCATCAGTGATTTCTTGGCAGGTTTCGGCGATATGTTGCCTTTGATGGCCCCAAACGGGAAGACCGCAGTGGACCAAGGGCAGATGTTGGACCCTGGTAAATTCAACGCCGATGTCATGATCAGGACTTTGAAGATGAACGTTGTGTGGACGGATGTTTTGGGCACGCATTTGGACTTTGATGGTACTACCAACACCTTGTTTCTTTTCAGGCAGGCTACATTATGTCTCCTTAATTCGGGCGACGAGCGCACAGCGGGCCGGACCCCGCTGCAAAGGTCAGTCTACTCCTGAGTCCCAAGCCACTCCTCGTACGACGCGAACAAATAATAATAATCTTGTGCAAATAGTTGTGTTGTCGACGGTATTGCGGACGAGCGGACATTGACAGATCTCTCGCGGGAGATAATCCTCTCCCTCCATCTGATATACTGGCAGAATCCGGAATCCCGACGGGTGTTCAGTGAGGACAAAGCCTTTGCAGGGGTCCCCCGGGAGACAAGGGATCGTTTGCTGCGCGACATTTGCGGCGGGAAGTGGACCTTCGACTTTCCTGGTTGCAGACCCAAGCGCATCTATGACTTGCATAACGATTTTCCTATCCTTGGGGCCAGGCTTCAATGCCTCAGCGAGCATGTCCGCCTCCAAGAGCCCAAGAACCTAGGGCAGTTGTGGAGGGACAAGAGAAACACGTTGCAATGGTGGACGTTTTGGGCTGTGCTCGTGTTTGGGTTCGTGACGGTCCTGCTGGCCGTCGCTCAGACTGTTCTCGCTGCCCTGCAGGTTTTTTACGCACCGCGGGCACTCCGGTCTGCCACGTAGCTTGCACATTCAGTAAAAGCAAGTCTTTTGAATGTTGGGGGCCAATTCTTGCATGACATGGCCATCCAGAGACCAAGCTGCCAAATCAGAGGCAAAATAAATCCGGTCCCCCGCCCCGACGTGAATTTTCGTCTCTCAGTCGTGCCATTCCTTTTTCACATATGCGAGGTTACACAACACATCAGGAATCTCAGTGGTGTGCATCCCGTGATATGTCTACAGCCAATTAGACGAAGCATGCATGGGCAGCACATGCAGCCAGGTGTGAAGCCCGTACATGTCACATCCATGAAGAATCCCGAGAGGAGGCCGGGCATCTTGGGGACCAAAGGCGTCCTGGAATGATGTGAAGAAAGACCGGACTGGAGGGAAGGGGTAAACCGAGGGGTTGTCAAGATATAATGTCAATGTTGAGAGAGGTAACTAGAGTACGTTAGTTGAGATCTTTCCTGGGTCAAATCCAAGTACAGCTCTCATCATTATTTGAAACGTTGAGAGCCTTGACGAGTTTGTAGCTCTTCCTTCATTTCCCCCCTCTCGCCCTTCCTTTCTTTGGGAGTGAATGTAGCTAACATGATATACGTACCAGCAGCTGAAGTTGACATCCCGCGAAGGGCCTGCTCCATCATGGCGCCCAGTCCTCCCGTCGAAGGCCAGACCAGCGGGTCCAACCCAACTTCAGGCACCCCAAAGAAACAACCCTGGCGTACAATCTACCCCTGTGTCCTGGAAGCCCTCAATGCAGATACCTCTTTCACGGTCCAGAGGCCCCGCGGCAACATCCCCAAGCACTGGAACAACGTAGAGCGCGGAATTCTATCTACTACTCAAGAGACGGCTCTAGCTAAATTGATCGAGCAAAAATTTGGAGGCAAAGTTTGGTATGATCGCAGTGATGGTGATGGCGAGCCGGATGAGGAACCATGCGAAAGCTGCGGGAATTTACCATGCACCTGTAGCGTTTTCGAGGGCGGGTAACAGCGTGGGAATGCTTTTATGCAGGAAGCCTGGGGATGAGGGAGTCAGTTAGCGCATGTCTGCAGTTGATACAAGTATCTCTTTATTTTTTTTTTAGGCCCTGCTCTCTATCATGTTTCTGAAAGAGCGCTTGCTTTGACGTTTTGATATGGAGCCACTTGAAACGAAACGCAACAACTCATGTATTTAACCTAGAGACATTATAGAGACCCTCTCTCTCTACGATTTATATGAATCTCCCTAAATTACAAGGTATAATTCTAATTTCATATTTCTAAGACCACACGGCTAGCGTTGCTCATTTATTAGCTTGCGGCGTTCCCTGGATATGTGAGCACCATCACCAACATTATTTCTACAAATTGACACCAACTACTTCGCATTTCAAAAGACGAGTACGACCTTAAGATGGGTAAGTGATTTCTTCTCAACCCATCATGCGGCGTTATATGCAAAAAGAGCATACTTTCTCCTGACCTGGATCCTCTAGCATTCCAGAACCGCTCTCAAAAGGCGTACCCGGATCTCTCTCAAGCAGACCTGGACTGGGCTCCATGCCGTAAAACAACGGGCACGATTAAGTTTATTGCTCCGCTTCCAAAATGGGAGACAGAGAAGCCATTCAATTTGGCCCTACCACTTCCAGCAGACCAACCCAAGACCAACTCCGTGTACGACTCGCACGATGTACAAATTAGTGACGGGCGAGGGAGAGAAAGCGAATTCTCCCTGGATAAACATGGCTTTGCCTTTGCAGAGATTCCTCCTGGAGCTACAGCTTTACAGAGTAGGACGGCCATCGAAACGGAGTACCTGTCAAATATGGAGTCGTTCCTAAAGGAGTACCTAGATGCGGAAAAGGTTCAAGCTTTTGACTATGTAGTGAGTAGCAGTATTCTAACAGTTGACATCACACGAGTTGGTAGATGCTCATCGAAGATGGGCCCCTCACTGATCTCGGGTATTACCAGCTCCGTGAAGTGAAACGTGGTCGACGCTACAAGTGGCAGGAGAAGCGGCCACCCGCCCGGAATGCTCATACAGGTCTGTGCAAATGATTCCACGACCATCATCTCCCGAGAGGTAGCCCTACTCACATCTTGAGGGCGACTTCAAGATCAAACCCCCGAAGCTGCTTTGAGCCGCCTTCACCTTTACTTCGGCGAGGATGCAGAGGAACTAGCGAAAGGAAGAGTCCGCTTTGTGAAGTGAGTCTCAAGCACACACGGAAAACCGGACCGGTCAGGGCATCCGTTGACCCTTTTTAACCTTTGGAAATCAGTATCTGGCGCCCGCTCATCGAGCCTTTAGAGGACACGCCTCTCGCTCTCCTTGATGCTCGAACCTTGGCTGATGAAGATCTCTTGGCACACGACATCGTGTATGCCCATTATGTGGGCGAAAATTACCTATTACGCTTCAACAGCAATCACCGATGGTACTATTTTAATCACATGAGAAAGAACGAGTGTATCATCATCAAGAACTTCGATTCAAGCATGGATCAGTCTGCAAGGAGTTGAGTATACTTTCGTTTTGCATCCCCTGATCTTGATACCCTGCTCGGCATCGATCAATCTAACTTTTTACTCCAAGTGTGCCCGCATGCCGCATTCGCGGATTCAAATTGTCCAGCTAACGCTCGGCCGAGGGAAAGCATCGAGGCCCGATTCATGGTCTTCAACTGAAGATTTCGCCTTCTTTGATTATATCACTCTTTCTTTTCGTATTCGAAATTTTCTCAGTTTCTCTTTTTTTGTCCTCATGTTTTCTTCCATGCTCTTCAATTTCATTCTGAGCGAACTGGAAATGCTTCCCTGCCGGTCAATACTGCCGTTGGCAGATTATTCTCCTTCAGATAGTCATGGACGAGGCTCAAAAGCCCAAAGTCCTTGCCTTCAAAGCATGCATCATCAGCCTGATGGATCCAGTTCTGCATGGGAAAGGAGTTCTTGCTTCTTACTTACCCCTTGGTGCGGTTATTGACAGAGAAACTGGGAAATGCTCTTTTCTTCCCGTAATTTCAGATTCATATGAACATTGACCGACTCGAGACAAGGTTAGACTGTTGATCGTCGAGGAATTGGGGCCATCGTATTCAACATACCAGGAACTATGACATTTGGGACTCCGGAGAAGGAGGCATGGAGATTCGAATCAAAGCCTTCGTACTGCCGGTATTCAGGGCCTCTGGTCCCGAGAAACAGGGTTAATATGAAATGTGCCGCCATGGCATTTGCATACCGTCAAACTTACGGGAGGTATTCATCCCGATAATCCAACTTGTATCGAGGCACTACGATGATCGATTCCTCGTCCTTGAGGTAATGTTGGAAAAACCATTCATTGTGCAGGCTTCTTTCGTCCTGGATTTCCTGCATTCGAGAGAGAGACATCGCTTCCCCCTGTTTCCTATAATCCTTGTCAGTTTCAAACCATCATAGCCAGCTCGAAGTCGTCGGCTTCAATACCATAGAAACTGAGTAGTTTTGCAGACGTATGGCTTCGTGCCGTATTTCAACTCATATTCCTGGCGGAATTCTTTGGAATCCTTCCAGTATTCGCTGTAGACGGTGTCGATAAACGTCTCGAGGAAATGTTAGCCTTAGAAGAGTAGAGACAATTTGAAGAATAAAAGACAGTCATTTCCGGAACCATGATACCTTACGGAAGGTCTCGAAAAATCCCTTCTGTATTCTAGCCGGCTTCGTTGCTCCCCATAGAGTCTCGATTGATATCTGGCAAAGTTCTGCACCCAGCCATTTTGCCATCAAATTTACCAGCTTCACAACGAGCTCTTGGACATCCCTACGATTGGCGAGGAATTCCTCTGGAAAGAGGATACGCTTGGGCCGGAAGTGCTAAGGAAGACAAACTTAGCATCTCCAAGAGTTTGGCGGATTTGTCTAGTACCTACGATTTTGGTCAAAGGCTTCGGCCAATGGCTGCCAAATTTTAGCATCAGCTCGCTGCTTCGGGTGAGAAAACCTAGGGTATGGAAGACACTATTCTAGCCCATTAATGAGGTACTCAAATAATACAGGGATCCATATTCTGTACAAAACACACCTGCAGGGAAGCACAACGTCTTCTGCGGCTTCACCGCCATGGGTCGGTCGGAAGCCAAAGAGACCATGGGCAACCGCCGGGTCTCGGACGCTCCCACCGGCTGCGGAAGATAAGTCAGTACGTCGTACTATTGTGGCGACACATCCACTGAAAGTGGTCTTACCGTCGGTGCCCAGGGTCACATCGATATAGGGGTAAGCTGCCAACGCAGATGCAGACCCTGTACTGCTCCCCGTAGCAGCCAGGTATCCATCAGCCCTGACGTTGAATGGGTATGAATAGTCACACCAGTCGCCAATGACCTCCTGAGTACCACCAAATTCCACCGTTTTCGTCTTACCCAGGATGATACATCCGAGTCTCAGCAAGTCTTGTAAGGCAGGAGACGAGACTTCTGCGTCTTCGCGGAGTGACCTGTAGGCTCGGTTTCCACACCCTGTACGAATGCCCTTAAGATGGAAGAGGTCCTTGACTGCAATTCGCATGCCAGCTAGAGGTTCATTGCGGTCTGAGAATCTTAGCCTAGAAGGTACAGCTACACAGAGATGAGGACCGCCGTACGCCATAGCGTTTAGATTCTCGTACCTAGAGTGATGTCAGAAAATACACCTGAAAGCTGCCAACCTGCTTCTCTTCTCCTGTCTGAACAGTTTGACTTACGTATACGGATCATGCTGTGAAGGAAGAGTACTCGAAACGAAGGCATCAACCTCATCAGGAAATAGTCTCCAGGCCTGGTAAAGTCCTCTGCTAGAAAAGAAGTAGGGCCCGGGAGACATAATCTTTCTGTTGGCAGCCGTGTGAGTCAAGAAGAAGTCGTGGCAACCCCATTCTTCGGGCAAATCAATGGCGGATTCGTTGATGGAGGCTCCATCACGAGAGGGTAATACCACCAGAATAGTGCTTAAAAAGGCATCACAGAAAACATCGTCATTCTCTTTAAATGACGCGACCTTCTTTAGAAGTTCATCTCTTAAATTCCTCGTGTGTGGCAGCGTGAATAATGTAAGCGGTTTGAGGTCGAGCGAGTCTGTCAGTTTGATGGTATCCTAGTATTCACTCCTAGGTTAATCAATTGATATTCGAGGGTCATGATAACGATGAAAATGTTGAATGTAAGGAATCACTCTTACATCGCATTGACTTTGAATGGTGAACGCTATTGGGCCTTGAAGGGAAAAAGCAGCGGGGTCTAGCTCGATGACGGTCGCTGTCCGGAGTGGGCTGGGACGGCCCGTCCCTCCCACATCCAAATTGATATCGACGCGGGGAGAAGATCTGCTCCATGACTTCAGGTAGGGGAGCCATAGTGTCCAGTAGGAGGGTCGAGTATTGGGATGGTCTTGAGGACCATGGTCATCCTGGAGGTTAGATATCTCAATCTTTTGGATGGTCACGATCATCTTGGAGCACACCTTCTTCCAGCGACTCTCTGTCTACCGGATTCAATCCGAGGGAAATTCCTTGGACTCAAAAAGCAAAAGGTGGGGAGTAGAGACTTAGTATACCCTCCCTTCCGCCACGCGTTATTGACCACCAATGTCTTCGGGGAACGGGGAAGAGGGGGGTCAGCATGTCGTATTTCCGGTCAAGAGCGGCATGATGCTCTAAGATCTGTTCATGAAAGACTCGTTCGGGAACTACAAATTCAGCTATCTGTGGACGGTAAGGGGTGACTGTAGCTCCCCGAGGAGTTAAGAAAATGCGGGCGGCTGGGGAGAGAGAAAGCACGATTGCTTGCTGAGCGACGTAGCCAGCCGAATGGATTGGGGCCAGCAAGCCAGGCATCTCAACGTTCACCCTCAACATGCGGCCGCAGGCCACTGGGCCCCGACCCGTGAATACCACCTCCCTACGCATATGCATGCCAGTAAACTGCCCCAATAACAGGCCGTTCATGGAAATCTGTGATTCGGCATTTGTTGAGAAGCTGGCACTCGACGCCACCGTCAGCTACGTCTCTTGACCGTGCTTCTTCGGGGGCTATGTAGGTCTGGCTCAATGATTCAAATTCCGACCATCCCTAATCAACCCCCGCCAACTAGCCTCTTCAGACGCACAAACTGGAAGCAAGATGGCCACTTTATATCTTGATGGTATTTACCTAGCTTGGGGATGGAGAGGCACGCCAGATGAGGTCCAATGCTCGAGAGATAACACACATGGTCTAGCCCAAATACTGACAGGGTCTCATTGACCCATCTGTAGACCGGCGTGACCACCTGGCCGGCGCACCCCACCCCTTCGCGCCTCTCATGTCGGGCATGTTTAGAACACCGAAAACGCGTGCTCGCCCAGGTGCTACCTCGGAGAACTGAATTCGAATTGAGAAGGGTGGGGGCAAAGGGTTGCCGTCCTTTTACGTCTATGACCCTGGTCCCATCTCGCGAATGTATCTGAGAGCCTTCGAGTCCACACCGCCAGCTTCTGTGCCTTCTAGAAGTAGCGGTAAAGAACGATCGGGAAGCCTGCCTACGAAAAGACACGGAATCGGCTTAATGGACTAGGATCCAAAGTTGGAACAACCGAGCATTACCATCGGTGTCAAGGGTGCGCCCTGCCTTCGTGATGGTAGTTTCATGACTGTAAAATGAGATATGAGGAGCAGGACAGATTGCTCCAAATTTCACAGGAAAGTTTGCTTTTGGTCCAGCTTTACAGGTTGTTGCATTGTTGATATAAACTGACAGGCTGGGGAGCACCGCGGAAGTCCAATCCCTCCCACTTCCCGCATTAGTGAGCTGAAAGAGACAGGAGATCTATGGCTCCGTGACCATGCGATAGGTTCGACTGTACCATTGGGTTTAGGCCCTCTAAGTGTTTTTTACCCCATAAGCGTGCTACTCGACAATCCTCGAACATTTTTTATAGTATCGAATCGACTGTATCAAAGAACGGTTCATGGGACGCCATGCCAGGTCCTAGTATGATTTATTACTGTCGCACAACTACGCAAAGAAGATCGTAAAGCTTATCCCAAGTGGATCGTAGCTATTCTTCTTCATACTCAGAACTCCTTGAACTGGATACTTAGTGGTTTGATGTCGAATTAAACAAGGTTGCTAGCGGCACTTGATTTTAAGCCCTCTTTCTATCCTGCACGCTAGCTTAAGATATTACTAGGCTCGCAACCCGATTCAGGTACCAAGACGGATAGATGGTGACTCCTGCATTTCCCTAAAAGTAAATTTAAAAACAACAAAGCACCCCTCTCTATCGTCGGTTTTAGCAGCGACGTTATGAGCACAGGTTTGGTGAGTGTCAACTTCAAACTCATAGGAATTTTTCATAGTAATAGGGACATCGGGCCAATATGAAGGTCGCTATTATCCGCACAAAGATCTCGATATAATTTAGAGTGCAAAGCCCGGAACTTGGCATCACTCGTCTTGCCAGGCGTGTAGTGGTGATGTGACAGGGATTCACTAAAAAACAGAATGCGGGGTGATCATCGTGAAGATTCAACCTTCACTTACCAATAGCTTTTCACAGAGCTCGCATAACCGATTCCTTCTCCCCCCGAGCGATACGCCGCATTCGGCTCAAGACGATTTGGGAGTGTCCTCTCCAACTTCAACTTTGTCATCTCTTTTCCTTGTCCGGCCTCCTTTGAATTGTAATCCCGTGAGTGAAGCCCGCTTCCCGATCGATGGCAGAACATACGCAAATCATCGGCCATATCTCCATCGGCGTCCGTGACATTACCATCGCCAAGGCTTTCTACACTGCCATCCTGGCTCCACTCAGTCTTACCCTTGTTTACGAAAGCCCGCCCGGCCGTGTTAAACCAGTCCTAGGATACGGTCCCGATCCGGAGCATGAAGCCGTCAATATTTTCGAGTACGGGGACGACGCATCGCCGCCGGGTAAAGGAAGCCACGTGGCATTTAACGCGCCGAGCCGTCGGGCGGTCGAGGAATTCCACGCGGCAGCTGTTGGAAATGGGGGAACGTGTAATGGTCCGCCGGGTCTGAGGGAGCATTACGGGCCGAAGTATTTTGCGGCATTTGTTGTCGATCCCGATGGGTGGCGGCTTGAGGCTGTCTGTAAGAAGTGAATGTCCGCCCCCAGCCGGTTGGTTCATACTCGTTGGCTAGTCGTGTTTTCAAAGACGTCAAACTTGACAGCTTGAGGCCACCAATGGATCACGGGCTTATCTACGTATCGGCGTGGATATAACAGAACTACGTACCGTCTAGGAGGTATCTATCTATTTGGGTGGAGTAGATGGTAGGGTCTTTGGGAGCGCCATCTTTATCCCTGTTGAATCTTCAAGCCTACATGTAACTCGAGTCGCGCAAAGTCCCCAAGTCTAATTATACTTACGTCCCGGCACTGCAACTGTAGGATATGGCCCATCTACGAAGTACCATAACCAACAAATAGGAAACGGCTCTAAAATTTCTGTTTCGCTGTGATACAATTTTATCCGAGATAGTGGAGACAATCGAGATAAAATTCGAACAGCAATGCAATATCAATCACCCTTCCTCCACACAACACACCCTCGAATTAGTATTTTGAGTGACCCTTTCCTATAAACAAAGTTTCGGTTTCTCTGGCCATGTCATGTCTAATATTAAATCGAGATGTTCATCTTTCAAATCTCGTGAACTCTTCTGAAGTGGCAGATATTTCTGGTTCTGACAAGACGATTGCAATCAGCTACATCTAAAGGAGCCACTCTCGCATATACGGAACCCTTATCTGCCAGGGCTCCCGCTCAAGATCCGGTGGTTTTAGGAAACAAAAGACGTAGGTTTCATTCAGTCGTTGTCCTCCTGTCTGTGCGCCAAGAAAATCGCGTTCCCATTTTGGTCGCAGCACGTCTCGAATTCCCCGTTTGATATAGTAGACGGAAGAGACAATAGGCCACCTCCCCAATCTCATTGACAACAAACTAGGACATATGTGGACTGAATATTCCGTCCGAGGCTGTTAAACTCTCAAAAACAAACTTCCTTTGGCTTTAATTACGTCATGCCGGATCTCCACATTCAACCTCATCTCATGTCCAGTCACTTGAAGTTCTGGGCTGAGCATCAGCTGTTGAGCAGAGTCGAGACTTAAGGGAGTAAAACCTCAATCTTGAACTTTCCTTCCCCTAGCAATTATAAGGAAGTTGGTGACACTATTTGAATCTCGTTCAACGAATGGAAAATCCTGGTAGGCATCTCAACGATCGTTCAGTTCGATTTCTGGGTTGAGTTCCTCAACACTGACGACAACATCGTACACTAGAAGCTGATATTCGCAAAGTTCTGTGTGGACTTTGCCATGGGGATGTAGCGGAGCAGACGGCGACAGTTGCAAAATATTTCGTTGCCGATGCGGCTTTCGAACACCCATTCTGCCGAGTGCCATCCTTTTCGGGCGTTTCCGTCCCCGGCTCCGCAACACTCGATTCGCGCTGGTTCGTGCTGATGATTTACCGCTGGTATCGAATTCTTAGCCCGAAGATAGAATTCTATGTCGATTCATGCTGTACGTTTCTGCAACAGAACCATTCTTCAGGCCCGCCTGTCTTCCCAAAAGACTAAACCTGTATCATCAGCATTCGACAAATCAGCTGGCATTCTATACGTAAACATCAGACAGACGTTTTCTGTCTGGTTTCTTCCGTTTTATAATGCCCCCGTTCGACTCATTAGCGTCCTCACCCTTCGAACGGTTGACAAGAGTTGTCTCCCTCAAGAAGGCGATGGGGCGCCTCAGAGCCCGGTATACATCGATATTGACCCTGATGAAGGCAATCTATACTTTATAGCTCGGCAACAGGACTACTACCAAGTTAATGACTCGTTGAGGCTGATCGGCTTGAGGTTCGGGGCTGTTTGTTGGGCTGGCCTCCAGCTCTTTACCACTGGAATTATTATAGGACTGGGGCTTGTTTACCTCCCGTTTTACTACTGGCTGTGGCCAAGTTGGAGAGTCCGACCAAGACGTATGCTTAAGAAATAGACGTCGTAAATCACAGCCACTTTTGTTCCTGAGTTTCGGGCTGTTTTGAAGCAAAGGCAAGGGATGTGGAACGAAGGGAGTCAAAAATTGACGTCAAGATGCACTTGTTGGCAGCTGTTGGGCTTTGGTTGGAACCCCTCCTCTGGAAGCTGGCGCATGATCGTCGAAGACTCAAAAGTGACGCGCTCCTCGAACATGATAGACCACCTAGATATTCTCTTTCCAAGTTGCAATGCCATTAATGGAGCTGCCCGCGGAGCTACTCCTCCTTATCCTCGATGACTTGGGTTCTACTTTTTTCCGCCAGAATATTCGTTGCCTCACTCTTTCCAGGCGATGGTATCACTTGGCCTGGCAAATCTTCGTCCGGGATCTTCGCCTGACCGCGAGTTCAGTCAGAGAACTTGTGAACGATGATAGGCTTTTCCAGAGGTGCCGACCC